TTTTTTTTTTTTTTTTTTTTTTTTTTTTCTTTCTATGTTGGTTTTATATTGAGACCAACGGATATGCGCCTTCATCCCTTCTTTTTTTTTTTTAATTTTTCGTGTTTCCCCCTTACACATGTTTGACCATGTGAAGTCTTGTAATTATTATTATTATTATTATTATTATTATTATTATTAAGCTTAAGGCTATTATATTATTAATTATTAAAAAAGAATAAATAATTCTCGTGATATTGTTTTGCAGCCATTTTATATCACATGCACACACACACACACACACACACATCACACTCACATGGGATAAAAGGCTGAATCAATCAGGTCACGGGATCCTCAAGAAATTCAAAATATTTTTGAATTTTTGAATTTTTGAATTTTTTATTTTTTGAATTTTTTATTTTTTTTATTTTTTTTTGATTATCATTGCATGTGGTCTTATAATGAAAATGAAAATGAAAATGAAAATGAAAATGAAAATGAAAATGAAAATGAAAATGAAAATGAAAATGAAAATGAAAATGAAAATGATGATAATAATAATAATATTCATCCATATATTCTTTTTTTCTAAAGTTGGCAAGACAAATAAAAAAAAAAAAAACGTAATATTTATTTAACTTTTTTCTTAAACAATTAAGCATGATGAAGAATAGAAATAAAATGAAATATAATAGAAAAGAAAAGAAAAGAAATTCGCTGGGATCATATATATTCAAAATATTCAATCTCACGTTTAATATATATATTTTACAACAGTCGTTCTTTAACAAAAATTAAAAATAAAAAAAAACAATTCTCATATGAATATAATAACTTACTCATTAAACTTTTTTTCCCATTATTATTAATTAAAAAGAAAAGAAAATAAAAATGAAATAAAAAAAAATGAAGTAGCCTAAGTTCACCATATAAAAAAAAAAAAAGAAAGAAAATACCCTATTAAGACCTTAAAAGTTAATAATTAACAAAAGAATTAAAAAGAATTTAACCTCAATTGACTTTAAAATGTTTTCATCATTCCAGGAGCAAAAAAAAAAAAAATAATAATAATAATAATAATAATAATAGACTCAATTAAAGCAAAACTGGGCTGGGCTCGGAATATATTTTAGTCTTTATTAAAACTCTGTTATTCGCTTTTTTTTTCAACTAAGCAACTAAACCATAATTTAAACATTTTTATTAATTTATAATTTTTTTTTTTTTTTTAAAGAATAAAATATAATAAAATAAACACGAGTTCTGCAAGGTTGTTTCAAGAATTAGAAGCGCCATTGAAGTTTATTTCAGACCTTCTCTCTTTTTTTTTTTTTTATTTTATTTTATTTTATTTTATTTTATTTTATTTTATTTCAAAAAAAAAAAAAAAAACCTTCAATTACTTTGATATAATCATATTAAAAAGAAAAAAAAAAGTTTTCCCTTAACACTAAAGGTTATTTCAGACATACAAGAAAATGATCTTTCAACCGCCTTTAAATAATTATTATTATTATAATTGTAATAAATATAATAATAATAATATTTCTTTTAAAATAAAAAACAACTGGAACAATTGCACATTTTTTGTTTCCCTTCGTCCACTTTGTTGAATTAAGCTTGTTGAAGAAATGAAAACAAAAAATTATTATTATTATTATAATATTGTTTGTTGTTCACGTTACACATAATAAAAAAATAAAATATTTACTTCTCTTGAAAACAATAAAAACAAAAAAAAAAAAAAAAGCTTCGAAATGATGGAATAGAAAACTAATTGAAAGAAAAGAAATTACTTTCATCATTCTCAAGAAAATAAAAATTTTTTTTTTTTTTATTTTGTATAATTGCATGAACAGTTTGATGAAATGATCTTTTAATAATTGATGATTGTGATTTGTGATGATGACTCCAGATGGCTCATTTTCCTCTCTTTCTCCTCCTATTCCCCCAGAATTTTCATCTTAGATACTAAGCAAAAAAAATAAAAAAAATAAAAAAAATAAAAAAAGTCAGGTATATATATATATATATATATATATATTTAATGTTTCAAAAAAGGCTTTTGAAAAAAAAAAAAAAAAAAAAAAAACAAAACGCTTCATATTTATCTAAAAATACTACTAACAAAAAATAATAGGTTTACCACGGATCGGCAAAAAAAAAAAAAAAAAAAAAAAAACACTAATACCTCGGGTATTAGCTCCATATAATATTTATTAAAAAAAAAAAAAAAAAAACTAAAATCTTAAATACCTCTCTTATTGGACCTTTTTACTCATGAGGTAATTCTTTTTTATTTTTATTTTTATTTTTTAAAATTAAAATTAAAATTAAAATCAAAATCAAAATCAAAATCAAAATCTTGTTGGTATGACGATATCTAAAAAAAATACTAATATTATGTCTTTAAACTTGTATAATCATAGAATGGAGAAAAGAAAGAAAGAAAAAAAAGAAGTCAAAAAAAAAATATTATTTATTATTTAAATGAAAATCACAATAATATTGAAACTACTCCGCATTTAAAATTTATTTTTTTTCACATCATGTCGTAACTACAGACTTTTTTTTTTATATAATTATTATTATTATTATTATTATTTCAAAAAAATAAAAAAATAAAAAAATAAAAAGCCAAAATCATAGTATTTATATTAATCATTGTCACACTGCTTGATTTTGTTGAATATTATATATAAAGAATAATATATATATTATTCTTTTCTTTCCTTAATGAGTCCCAACCTGCATTTCCAAAGTTTACGACACTGGAATTGATTTTGTTCAATTTTTTTTTTTTTTTTCATTCACTAGTTGTATTCATTGAAACCATTGATTATAATATTTCCTCTATTAAAATTAACAAATAATAATAAAGATATCCATTTGAATATAAGTTTAGTCCATTAGACTATTAATACATTAAAAGAAAGAACTTCACAATGGTCAAATAAATAACAATTCGGCAATCACTTTATTCACAAACAACTCCTAATTAAGAGTTGTTTGATTCATTATAATTATAATTATATATATATATACTTTCTTTCGATATAATAGAATCTCAGGGGTTGAAGTAGCAAGACTAGTTTGTCTTTTTTTCTTTTTCAAATAAAAAAAAAATTTTCAAACTGAGTTTAACTAACATGATATATGAATTTTTTTTTTTTTTGATATTAAACTTACGATATAAATAATGAATCTTTGTATATATATACAAATATCATTTTTAAAAAAACAGATAATGAATTAAACCAAAAAAAAAAAAAAAAAAAAAAATGGCCTTATCTATGTAATTATTATTAAAACTCTCGTATTTATTCCTTCTTCTCTATCCTTTTTCCCTTTCTTTCCCGGCAAATCTTTCTTTCACATATCACCGACAATGATCATCATATCATCACATTAAAAAAATAAAAAAAATAAAAAAGTCTTTCTGCACAGCTCCTGGCCGCATATCAGTTTCGAAAGCAACGGCGCAGGAAACATGTGCTTATCCAAACTTTTCACTTCTATTTCTAACAAATTTTGAAATGAAAAAAAAAATAAAATAAAATAAAAACTTATTTGAACTTCTGCTTAAAAAGTTTGACCAAAGGTTTTTTTCTTCAGGCCATTTCAAACCTCCCCTCCAATTACCAAATATAAACAAGTCCCGCTGCCGTTACCCAACATTGTTTTAGCAGCACATATAATTGCGAGAAAATAATAATAATAATAATAATAATAATATCTCCTAGTAACCGAAAATAATATTTAAAGAGATGAGATGTTTAAGGAACAAACATACGGTTGGTATTTCTTTTTCTTTTTCTTTTCTTTTGTTATTCTCAATTTCCATGAGAATACAAGTAAGTAAAATGGAAAACAAAAAAAAAAAAAAAAAAAGGCAGATAAGAAGAATCCCGACAATTCAAAAATCATAATGTGATGAGAAATATCAGATATTAAAAAATTTTTAAAAAATTTTTAAAAAAAAAAAAAAAAAGGAAATAACATTTATTGTACTAATGGTATTTTGTATTTGGGAAACGAACCAAGGGTATACCGAACATTTTATTAGTTTTTTTTTTTTTTAAAAAAAAAAAAAAAACATTTTGAAAAGAAAACAAATTTCTTTCTCAGTAACAAGAATAAAATAACAATCAGGGCGCTATTTCCAAAAGTGGATCTTGTACCTTACACAGCATAATGGTAAAATATATATTAGTACTTGACTTTCCCGTTCACAAAATCATTCTATATATATATATATATATATATATATATTTGAAAAAATTATTCTCGAATCTTATAAAGATATATATAAAGTTCCCTGGTAACAAGACATACTTGGTCCAGGAACGAAGCTCTAAAGTCGGATGATTATATATATATATATCATTAAAAGAAGATTTTTACCTTATTGAATATATACTTTTCTGCCCCTGGACCTGAATAAGACCTACGATTTTTTTTTTTAATTATAATAAAGGGTTTATTGTTAAAAATTTTTTTTTTTTTTTTCTGTGAAAATCTTTTTATTAACCCTAATTTCCTAGGCTGTAATGGTGATGGTGGTTCTAGTTAGTTTGTTCCCTCCACCCCCCAACAAAACAAAGATTCATTATTTCTATGCATAATTGAAAGAGAAAAGAACAACAAAAGGCAATATTAATTTGAATAAAGAGATTGTTTTTTTTTTTAAAAACAATCAAAAAGTCATAAACATAAAGTTTGGCATGTTTTTTTTTTTAACCGCGTTTTGTTTTAAAAGGTTTTATTGGCTAGGAACACGTAATCTCGCGTAGGTTGTAACGAAATTTCTTGTCACATCTAATGATTACCTAATTACACATATTATAATTAGCAAATAACAACAACAAAAAAAAAAAATTCACGCGTTCTGAAGAAAAAAAAAAAAATAAAAATAAAAATAAAAAATAAATAAATCAAAATATCTAACCTGGAAATCATCAATCTTTTCAATCTCAAGACACAAGACACAAAGTTAAATAGATGAATTATATCTCATTATGCCATTTGAAGCTACTGTAATATCAGATGACTCTGATATCGACGAGCTACTTTTCGAACCAAAACAAAAAAAACCAATCCTTAGCAAGTCCAAATCGCCCGGCGCGAGTTTTGCTACAACCAAACCAACGTAAGTAAGCATTCTATCTCTCTCTCTCTTTTTTTTTTTTTTTTTTCTTCTTTCTTTTTTTCTAGGAACCATGATTTAACATTTTATTTTATTTTATTTTTAGAGATGTTATAAATATTGAAGAAAGCGACGATGATATATTCATCAGTGGGTCGCAACTAAAGTCTCCAGAAAAAATACAACAGCAGCAGCAAAGCAAAACAACAACAAACAATAACAGCGACTTTGGCAGGCCCAGATCGCAGAGCAGTTCGTTTAACTTTCTCAATGACCAAGACTCGTTTGAATTTTCTCCAATTAAACTGGCTCCTCCACCTCTTGTAAAAGCAGCAAGCGGTACTAGTGTAACGACAACAACAGTAACTACAATGACATTCAAAGAGCCAGTAAAACGTACAACCTCTAATATTAATAATACCAATTCCATATCTCCGTTCCCCTTTTCTTCATCACCCTTATTTGTTTCCAATAATAATCCTGATGAATCTGACGACTGTATGATTTTGGATACACCTAAACCTGTTTTAAATAAGAATACCAATGTCAGTCCACTTAACCGGTTTAACACCATGGGGCCTCTGTCACCCTTAAAAAAAACCATTTCATTACCTGTGACTACTTCATTGTCTCCCAGTAAAAAAGATTATTCAACTACAAGAAAAGATCCGTATGATTTTTTGTCAAGTTCACAGTCTCCTCCACGCTCGCAGATTGCACAACCAATAATTACATTGGGGAATGATTCAGATGACGAAATTGATATTGTATCTATAGCATCAACACAGCAAAAAAAACGAAGGCTTACAGTAAATGGTTCAAATACATTGAAATCTGCATCTACAATTACTTCATCCTCTTTAACGCACACAAGCACTTCGACGTTTTCATTTAAAGAGTTATCTAAAAGTACCTTTTCATTGAGTTCTAATGCTATCAAATCAAATAATGCAAGCTATGGATTTTTGGATAGTGATGATGATAATAATGATAATGATAATGATAATAATAATGATAATGATAATAATGATAATAATGATGGGGAGCCAGAAAAGGCTTGTAAAAAACGTTCAAAATATGAATTTTTGGATAGCGATAGTGATGAAGAAGACGTTGAATTTGGGTTTTTTTCTCGACCCATTATTAATTCAGGAGTACCCAGTCGAAGTAGCAGTGTTGGAGCACCAGCAAATAAAAAAGTACGTACAGCAACTCGAGCATATAAAACGACTTCAGATCTTGCTAAAATACAGCGTGAGCAAGAACGAGAAAGAAAGAGACATGAGAGAGAACAGGAAAAATATCAAAAGGCTTTGGAAAAAGAAGCCAAGAAGATGGAAAAGGAAAAACAACGTGAATTGAATCAGGTTAATCAGGTGAAACGTACTACTAGGGATAATGCTGTTCACGAATTGATACTGCAGTGTCACACTAGTCTCATTCAAGATTTGGAAATGGGGAAATATATAGTTCAGGAAATATCAGAAAAGTATTCGTTACCCTTGCAAAAGATTACATCCAGTGAACGGTTAGTGTTTGACAAAGCACAGACTCTTTGTTTATATCGCAAGGTGGTTGCAGAATTTGACAAGGATGAAGGTATGTTTAAGCCCAGGCCTGAGAAAATTGTTGAGGAGCCTACAATAATTGTGATGTGTAAGGCTGATGATTATGCCAATATTGTTAAGACGGAAGAGAATCTTGTTAAACATGCAGTAGCCATCAAAAAAAGGCATCCTAATAAGAAGGTCATTTATGTTATTGAAGGTGCTGAGCAACTTATTAAAAAGGTTAGAAATAAAGCTAGCCGTGATATGCAGAATCGGGTACGGCAGATGATGGGGGAGTCTTCAAATCGGCGGAAACGTAATCAGAATGAGAGCAATTCTGAAGATATACAACATATTAATACGTCCCACTTTGAAAACACATATATTCTATTACAAGTACGATACCAGTTTCGTGTTGTTCATACAGGTGGTGTTGCGGATACTTGTGAGTGGTTGGTAGATATGCTTCAAGATATTGGGACTGAGTATTATAAGAAGTTAAAAGCTGAGGCCAATCCAGATTCAGATGTTAGAGTCAGGAGTGGTAACAATACTAAAGAAGAGTTTGTGAATGCTTTGGAACATATCAAGTTCGTAACACCTAGTGTATCTTTGACTGTTTCAAATGAGTATAAAAACATTTATGAGTTATCAAAGGAAATGAGGAATCCTGCTGGGGTCTCTGAGTTGGCTAGTCTGAAAAAGGGCAAGGCGTCCCAGCGCATTGGAGGGGCCCTTGCTGAATCCATTCATTTATTACTGACTAGTGATAATCCCAATGTGTTTCTGTCGGAGTCTTGAATTATGTTTTTTTTTTTTTTTTTAATGTGTGTGTGAAAGATTGACCCACTAGCATTTAACCAGGGGGGGTGTGGATTTTTATTATTGAGAAATATATATATATATATATATATATATATATATATATAGTGAATACTATATACACTTACACTATTGGAATAATTAAAAAAAGGATAAATAGTGATTGTTCAAATGGATATTAAGAAGGTGCATGGTTGTGGTGGTTGTGGTGGTTGTGATGATAATAGTACGGTTATTTCACACACACACACACACACACCAAGGTTTTATATATAATTATATATGTTGACCCTGGTCGGCTCAATTTGAGAAAAGGGACGGGGGGTTGTTGTTGTTGTTGTTGTTGCTGCTGCCTTAGGGAAGCTCAATTGAGAAGAGTACATGGATTTGGTGGTGGTGATTTCCTAGGCTAATTTTATAATATATCAAAAGGTAATTAATAATTACTTTAAGTTATTATGATTTGATTAAGATAGATAGATGAAGATATATATATATATATATATCTTGAGAATATTTTGAATTGTTTTTTTTTTTGATGATTTAGTTTTAATTAATCAAAATATGAAGTTTTTTTTCTTTCTTTAATTTGATAAAAGTAAAAAAAAATAAAAAAAGATTGTAAGATGGAAAATATGGAGAGAATCGTTTTGAAGAGAAATTAAAAATATCCGATATTATTTAATAATAATGCATATATATAAAAAAAAAAAAAAATAAAAAAATCTAACCGACATGATGATATTAATTTTTAAAAAAAACCAACTTTTTAGGATTCACCAAAGTATTTATGAAATATATATTAATATAATTAATTAATATAATTAATATAATAAATAAAGTTAGAGAATCCCTTTTTTTAATATCATTAACATGAAAATGCTCTCCTTCTTTTTTTTTTTTTTTAAAAAAAAAAAAAAAAAAAAAAAATTGCGTGATGAGAAAAGGTGGATTTAAAAAAAAAAAAAAAAAAAAAAAAAAAAAAAAAAAAAAATGCCAAAGAAAAGAAAACAGACCCACAATTGCCTTAAAGGAGAAATAAAAAGGTTAGATTGAAGAAAATTAAAATAAAATAAAATAAAATAAAATAAAATAAAATAAAATAAAATTTCTTAATATATATATATATATATATATCCATTCATTTTTTTTTTCTCTCTCTGTTCAAATGAATCGGTTTAGATAATAAGAAATGATAATGAGGAATCATCGATCTCTCTCTTTTTTTTTTTTTTTTTTTTGGTTCTCAATTTTAATTTAATGGAGTAGTAGGAACTTGTTAAATTAATTAATAATTTATTCAGCAAGGGCAAAACATTAAATTAATAAGTAAAATATCAACAATATGCATCATCATCATCATCATTTTTTTAGGCTTTAAATGGTGATGATTATTATTATTATTATTGTGATGGTAGATTTTGAAAAATGATAATAATAATAATAATGATAATGATGATGATGATGATGATGATGTTGGTGGAGCTGGAGGTTTTAAGATGCACCCAGAAAAAATATCGTTAGAAACAACAACAACAACAACAACAACCCCCTTTGATAAAAAGAAAAAAAAAAGTTGGGGTTTTCTTAAATAAAAGAAATAAAATAATAGCCATTTAGATGGTTAAAAAAAAAATTTTTGCAAATTAGATAAATTTATAAAAAAAACGTTTTTCATTAAAACTATTTAAAAAAAAAAAGAAAAAAAAGAAAAAAAAAAAAAAAACAACTTTGAGATATACGACATGAAGAATAAAGAAAATATTATTTGAAGTATTTGAAGTATATTTGGAGAATAATTATTATTATTATCTATATTATTATTATCTATATTATTATTATCTATATTATTATTATTATATCTTCAAACGATTATGATGGTACACACCCCTTTTTCTCTACTAAACTAATGCATCAAAGTACCTGAAAGATTCTTATGCACATACATAAACACATAAACACACATACACACACACACACACACACACACACATACAAAACCCTTAAACTTTTTTTTTTTTTTTTTTTATGATACACCTTCATCATAAAGAGTGCCATAACCAAACAAACAAACAAACAAACAAGGTATTCAAACATCTTTGTAAAATAAATTTTTTTGAAAAATAAAAAATTAAAATTGTTTCAACATTTGGAAATTGTTTATCAATACAAACAAACAAATATATATATGTGATATTGTTTCTATTTTTATTTTTATTTTTTTAATGAGAGTTTGTTTGTTTGTTTGTTTGTTTGTTTGTTCGATTTCTTATAAAAAGCCTTTGATTCTCCAGATTTTAATAACATTCATTCATATTCAACTATAAATTTAATAAACTAAAAAAAAAAAAAAAAAAAAAAAAAAAAATTAAAGTCCAAATCACCTTGGGGACTCTTAATATCTGACTACATATATATATATATATATATATAAACATTAATTGTCTCTAACAATTGTGTCAAATCAATCAAAATCATTTTGAAATCAATAAATGTGTCTCCTTCAAATTGTTCAGTTTAATTGTGGTCATAGTCGAAGTTTCCTATTTCCATGTGGGAAAAAACCTCAACCATGGGGGTGTCATGCTGAAAGATCACATTGTGATAGAAATAATGGATGTGAAAAGTGTAAATGATGAATTATTTGAAAATAAAAAAAAAATAAAAAAATAAAAAAGGATTTTTTTTTTTTTTTTTTCAAATTTTTATATTTTTTATATTTTTTTTTTTATTATCAAGCAAACCAACAAATGTTTAAGTTCCTCCTGGCCCCTTAAACTATCCTCATAACGACCCAAGTCTTAAAAAAAAAAAAAAAAAAATCACAATCTAATGCGAGTTTACAAAAAAGAGATTTACTAGATGAAAAATATAACAATATATATATATATATATTTGCATAGACGCATATGAATATATATATATATATAAATATTTATTTATTTATTTAAATAAGTAAAAAAAGAAAGAAAGAAAGAAAGAAAGAATATTGGAGGTTGAGGAGTGGAAAAAGGAAAGTTGGGAAATGTACATTAACTTTTTTTTTTTTAATTATTTTTTTTTTTATTTTTATTTTATTTTATTATTTCTTGTTGTTGTTTTTTTTTGTAATTAAATATATTTTGTTAAATTAATCCTCTAATAAAAAATATCAATTATTTTTTTTATTTCTTTTTTTTTTTTTAAAAAAAAAAAAAAAAAAAAAAGGTCCTTTATCTTAAATTGAATCCATGAAATAATAACAATTAATAACAATAATTATAATTATAATAACCACACTAAACCTTGTTATTTATATTAATTTCAAACTAAAAAAAAAAATAAATATAAATATATTTAAATCGCTTAATACTGTAAATTAGTTCTCATGACTCTCTGTTGCTCTTTCTCTTTAGGCTATAATGGGAAAAATCAATCATAATGATATTATTAATTAGATAAAAATTACTTTGCTTATTATTTTATTTTATTTTATTTTTCAGTATTATTAGCAACTTTTAATTCAAATTATATTTAAACTGAATGAATACTAACATGTGAAATTCTTTAATTCCCTATCTTTATTTTATTTTTTTTTATTTTTTTTTTGAGGTTCACCGTCATGGATGATAATAGATCCTCAAAAAAAATAAAATAAAATAAAATAAAATAAAATAAAATCTCTCTCTCTCTACTATCCCCCACACACATTTGTTTATTTTCTAATCATTTTTACCCTCAATGACGTATTTCCTACTCAATTCTTTTTTTTTTTTTTTTTTTAAATCAATCTTTTCCTTTACTCCTTGCCCCCCTTGGTTTGTGGGGTAGATAGAGTATATTATTTTAAATAATTGGTTCACAATTGATCAAATTCATGTCATTATCACATAAATCATCATCCCTCATATTTAAAATATCGATAAACCTTTTTTTTTTTTTTTTGCTTCTATTTGTTATTAATTGGTTTAATTCAAAAAAAATATATATATACTATTTTGAATTAATCAATTATTAAAAACTATTTTATTATTATTATTCAAGGGTTTTTTTTAAAAAAAAAATAAAAAAAAATACGCAAGATTAGTATCAACACTATCCTCTTTTGATCTTATACTGTATATTATAGCTTTCCCACTTCACAATAAACTTTTGTTTTAACTTCAACTATTGCATTTTCAATCAACCTTGAAAATAAGTCCTTATGCCAGTTCATGGGAAACACGAGGTCAACCAACATTAAACTTACCAAACTTATTATTCCCACTCATCTTCATCAATTTTTTTTTTTTTTTTTTTTTTTAATTAGGGCTATTCTTTTAAAATACAAAACTTTTAAAAGTATTCATAAACCATAAAAAAAAAAATATCCCCAAGTTACTGGGCTTAAAATTATTCAACTACCTTTCTTTCTTTCTTTCTTTCTTTCTTTCTTTCTTTATTTTTTTTCTTTCTTCAAAGTCACTTCTGAAGACAGTTTTAGAAAGATTGTAAAGTACATTTCAACTCTATTTTAAAATAAATAAAGTTATGATATATACCACTTATCGTTCTTACTGTGCTACTAAGTTTCTTGCCAATTCTTTACTTACTACTTCTTCAGAATGCCAATTTTTTTTTTTTTCTCTCTCTGATCCGGTTATTGCTAATATTTAAGTGTAAACCAATAACAACAGCCCTTCCCTGCTATCATAAAGTTTAGTCTAACACTATATATATATATATATATATATATAACCAAATCCCTGACTTCTTTTGTAATACCGCAATTGAAATTATTATACGATATACACAAACAGTTCTTCTTCTTCTTCTTCTTCTTCTTCTTCTCAAACTCATATTCTGAATCATTTCAAACTTGTTAAGTTCTGTTTTTCTTTAAAAAAAGAAAATGGTCTTATGATGATCCCAAATTTTTCTAAACTATATTTCATTATTAATCTTATATACAAGCAAAAAATATATACAAGTATACCTTACTTCAAACTTCTTAGTATACCTTTTTACATGTTACCAAGATTCAAAATAATATCATTAGCTTCCTTTTTTTTTTTTTTTTTTTTTTTTTTGAGTTTACAAAGTTCTCCAAATGATTAAAGTAAATTGCCCTTCTTCCTTTTTTTAGATTTAATATATATATATATAAAATGAATAAAACCAAATTTTTTTTTATCGCCCAAATAAAGTTTGGTAATACTTGACTTAGTCCAATTGCAGTATAATTTTTTTTTTTATATGGTGATATCGAAACTTCACATAACCTTGAAACCCCTTTTATTTATTTTTTTTTTTTTTCCTTTCTTTATTTTGACTCGCCATCTTTAAAAACTTTTTTTTCTCCTAGTAATTATTACCTATTAAAAACATGATCAATTTCACTTAAAAGTGCTTTTTCCATATTTCATACCTTTATTTCCCCTCTATCAACCATAGTAATTAATGTTTTATCCTCAAGTTTAATATTTTGTACAATGGTCTCAATTGCTTTTTAAAATTAATATATTTTAAAATCTTTCAAATTGCATTTCCCTTTTAATCTACCATTTATTACTATACCTGTGATTAAAAAAAAATTCTTTCTTGTTTTTTTTTTTTTTTAATATCCTCAATTTTTTTTTTTTTTATTTTTGTTTTATTATGACCAAATTATATTTGTTTTTGATAAGCTTCCAGTTTTATTTTAAAAGAATTTTTTCTCAACTTTTCCCTTAGTTTATCTTTTTTTAATAATCTTTCAACTTTATCACAAATTTAATTTTATTTATTGAATTTATAATTATTTATTTTTTTTATAACTTTTTCTAAAAACATTTATACTATAGTTATCAATTTATTCAATTGATTTCAAAAAAAAAAATAAAATAAAAAAATTACTTTTTTTGTCAAACTTTTCCAAATATATATTATTCTTATTCAATTTTTTTTTATTCTTCTATTTGCTTGTTTGTTTATTTTTATTTAAATGTTATTGACTTATATATAACATCAATATCTGTGCTATTCTATTTTTTTGTTCTTACTATATATATATAGCATTCCATTTTCATAATAAACTTTTAAATTGAGTTCAATATTACATCTCCAATTGCTCAATATTAAATTTTGATGTTAGAAAATAAAAGCAAAAAGTCAATCATCAAATATTCTTGAATTACATATAAATAAAGCTTTAAAAAAATTAATATTTTATTATTATTAACTAGTTAATGTTCTATTGCTATCTTATTTTATTCATATTTTCAATAATTACAAGACTCCGTGGCCAAGCTGGTTAAGGCGCACGACTGTTAATCGTGAGATCGTGAGTTCAATCCTCACCGGGGTCGCTTAACTTTTTATATTTTTTAGAATTGTCAATCTGTCTATAAATATTTTTTTTTCCTATTTTTTCTTATTTTTCTTAAATTTTAAATTTTAAATTTTGGGAGAACAAATACTTGTTAATGTCAAGAAAAAAAAAAAATTTAAAAAAAAAAAAAAAAACACACAAAAAGTTTTGAGTATTATTAATAAGCTTTGGGCATGGGGTGATTTTTAATCTTTATTGTGGTAAAAAAATAAACATATACGTATTATATTTAGTGCTCCTAAAAAAAATACAAAATTCCCTGTTTTATTTATTTATTTATTTTTTTTCTTGTTGTTGTTGTTGTTGTTCCGTGTAACACTAAAAATATTTAAGAAATAGTGACATGAATTTCGGCATTTAATCAACATTTAAAATTTTTTTTTATGCTTAATATTTTCAAAAGAATGAATGTTAAATCCAAAAAAAAAAAATAAAAAAATAAAAATAAAAAAATTTAAGAAATTTAAAATCAAATGATTTACTATATTAATTTAATTCACTAATAAGCATTACCTTAATTGTTAAAGTATAAGAATTAGTTATTTTCTGTTATATATAATTTTATTAACAGCTCATTAAAATTACAAAGCATTGATGATGATGATGATGATGATGATGATGATGATGAAGATCCATTAAACGAAAAAAATAAAAAAAAAAATAAAACTTTCACGTTACCCCTGTTTATATATAACTTTTTTTTTTTTTTTTTTTTTTATAGTATTCCGTGAGTGAGTTACCAATTAATGCGAAAGAGAATAAGCGATGAATGGTTTGCACTGTTATATATATATATATATATATATATATTACATTAAAAAAAAATGAAAGTATATTTACTTTTATATATATAAAGTCTAATCTGGTGATTCAAATCTTCAATCATTATTATATTTTTATTTAGTCAAAAGGAATAATTTAAATGTTTATTTTATTTATTTTTTTTTATTAATATATACAAATACTAGTGGTACTTTGAGTTATAAAATGAATGAATATTGAGCCACTTCATTAAGTAATTTGATTGACCATTCTCATAAAATGTTGACTTTAAATATCTTTCTCACTTTCTCAAAAAAAAAAAAATACTGTTTACTCAGGTAGAAGAAGGGTGTTTTTAGTGATATTTATTTATTTATATTTATATTTATTTTAATTGTTAAAATCCACAATATATATATATATTCTGCAAAAGTAAAAATTCCATTATAGCAATGAATAAAAGGCAAATAAATTCCCACCAGTCGGCATATGGCAAAAAAAAAATAAAATTCTTATACAGAGCCTTATCTAATTTTTTTTTTTTTTTTTTTTAATATTAAAAAGAAATAAATTAAAATAAAAAATATTCAAAGTATTCTGTTAAATAAATTGGAAAGTTTTGGTAGTCTTTTATTTTATTTTATTTTATTTTTCTTTATACTTTTATTAATTCTATCTATCTTTGTTTCTCCACATATATTGGTATTATTTATTTATTATTTATTATTATTATTATTACAAAATTTCAAGCTAGGAAACTATAGGTAGTACAAAATGGAGCCATTTTTTTTTTTTTTTTTTTTCTTTCGTCGACGATGGTGATGATAATGATGAGATGAATGAGTGTTGTATAAAATTATAAAAAAAAAAAAAAAAAAAAAAAAAAAAAAAAATAAGGAGAGAATTCATTCTTAATAGTGATAATATTGTTAATAATAAATATATTATCCAAAGTAGAAAATAAAATAGAAAAAAAAAAAATAAGTTTTTTCATTAACAAAAATATTTATTTATTTATTTATTTATTATATTAATTATATAATTATTATTATTATTATTATTATTATTATTATTATTATTATTATTATTATTATTATTATTATTATTATTATTATTATTATTATTATTATTATTATTATTATTATTATTATTATTATTATTATTATTGAATGAAAATAGTTTAGATATTATATTAATCTTTGAATAAAACTAGTATCTAAACTATTTTCATTCTTTCCAAAAAAAAAAAAAAACATTGTTTGTTTTTATTCAATCCAAAAAAAAAGAAATTTTGTTTGTTTTTATTCAATCCAAAAAAAAAGAAAAATTGTTTGTTTGTTTTTATTCAATAAAAATTTGTTTGTTTATGTTTGTTTGTTTTTATTCAAGGATTATAGAATTATATAACATCAGCATCTGCGCTATCCTTTTATTGTCTGACTATGTGACTTGCCGGTTTTCATTTGTACCTTTTTAGTACGGGTGGTTTCTGTTCTGTGCGTCTCCGGTAGCCCGGAAGATGGGCCCTGATGCCAGCTTACGAGGAACAGGGAGAACCAGTCTGTCGGTCCCAAAACCTTCCCAACCCATTTCCACTTATCTTCACGGACGCCCATGTATTTCTTAATCTCTTCCGTCAGAGATACGGCCCGCAATCACCTGCAGGCTATTTAGACTGTACGGAAGAGTCGGCATTCCTGTAACCAGGGTAGCCTATGGTTTTCAGTCTAGGTGTATACTCCCGTACACATCCTCAGGAAAAGGGGGTATTCTGGGAATTGAACCCAGTATCTTCCGCTTTCGAGCGAACGTGTTATCCTTTACACCATCCAGCCCTTTCCCTTTCCCTATTCAATAAAAATTTAAAAAAAAAATTTCCAATTTTTAATTTGTTTACCATATATATACTCGAAACAATCTTTTTAACAACAATTTAAATAAAAAATCGGCAATAGTTTAGTGGCTAGAATTTCCGCCTGTCAATTGCAGCTCGCGGGGGACCGGGGTTCAATTCCCCGTTGCCGAGTTTTTTTTTTAGATTTTTTTGGATTTTTTTTTTTTTTTTTTTTTTTTTTTTTTCATTTATCATTTATCATTATTTCATTTATCATCAAATTCATCTATATATATATATCCATTTTGTCTAAATGCATAAAGAGTCATCAAGAGCTTCATTTATCATCATTAGAAACTCTATTACTATTTTTCGTAAAAAAACTTTTTTATTTTTTTTTTCTCTCACATGTCTCTTTTTTTCTCTTTTCTCTTTTCTCTTTTATCTTTTTTTTTTTTTTTTTTTTTCTTCTTCTTCTTCTTCTTTTATTTTTGACGTTTTCTAGCATGCATAAGGTCTTGATCAGCCATGGCAGCAGCAGCAGCAGCGGCGGCAGCGGCAGCAGCAGCGTTATTTGGTGCTGGTCGTTTATGTGCAGTTGAGGATGAGTAAATAACATTAGACTTGATATCATTATCATCATTTGAAATTCTGCGGCTTGGGTATTCATAGCGTTGGCCTTGGAAAACATTTTCAGAAACACGAGGAGTTTCCGAAAAGTATGGGTGAGCAAGGGCAGCATGGGCTGTGATTCTGCGGGCTGGGTCATATTCCAAGAGTGATGCAAGAAGATGGAAAGCACGTTGGTTAGGAGCTGAAAGAATGTGGCTTTGGTACCATGCATCCAGATGGCATGGACATTTTTTAAGTAGCTGGAATTGAGCAAACTCCGGGTATTTAGAGAGTGAAGGCCATTTATCAATGGTAGGAGTGCCAAGGATATCAACGACTTTTTGAAACTGGTTACGTTGAAAGGGCACGTTTTTTTTGTTATCCATTTTGGCCTCTTCTCCCTTGAAAATAGGTTTAAGGGCAAGTAACTCTGCAAAAATACAACCTACAGCCCATAAATCAATGGCTGGTGTGTAGTGTCTTGCACCTAGTAAAAGCTCTGGGGCACGGTACCAAATGGTAACAACCACCTTATCACCACTAAAAAAGGATTGAAGGGGGTCACTAAATAAACGTGCAAGACCCAAATCTCCAATTTTAACAATTCCATCCGAGGAGAGCATAATATTTGCGGGCTTTAAGTCACGATGGAGGACCCAATTTTGGTGAAGATAAGATACACCATTAAGGATTTGCCAAAGTACAGACTTCATTGTAGATTCTGGAATAGGTTTGCGGTCTGGGTGGGTATGGTAATGAATGATTTGAAGAAGATCATGTTCAGCAAAGTCAAAAACCATGAAAATGGACTTGTCTTCGAGAACAATTTCAACCAAGTTAATTACATTTTTATGACGTAGCTCACGACACAGGGCCATTTCACGGCATGCTGATTGTGAAATACCAGTATAATGAACAATTTCTCCTTCCTTGTCAGCCTTAAATTTTTTGATAGCAAACAATCGTGATTTCATTTCTCTAAAAGAAAAAAAAAAAAAAAAAAAAAAAAAAAAAAAAAGGAAAAGAGTTAGAAATGTCAAGTTGAAAAAAAAAAAAAATAGATTATAGTTATTATACTTACGGATTTTGAGACTTTGCCTTGTATACTCTAATAATAGGGGGAAAGAAAAAAAAAATCATAATGTTAGAAGTTGTTGTAAATGCCATCAATGCTCTTGCAAGGCTTTCAAAAATTATTAAACATACTTTCCATAGGTACCAGCTGCAATATAACCCATGATTTCGTATGAATCCAGGAGCCGCTTTCTTGTGCGGTCTTTTCTTGATTTAAAGCTTGCTAAAGGGTTTGTTACCATTGGAGAGCGTGATGAATTAGAATTAGACGAGGAGGAGGAGGAAGAATGATGGTGATGATGGTGATGATGATGTTGTTGTTGTTGTTGTTGTTGTTGTTGTTGTTGTTGTTGTTGTTGTTGTTGGTGTTGTTGTTGCGGCTGCTGCTGCTGCTGATGATGATGGTGTTGTTGTTGTTGTTGTTGTTGTTGTTGTTGTTGCCGGTTTTGGGACAAAGCTTGTGCAATTTCTTGCGATATCGGATGTTGATGCTGGACCACTCGGGCCGAACCAGAGATGATGTTATTATTTGATTGGATTCCTACTGAGGGGATTCTAGCAGAACGTGATGCAGATGATGTAGTAGTGGTATTATTATTATTATTATTATTATTATTATTATTGATTGATGAACGAGATGCTTGAGTTTGGATAGGTAAAGAGAAGGATTGTGGAGGATGGTTATGAGGATTGATTACCTGGGGAGGAGGATAGTATCTTGATTTAGAGTATTGCTGTGACGAAGGCTGTGGGGCAATAAACTGAGAAGATGCGATGCGGTCATTAGAAGAAGAAGAAGAAGAAGAAGAAGAAGAAGAAGAAGAAGTAGTAGTAGATGATGAAGAGAGTTGATGAGAGATGTGAGAGAACTGTGGGAACTGTTGTTGAAACTGAGGAGCTGAAGAAGAAGAAGAAGAAGATGTTAAAGATGATATTTGACGAGAATTATTATTTGCAAAAGACTGTTTATTGCTGTTGTTGATGTTGTTTGATGAAGAAGAGTTGTTGTTTGTGGTGTTATTTGTATTATTGAACATTAGAAGACATGAAAAAAAAAAAAAAAAAAAAATTATGTGGTGGTGATGATGATATATATATATATATAAAATCCCTTTTTTTTTTTTTTTTTTTTTTTTCTACAAGATGCTATTATTTTTTTTTTTTTTTATAAATTATAATTATATATATATAAAATAAATGAATTTAGAAATGAAAAAGATGATTCTAAAATGAAGATAATAAATATATATATATATGAAATAAAAAAAAGTTGAAAGTTTTACTTTAATTTTTTAAATTTTTTTTTAAAAGAAATGGCAGAAAACAAATGTATTGGTCAGTCTTTAAAATAAAATCTGTCAGTCAGTCAAAAATACGGGGTTATTATTTATTATTATTTATTATTGTAATTATTTATTAACAACAATATTGTTGTTAATGTTGTTGTACAGAAAAAAAAAAAAAAAAAATTGTCAGCCTTTAAAAGTCATCCACCTTCAAAGGCAACAACCAACAACATAGAAGAAACAAAAAAAAAAAAAAAAAAAAAAAACACTAAGGGCGGCTGAATGGAAGGCAAAAAAAAAAAAGAAAGATTTGAGAGAATTTTTTGTTTAAATCAAAAAAAAAAAATCAAAAAAAAAAAGAAGCAACAGAAAGAAGGTTTTTATAATGAAATGTTGATGATGATGATTATGATGATTATGATGAAAAAAAAAATATTGCAAGAGAGATATTGAAGTGATTTTTTTTTTTTTTTCATATAAATTTATTTATATTTATATATATATATATATATAGATAAAGTAAAAAAAAAAAAAAAAAAAAATTAGATATAGGAAGTTTTAAGCGGAAAATCATTATTTTTATTTATTTTTTTTTATCAAAATTATCATCAAAATCATTAAAGTCTTTTTATTTATTTAATTTTTTTTTTTTTTTTTTTTTTTCCATTTGATTACTCAACAACAGAGCAACTTTCTAAGGTTTTTTTTATATATTATTATATATATATAATATATATATTTTTTTTATTTTTCAATTTAAATTAAAATAAGACCCCATATAAAGATAAATATAAAATCTTAAGTCCCGACCTTGTTGTTGTTGTTGATAGTGTTCCGGACGGGTCTTTTTTTTTTTTTTTTTTTCAAAACACATGACCCGTGTTGTATATGAGTTTTTTTTTTTTTTTTTTTTTTTTTTTTGGGGGAGGGAGGGAGGGTTTGTGGGCACGTGGCTTGTAATAATAATAATAATAATAATAATAAGATATCACAAAAAAAAAAAAAAATGAATAGATTATATAAGTTATGAGTAACTTCTTCTTCCCTCAATCCCCCACGAAATTCTTAAAATTTTTAATACGTCATGACAATATTAAACGCGTCAATCAGCTGCTCTTTTTTTTTTTTTTTTTTTTTTAAAAAAAATTTAAAATTTAAAATTTAAATTAATTCGTAGTGCAAAAACAACAACAACAACAACAACAACAACAACAACCCGCCATGTTCTGATTGACATTCTAATAGATATATAAATAAATATAAATAAATAAATAATAAACACAAGAATTCATCGACATTGTAGTAAGTGAAAGATGGATCCACGCGTATACTTATTTAATAAATAAATAAAAATACATCTCAAGATGATCGATCGTTAACTCTACAATGGATTCACAACTTGTAGATTTTTTTTTATTTTATTTTTTTGTTATTTGTTGTTGTTGTTAGGAGGAATTTTTTATTTATTTTTTATTTTTACAATCAGGCAAGAAAAATTTTTTTTTTTTAAAAAAAATTTTACTTACCTGGTAAATTAAATTAAACGCTTTAACAACATACCTGGTAAATAAACAAGGTATTTCTCCTACAATTTTAATCTTTCCACCTATAAGTTTTTCCCAAACACCGCCACAAAATAATAATAATAATCATAATAATCATAATAATCATAATAAAATAATCATAATAATCATAATAATCATAATAATAAACAAAAAATCCACACCACCACTGCCTATCTCTATAAGATCCTTTACATATACATAAACTTCATAGCAAATCCAGCCCAACTATCCCCATCTCTTACACCCCCCACGATATATCCACTCACCCATAGTAATCTGCTCTCCGTGTATTATCGTCCATATCAGTGATGGAGGAAGATGGAATTCGACAGATCGCTAGCGCGCTGGACGCTGTTTACAGCCCCTCCTCAAATAATAGAGCTCGCAGCGAAGCAAACACGGTATGTCCTTTTATTATCACTATCTTTACTACCACCAAAAAACATCCATCAATCAATCAATCAATCAATCAATCATTACTCATTTTCTAATCAACCAACTTGCCTTTGTTTTTTTTTTTTTTTTTTACAGTTTTTGGAGTCGGTCAAATCAAAGCCAGAAGCTCCTTACTGGGGCTATCAACTAGCTCGCCACCGCTTCGAGTCAAACGAAATGGTTCGCCATTTTGGCTTGCTTCTAATCCAAAATGCAATCCAATACAGTTTCATGTCCTATGACCAGACTCAAAAATTGGCCATTCGCAATTGGATTATAGAACTCGCCACAAATGTAGTTCCTCAAGACCCTCATTATATTAAAGAAAAAATTGCAATCCTTTGGGTTGCTGTAGCTAAACGTGTTTGGGGTTTAAACACGGAAAATAATAATAATGGTGATTCCACTAATAATAATAATAATAATAATAATAATAATAATAATAATAATAATAATAATAACAACAACAACAACACTCAAGATATTAATGATACCTCTATACAAAACAATAATAATGGCTTTTTAAAACAACCAACAATTACAAATGATACCCTTAACAGCGATGACCAACTCGCAAACAATAATGACTTTAATGATACAATTAATGAAGATGTCAATGAAGTGGCTGACTTAAACGACTACAACAGATCAGACGAGGGTTGGGTCGACATGGACAAAATCCTCTACAGAATGTGGAAGGCCGGACCTGCAACTCGAGACCTCTCTCTTAGTATATACCGCACTCTCTTTGAAGACATTTATATTCTTGACGATCCAGTAGCTGATAAGCGCGCAACCCCACTTGCAGCCCAGTGCATAGAAGTTGTCACCTCTAAATCCGTCCTTTACATGATGTATGAACAATCATCAGACCCACTGGTAAAATTCAAATACGGCAGACAAGGTTGGCTTATCCGTTGGTCTCGTCTCCTTAAAGAATGTCTCGACTTGGGCTTTGGCGACCCTGAAGTTGCAAAACTCGCAGTCAGAATCTTAAACACAATCAAAACATGCCTTTTCTGGGTTTTCCCCCTAGTCCTCCGCCAAGCTGATGTCCTTCAGCGACTTTGCTTCGCCATGTCTGCAAATAACATTGAAGTCCGTATCCTTGCCGTAGAGTGCCTCCATGCTCTCTTTTCAAGAAACTTTAATGGTGACGATGATTTTCAAGCAATCATTGGCTCTGTCTTTTTACCTGATAGTCTCAACTCTCTTGCTCAAGTATACCAATCAGTTCAAAATATCGACCTCACCCGCTTTAACGAGCGTGCTTACATCCTCAATAAGAGAATGGTTGAAATGATTGTAGGCCTTGGAGAGTATCTAAACTTACCAAGAAACCGTCTCCCCAAAGAAGCAAGCCTTAAACAATACCTCTATCTGGTTTTGGAAACAACAAACAACCCTTCCCTCGTCATCTCCGGAATGTCCCTACAGTTCTGGTGCTCCGTCCTTCGTGTCGACAAACTCAACACCCGCCCAGAAGTCCTCGAACTTTTACCTAAACTTCTCGAAATTGCGGCAGATCGTTGCATCAAGTTTGAAGATGTTGGTGAAGACCACATTGCTCGCCAATACCTCGACTATGACTTTGACTCGGCTTCCGATAGTCAAGTCTTTTTAACAAACTACCGCAAGTTTATGGAAGATATTGTTCGTCTCATTGTCTGCATTCTTCCTGTACCTTCCCTCACCTGGCTGGAAAACAGAATGAGTGCCTTTTTCTCCTCCGACATTGGCCGCCGTAGTTTGGACGTTTACAAGCTTGATTACACTGACAATCCCTCTTACTTTTTGGCTTATTCTCAATTTGTCCTTGTCGAATGTGCTCTCCGCGGAGTCACCAGATGGAAAATATGGTACAATGGCCCCGACAAGGAATCCATCCAAAAGGAACTTTCTCTCATTATTGAGCGATGGTGTAACCAACTCATTTTCATGAAAATCAACGACCCCATGCTCCTCCGCAAACACGTTCAAACCCTTGTCCAGTTTGCCCCCTCTCTCCTCGACCACTCTGAACTCATGTTTAGAGTTCTTGAAAAAGTCCTCCTGGCTTGCACTTTTGAGTACCCATCTGACACTATCACCGATGAGGACCGTGAAACTATTCGTGACCTCCGTACCAGTTGCGGTACTGAACTTAATCGTCTGGCCTACATGATGCCTGACGTTCTTAACCAAATCTATGATGACCTTGAGCGTGTCATTGCACAAACAATATCCTCCAACAAGCTTAGCGATCACGAGTCGGTCGCCTTTCTTTCATTCTTGCTTGTTGTATCCCAGCGCTCAAACATTAGCAACAAACCAGAACGCTTCGCCAAAATCGTCGACCCTGTCTTGTCCTCTTGGAGTGATGAAGGCACCATCAAGGGACTCAGCGATTTGCACTGGTTCATGGAACGCGTTGGTATTGTCAAAATTGCAGAGTACTTTAGATCCCGCGGAGTTACCTCCACAACTGATCTTCTTGCAACAAACATGGACGATCAGGGCAAAGCCTTAAAGGCAGAACTTAAAGCTAAATGGTCAGCCTTGTTTCCTATCCGCGCAACAAGAATCTTCATTCAATACACTATTGAAAAACTCAACCACACTTCCGAACCCTATCTTGACTTGCTCGAACTTTGGAAACCACGCATCCAGCCCATTCTTCCACACATTTTGCAGCTCATTGCTCAAATCCAAGCATACCACAATCCTGAAAACTGGCACACCCTCCCCATTGAGGTCCAGTCGTTTGTCAAGTACAGCTGCATGGAACGCTTCTGGCAAGTTGGTGTCTCGACCCAAACAAAGGACGAATTTGTTGACGAAAACGTCAAGGCCATGCACACTCTCCGTGACTTTGCTGACTCGGTCGGCCATATTATCCGCTACACTCGCGAGTATGCCTTTTTGACTCTAGGATCCATCAGCCAACTCGAAGAAACAATCTACGAGATTCCTGGCATGGCCCGCAGACTTTACGAGGCTCTTGCCGGTGACTCTGCAGGCATCACATCCCATTCATGGCGCCACATGACGTCTCTTGTTTTGCGAAATATTGTCAAAAACTGCCCCGTTTACTTGATGGACCCCTTTCTGCGCGAATTCCTGCCGCCCATGCTTACCAAGCTTGATATGGTTCTTTCGGAAAAATGGGAACATGTTCTCCGAGAAGGCATTATGATTCATGGCGACGATGATAACCCACAAGACTTTTCTGAAGAAATGATGGAAGAGCATCTTCTTAGACAACTTACAGCTGTCGTAGACCGCTTCTTAATTGATATGGTTGGCCAATTAGGTGCCAAGCCTTCTTCTGAGTCTTCTACAAACTCAACACAACAAGCGTTAAAACAAGTTGTACTCAAGAACAAGGTGAGTATTTTATTTATTTATTTATTTATTTTTTTTTTTCAATACCATCAATGCGCTTTATACTAACTTTTTATTAGGAAATTCTTGCACCATTTTTATCATTGTGCACACACATCATGTCTTTTAAAGACAATAGATGCAGTTTTAATAGCTGTCTGATTATGCGCAATATTCTGCCCGATATTTTAGGGTTTGATGTTGAGGTGGATAACTACGTGTGTGACAACCTCATTAAGACATGTTTTGACATTCTCAATGACAAGTACTTTACCGATGTCCATCATGAGGCTGGCTATGTACTTACTGTGGTATACACACTTCTGCGGCCCAAGTACCAGCGACCGTTTGATGTTTTGTGTGGACTAGTACCTAACGTGCCAGCCCGCGACATTGAAGATTTCGAAAAACGAATTGCGGAGGGGCGAACTTTGCGTCAGCAGCGTGGTGAATTTCTTGAATTTTTGTCGTTTGCTCGACGTGGAGTTGGTGCTACAGCTCAAGGTCAAAATGGGGCTCATTCTGTGATTGAATCATCGTACGATGCAAGTCAACGACTGGCACAACAAAAGAAACAAGAACGCAAGAATGAAAAGGAAAAGAAACTGCTTACACGGAAAAAACCAACAGACGTTATGGAAACAGAAGAGCTGGAACAGAGTATGGTTAATTTGTTTGGCGATGCTTCTTATTGAAAGGGAGGGGAAAAAAAAAAAAAACTTGGAGAAACTGAAAAAAAAACAAAAATCCCTAAAACTTTTTGACCTTTATTTTTATTTTTTTTTTATAAAAACCAAAACAAAGAAAAAAATGTTAATTTAAACAACTTGAAAAAGAAGAAAAAAAAAGTTGAGAAAAGAAAGAAAAAAAAAATTATTATTATTAAAAGTGCGGAATGATTGGATTGGAAAAAGTTAACATTTCATTCTAAAATTTGAAATAGTTTTTTGAGATTTTTTTTTTTTTTTTAAAAATATATATATATATATATATATATATATGTTCCTGTTATTATTTATTATATATTACCGTTATATACCCAGTTGAATTGTAAGTTAAATAAAATCCATTTAAAGGGATTATAAACATTTTATTTTTATTTTTATTTTTATTTTTATTTTTTTTAAACAAGAAATGTGATGAAATGCTTTTACCATAAATGTGTGCGGCTCAAAAACATATCACATTATTGCACACACACATTTAGACATATTTAGAATTCAAAATGATTAGAAAACTAAAATGACAAGATATTTTACTACAAATTGTCAGTTGTATAATAATCTTTAGTAAAAAAGTGTAAAAAATTCCAAAAAAAAAAAAAAAAAATTTTTTTCTTTACCTTCTACTTTAATTCATTATTATTATTATTATTATTATTATTATTATTATTATTTTTTTTTTTTTTTTAAAAACCCTATATACTCATCATACTTAACAGTAATACAATGTTTTCCTGGATATCTTCATTATTATTCTTGGGACTTGATCATAATATTCAACAGGAAGAAGAAGAAGAAGAAGATGAACCATTACCAGACCAAGTCTTACCAGATCAGTCACTTGATTTGCAACAATTAGAGTCACAAGAACCTGGGGGTCCAGAAGAAGAAGAAGACGACGACGAACAACCCCAGCAATCTATAGAAGTATTTTCAAGCGGTACAGGAATACACAATAATACTATGGTGACGACGCTGGATGAACAATTTAGGTCTAATCATGAGCAAGTTACCTGTTTTTCGTTCCCTAAAAATTCTATGATCAAGCCGTCTTATAAAATTAGGCTTGAGTGGGAAAGAAAACGACAAAATTTTCGACACAGGAATTTAAAAAATAAAAACTATTTCCCTTCTTTGGAAAAAATGCGACAAAAACGTAGGGAACGAGAGATAGAGAAAAAGTTGTTGTTAAAGGCAAAGCTTAAAGCAAGACAACAAGAGGATCAGGAATGGGACCGATTACGAGAAGAATCTGAAAAAGAACAAGAAGAAGTGGAGCAAGAAATGAAGGCAATGTTGATTGATCATTATGAAGGATATGATGAGAGTAATAAAAATAATTATGAAAATTTTTATTTAAATGTCTTTGGAAAGACGACTGAGCTTTTGAATCAAGAAAATGATGACAACAATAGGGTAACAGAGGCAAGAGAGACTTGTGAAGAGTCCTTTTATAAGGATTGCCAAAAATTGGTGGGCTCAGATAATAATTGGAAAAAGGAAAAAAAAGAAAAAAAAGAAGAGAGAGGCTTTATAATTGATCAAGAATTCAATGGAAGTGTGAGTTTCAAAGATAATAAGAGCCACAAGATGGAGAGTTTTAATAGTGACAATGGAATCACGAGTGGTCGACAACATTACGAAGAAAACAGTGATAACAATAGCAATGATGAGGATGATGATGATATTGATAGTGATGATAGTAGTGATGACTTTTCTGCTGTAATTAGTGCAAGCTTGTTAGGACACACAGGACCAAATCCGTTTGTGGCCCAACATGGGGGATCTGAACTCGTGACATTACTTGAACAACCCACGACCTGAAAATTCAATTATATATAATGCTCATGAGGGAAAGGAGGGGGGGGAGAACAAAAAAAAAAAAAATTAGTTATTTGTACTGCTTTAATATGAATATGTATCTAGTAATTAATTTTTTAAGTTAAAAAGAGAGATACACAAGGTTATTAATGAAGACCTTTAAATAATAGTAGTGTTTGAGCACCAAGTGTTTGAATGAGTTTTGAAGGTTTAGATTTTGATTGAATTTGAAGATATCAAAAAAAAAAATAATTAAAAAAATGTTACATTACATAATATATTATTAATGATTAATAATAACATCAAAATGATTTTAAATCAAATGTAGTGCAACGCGAGATCACGCTTTATTTGTACGGCAACCAATTGTGTTGATTAAAAAATTACACGACATTGCCGCGAAACTTTTTTTTTTTTTTTTTTCTTTTTTCTTTTTTCTCTTAAAACCTCCAAAAAAAAAAAAAAAAAAAAAATCAAAATTAATTTCTAGTTGATTCTTGCCGAAAGATTGAGATATATATATATATATTTAAATTTTCATTTATTTCCCAAGTGTTTTTTGCATTGCTGATCTAGATTTACTTCTTGATCTATACATTATACCTCATTAATATTCTACTTCAAGCAAATATATATATATATATATACTTCTTCTTTTCAAAAACCTTTCATAATCACATTGTGCAGATACACCAAAAAAACTTTTTTTTTTTTTTTTTATTATTTTTCTAACCGCCATTCATGTCCACCAACTCTAGGCGATATTTAACTCATCAACTGCAACTTTTCCTATTATCATTCTATTTTTGTTAACAATTTTAATTCATATACAATCAATCGATTTATTCATTATATCATTTCCATTTCCATTTCTCTTTCCCCTTCTTTTCCCTTTCCCCTTTCCCCTTTTTCTCCAGGCCTAGGAGCATTGCACCTCCGGCTCTGAGGGAAACATTCCCTTATCTTCAAAGCATATCTATATTTCTCAATCCCATTCATAAGATTTCATTTATAAAAAATATTTATATTTATATTTATATTTATATATCTATATCTATATATCTATATCTTTAGATTTATCAAATTATCATGGCATTTTCCAAGACCCTAAACGCACATAAAAAATGGTTCAACGATACCAAGGCTTATATTCCAACATTCCGTCCAATCCCCGCAGATGATTCAGTTCCAACAAATCTTCCGGTTATTTCAGTTCCTGGAGCTTCAAATACAAATACAACCACAAATGCGAGAAATAACACTTCATCTTCTTCTGCTTCCAATGCGTCCAATGCGTCCACTGCATTTACAAGTAACAGCAGGACTAACAACTCCAATCCTGCATTGTCTAACAACACTCGCGACAACAAACTAAACAGCATTCCAAATACTTCATCATCAACTACAATAGCTACTACTAATGCCACACCTGTGCGTCCATCTTTGTTTTCGGTAGACCGACAAGCAAACAAATCTAGTACTCCGCCAACACCTTTCACGCCCAGCACCAGCGCCAACGCAACTATAACTACACGGACACCTGGCGCGCGGCCCGCTACCAATTCAGATTCTTCCAAGCCTTCTAAAAATGCATTTTCTTCTTTTTCTTCTTCATCTAATACTACTACTACCACATCGACAGGAAAATCGGATTTGTATAGCAATAACTCTCCACCTAATGCCCAGCAATCTCCATCAACTAGCTCGACTGTTCCAAATTCCGTGCCTTCGTGGCTTATGAACTCTTCTGCGATACAGTCGAATCAAACACCAGGTATGGCTATCTTTTTTTTTTTTTTTTTTTTTTTTTAAAATCTTGTCAGTTTACTAATCAGCTTATTTAGTCTCCAAAGAAACTACCACATATCCAATATTTTCTTCTGCCTCCAAAGTATCTTCTCCATTAACGGCTTCCAAGAAAAGACCCTCAAGTCCAGTATCCTCAGAATTTCCATCAAAACGGCATTCCACTTATCCAAGCAAATCTACTACGGAATCAAGACCTGAGATTTTTGAAGTGGATGACAGTAGCGACATTGAAATTACAGAATGGTCTACATCTAAAAGCACCAACAAAAATCCTCCACTGGCAGCTAAACCATATTCATCGGATCCACAACCTATTCGAAATGAACCTCCGGCAATTGCATTTGCTTCTTCTTATTCTTCGACCAGTCGACTTAGGGGGGAAGATGATGGTGGAGATGAAATCTCAGCAGATGATTTTTCTACTGTTATCAAAGAGACCCAACAAGAAGTCGAAATTGCGGCCAAACTGAATACTTTTAAAGATCGCATCAAGGCTGTTTTAACTGATATCGAGAGTTTTTCTCGCAATACTTTAGCAAAATTTGATTCCATAACCTCATTCGAGGATCTTGGGAAAAATCTGGCAATACAATCTGATGTATTGGGTTGGGCATCTAAGCGATGTTTAAATTTTTCAAATACGATTGATTCAAATATTAGTTTTAGTCCTAGCTCTGACACTAATTTTAGCAACAACAAACCTAGCCATGACTCTGGATCCGTACCGAAAGAATCAAGTTATACGCATATGAATACTAGACCGCATCTCATAAATACACAAACTAGCCAACTTACGCCACCAAATATTTCAACAGATGTACATAGACCTGAAACAATTTTCCCATCTCCTCAATTTCCTTCACAGCCTTTAGAAAATGTTTCAACTACAGCTAATAAAAGCTCAATTAGTACTACTTTCACCAATAAACCAAATAATGTTACTGCTACTCATTCCATGATACCCCCCAACATTCCCACAGCAGAAGAAAGTGATGAGGATATTGTTATTAAATCCTCTATTTCACCTTCTAAACTCTTAAACGAACCTAGTGAACATTTTTTCCGTGACATTAATATTTTGTCAGATAGTGACGATGAGTTCTTGAAAGGATTATCTAATCCTAGAAATAATTCTGAAAGTCGCAAAGAAAATGTCAATCCCCAAGTACCGAAAAGCCATGTTGTTGGTAATAATAGCAATAAAAATAATCATGGTGATGATGATGAAGAGGGACCAATCACTACTGGCCGTCGGAAAATTATCCTCTCTGCTTCAGAAGATGAAGACGATAGCTTTATTGTTGACGACGATGTTGTGGAGGATGATGACGCTGATTTCATTGATGATGCTGAATTTAACGAGGAAGATATCATTTACAGTGATGATGCGTTTGATTCTTTTACAGGAGTGGAATTTGCCAACAAATCCAAAAACAATGAAACTAAATCAAATGAAGACGAGGCACTATGCATTAAAGAAGTTCGTGTTCGCAAGGTTAATCTTGAGAATGAACCAATCACAATTAGTGACGACGATTGGGAAAAGGGTTTTACAGATGCTGAAGAAGAGCTTATCATATATGATAAACCAGAAACTGTATTTGACGCACCACATGAGCCAGATCCTGAAGAAAATGTGACTTATCCTTGGACCAATGAAGTATTTACAAAACTCAAAGATATTTTCAAGCTCAAGAGATTTCGAACTGACCAGCTTAAGGCTATCAATGCCACATTGGATGGCCGTGATGTTTTCGTCTTGATGCCTACAGGTGGAGGCAAGTCTCTTTGTTACCAGTTGCCTGCAATCGTTCAATCCGGTAAAACCAAAGGAGTGACTGTTGTTGTTTCACCACTGGTATCGTTGATGAAGGATCAGGTATATCACTTGAAATTATTAGGCGTCAATGCAGAGCTTGTTCATGGAGAAATGTCAAAAAGAGATAAGAGTACTGTTTTCCGGAAATTTGAAAATGGTGAATTGGCACTCATGTATGTGTCACCCGAAATGCTCAATAAAATCATTGACACGTTAAGAAAGGTTAACAATAATGGCTATCTTGCACGCATTGTGATTGACGAAGCCCACTGTATGAGTTCATGGGGTCATGATTTCCGCCCGGATTACCAAGACCTTAAATCTCTCAAAATAGAGTTCCCGCAAACGCCCATAATGGCGCTAACAGCTACAGCAAAAAAGCACGTCCAAATGGATATTATTGAGAGTTTCCATACTAATGACCCCGTGTTTATTAAGCACAGTTTTAACCGAACTAATCTTTTTTACGAAATTCATCGCAAAACGAAAAATGCAGAAGCACAAGAACAAGTCAAAAATTTAATAATGACCAAGTTTGCAGGCAAAACTGGCATCATTTATTGCAACACCAAAAAGAGCTGTGAAGACTTGAGTAGTTTTTTATGGACCAATGGTCTTCGTGTTGGATATTACCATGCTGGCATGCTTGATAAGGATAAAGAAAACATGCAGCGTCAATGGCAAGAAGGCAAAATCCAAGCCATCTGTGCCACAATTGCATTTGGAATGGGTATTGACAAACCAGATGTTAGATTTGTGATTCATTTCCATCTTCCACGAACCCTGGAAGGATATTACCAAGAAAGTGGTCGCGCTGGTCGTGACGGGAAAGAATCGCATTGTATTTTGTTTTACTCATATGCTGACTTCCGGAATTTGCAAGGTCAAATTGCTCGTGATGATAGTCTTGCTCCGACCATGAAGGATCATTATCGTCGACTGCTAAACCAAGTCAATAGTTACTGCGATAATGTCACTGACTGTCGTCGTTCATTGGTTTTGAGCTACTTTGATGAGAATTTCAATCGACGCGGCTGCAACAATATGTGCGATAACTGCAAAAACTATCAATCTGTGGTTAAACAATCCAGAGATTATACCGGAGTTGCTCAAGATCTTACTCAATTGGTTGGGTCCGTCCATTCTTCCAATGGCCATTTGACTCCAGCACAAACTATTGATGCGTACATGGGCCGAAAAATCAAGTCTTCAAATTCGCTCGCTAATGTGTCGAATTCGCCATTTTTTGGAAAGGGCAAGGGTCGTATTCGAGCTTGTGATTTAGAACGTGTTATTACGCACCTTTTAAGTTCTGATATTTTAAGAATTTATACACGCAAGTTAAACCATGCTCAAGCTTTTGCCAATGATTATTTGCAACAGGGTAGGGAAGCTACTCGTCTTTTGAATGGTAACTCGAAAATTGAATTGCTGGAAGTTCTTCCAACTTCAGGCTCTACGACTCCTCGACCTAGTTCTAGCAACTCACGTCGATCGTCTACTCGTGCTCAAGTAACTATTGAAACCACGGTATCTACCTCAACCTCAACCGCAATCTCGAGATCGGTTCCGACTCCTAGACCTATCACTTCTAGATCATCTACTACTGGTCAGACATTAGCTTCTGCCTTTAGTTTTAATCCATCACGACCTGTTTCCAATTTGAGTAAAAACACTACCACATCGTTAACAGATGTTGAAAGTCATCGGTACTGTCAGCTTGAAATTGTGAGATTGCAGCTCAAAACCAAACTCAACCTTTCAAATGTCGAGGAAGTTTGCACATCGGAAAATCTCAAAAAGCTTGCTCGTGAACTTCCAACTGATATTGAATCGTTTTCACGAGCTGCAGGTGTTTCGCAAGATTCTTTGACTAAAATATACCCTGATTTTGCAGTATTAATTTTCAAGTTAAAAAGCGAACAATCATCAGCTTCTGCTGCAGCACAACCAGCAATCAGTACAACAACTTCATTTGCATTCCCTAGTAATGATGTTGATTCAGATTCGGAACACCAGTCTCGGTTTTTTGGTAGCACGTCAACTAGAACAACTAGCAGAAAGCAGACAACTACTGGTAGAGTTTATAAGCCTCGGGCTGCGCGAGGAAGATCAGAATCAAAATCCTCATCTTCTAGATCAACTGCATCTAGATCTACATCACGGACTAAGTCCACAACTTCAAAAAGAGGGAAATCCACTAGCTCTTTTTCATCTGTCCCCTCGATGCCATTTTAAACTGCTAATTTATAAATCTTACTGCATGAACAGAAATATTGTTTACAGAATTATGAAAATAATGATAAAAAAAAACTTATAAAAACTGCTTAATGTTATGTGAATAGATAGTAGAAAATTTTCAAGAATAAATGACAAAATTTGATTTAACAATTTGAGATATATTGTTCATTATCTAGACTATTAAAATAGTGACCCGTCAAAAAAAAAACATGTACATGTGGAGAAGCGTATTTCAAAAAATAGATTTTGGAAAGTAAAGAGCGTGAAATCCGAACATACAGTACATAAAACAAAAAACCCTAACCCATTGATAATGTTTTAATTTCTTGAATAGAACCTTACTAATGCAACACTAAAAAATTCAATACCCCCATTGGCTTAGCCTACTACACACAAACTCTTTAATAATTTCCTGTGCTTCAACCACCATTAATATTGGAGCAACATCCTTGTTCTTCTTCTTTGCCATTTTGTTTGATTAATTTATTAATTTACGTTTAAACGTAAATTAAATTTATTATAATCAGTTAATAAATGTTCTTCTTTTTATATCATTAAATTAAGTCTCTTTAAACTTATTATAACTATTTTTTAATAGTTTCTAATTTATATCAATCAAAAATATGGTATAATATTAGAAGCTTTTTGAACAATATTCCCAGCTGTTATATTAATTTTTATTGCTTTTTATAAGAAAAAAATACTTTTTTATTTTTTTTTTTTTTGGGATTATACAATCAGAACTTTTTTAATTAATTGACGATATGACCAAGTTAACACGGGGCCCGTCGATACGCGTTTATCCATTAACTGAAACTCCCTCTATTTTTACTTCTGGCCCAAGCGCGTCTTCACAATTTAATCCAACTCCGGTGACTTTAGTTGACAACGACTTTTTTTCTTCAATAACTGAGGATGATCTTACTGATAATGAGTGGTTCACTTTTAGTCAACAAGATTTAGAAGATCTTCGACAAAGAAGCCTTATCAACAAGGAAAAAAATTCAGATTCTGATGAACTTAGTAATACCTTGAGCTCTGTCGATGTTGATGACATTATTTCATTAGGAAGCTCAACAATAGATGATTTATTTTCAGATAATGCTACTGAAGATGATAACGCTCAAACAACCTTAGGAGATAAAACTCATGAAGCGATTGTCATTAATGATGATAATGACGACGATAACAACAATAACAATAACAACGACAACAACAACGACAACGACAACGACAATGACGAAGACGACGACGACTTGGATTTTGATATTGACAGCAATGATAGTTTTTTTAATACCACACAGGAAGTCAAGTCAAAGATAAACCCAAATAACAAGGTTAAAAATATTTTGGATTCCTCTAATCTAGAAAATTAAACAGACTGATATTTTTTTCTCTGACGCGTCAAATATTGACTCGAGTATCCCAAAATGTGGAAAACACCAAAACATAATCCTTGGATACAAGAAATTATTATTATTAGAGAAAATATTTTTGAATTTAATAATTTCCTTCGGAATCAACTCAAAGCTATTAACTCAACACTAAATGGGGTCTTAATGCCAACAGGTGAAAAAAAATAATTATGCTACCAGCTTTCAGAATGTATCGAATCCGGGACAACAAAAGGCGTCACCATTATTATTCCCCCTTTATTAACTTTGATGACTGATTATGCCAGTGGTATTAAAGGGTTGGGAATAGGTTCTCAGTAATTATCATTATCACACGACTGGGACAACGAGAGAGAATATTAGACAACATTAGAAATTTTCTAATTGACACTCTTTACATTTTATTTTTTTTATGGATCTTTCGATATAAGGGAAAATTATCAAGCGTACTATATTTTTCTTGCCAAAGCTGCAAGGAACTTTATCGGTGCCTATTGCCAACTGGTATCAAAGCAAGGCCCTGGGAAACTTTTGATCCTGAAACTATGACAGAAATATAAACTACAAGTTATTTGCGCCACTCCAACTTTTGGTATTGACATTGATAAGCTTAATGTCCGATTTATCATGTATTTCCCAGCGATTCCTCGGCTTAGTATCAGGGCGTTGGGCTAGCTGGTCCTGATGATGAGCCTTCTCAGGGCATTCCTTAATTTTCTTTGCACGTCTTTTTATTGTTTTCCGGTTTAATTTAAACTGACGAAGAGGCTTCAGATAATCTCCAGAACTAGACAATTAAAGATATATTGATTTCCCCAAAATGTTTCCACACATCTTCATGACTAGTTTTGTTTTTTACGTAATTCGGAGAAACAATTACTTTTACCACATGTAAAGGTATTAGTGACAATAGCGTGTTTAAAGACCGATACTGTAAAAGTGATTATACCACTTAAGAGCCTTATATGGTTTTTGGAATTTTGTTGAAAAATCTTCCCTAAACGTTGCAGACCAAATCCACTCAAGGCCGATACAGCAAGCAACTTTTTTGGAATAAAAAATAGTTAGCCACCTCTCCAGTCAGCATTTTCTTTATTTATTGAAACCATCGATGCTTTGAATTATGTTAAGAAAGCAATGCTATTGTTCATATAGAGGTTTTCTTTTTCATATTTTAAAAAAATCTAAAATGAATATTGATACTGGCATTTGTTTTGAACAGAGTTCACAAACTTTTACCATTTTGACACATTGGGTTTGTTCATGATCCTGTTGATACACAGATGTTTTAAAACAAAGAAAATTATCAAACGATTAATGATTTATAATTTTATAAATGAACGAATATTTAAAAGTAACTATGGGTTTTATATATATTTACTTTTTTTTTTTTAAAAGAAATGAAATAGAAAATGATCAAATATGGTTATGATTTATAGCGCACGCATTTATTTAAACTGTATCATCATGATAAACCCACCTATTTTCAAATAAGTTAGTATCAACATCATTTTTAATATAAACAAAAAACTTACGAAGTTTCTTTTGGATTTTCAGGGGCTCTTTTTATATATTCCTCGTCTCCTTCTGGGCGCTCTAAATTTTTGTTAGCTTTTGCGAAAATTATGCTTAATTCAATAAAATAACGAACCTGCTATATCATTACCAGAAAGCATAGACTGTAATGACAGCGATACTGACATTATTGTATGTATCGGAGACCATCCATCGCCAAGAATATCTAAGCAAATATGCCCGTTCGAGTATACATGCGGGTGGATAGGAATCTTAAAGAATTGTGTATGTTGGGAATCAAGTATTTGTGGAGACGTGCGGACAAACTGGACCCATGGGACTTCTAACGGGTACATTGGCGGGATTCGGAACCGAACACGATATGTGTCATTTGAATATAAGGGGTTCCCTGGGACTTGGATGTCGACAAAAATTTCTGTAAGGTCACTGTCGTTGATTAAGTCATTAACAAGGTATATGCCTAAAAACATGCAGAAAAAAAAATTGGTTAGTATCACACAGAATGACGTTATAAGTTGGCACATTTAAATATACATACCATCTGCTTTCTCTCTATCAAGTCTCATAAGTTCTCGTTTGATTCTAATTGATGATGCCATTATGTGAAATTCTGGGGTAGATAAAATAAGGATATTGGATATAGGTATATAGTTAGGAATAAAAATATATAGAATAAAAGAAAAGATATGGCGATTAAAGGTCGGAATATGAATGTCTTCTTTATAGTTGTCAGTGGCTAGGTAGTGATGAGTATATTAATTAGATTTGGTGGGTAACACCAAAAAAAATCATTGATACACTAAGAGCGTGGTATCGATAATCTAGTGATCTAGTTAATCAAAAAGCCAGGATATAGAATGTGTAAATTGACCTATTTTTTAGGCAGTATAATCGTTAAAATAATAAATATATATATATAAAAAATTTAGAACGCTGGTCCTAAAACTATACTGCTTATTTCCGTTTACCTTTAGAGACGTCCATTGTTTTTTGATCTTCTTTCCCTGTGGTTTGATCTGCAATCACCCCGAATCTAATTAGACTTAATAAAAGAGCCGGTAGTTTTGTTTACCAGAGTGGCCTAAGGGTCCAGTTGACATTTGTGCTCTTGTACGCTTATCCCAAGTAATTAAAAGGATATCTAACTTGACAGATCAAATTGTCTTATTATTTATTCATCAGAATCTGCCGTATCCTTTTTGCTTCTACTATATGACGAATTTTTCATTTTCACAATAAATTGTCAATTTGACATCAACATTAACATCAAACAACAAGAAAATAAGTCATAGTGCCAAAGTACAAGAAACAGGAGAGTCAAAGTTCAAACTTTCCAGACTTATTCCCACTTGTCTTCAACATTACGTTAATTTTATTTTTTAATCTCTCAAATCTTAGATAAGGATTCCAAAATTTATTAGACCAATTAAACTGTTTAAGAGAGTGAAAAATATTTATTTTTCAGTGACTTTAAACCGTTTGTTTGTTTGTTTTTATTCAAGGGTTATAGAATTATATAACATCAGCATCTGCGCTATCCTTTTATTGTCTGACTATGTGACTTGCCGGTTTTCATTTGTACCTTTTTAGTACGGGTGGTTTCTGTTCTGTGCGTCTCCGGTAGCCCGGAAGATGGGCCCTGATGCCAGCTTACGAGGAACAGGGGGTTAAAAATAACCAAACCTTCCCAACCTATCTCCACTTGTCTTCATCAACGCTGTAATTGTATTTCTTAATCCCTCCAAGCAGAGATAAAGCTTACAATCTCTTGTAAGCCAGTTAAACTGTTTAAGAGAGTCGACATGTCCATCTCTGGAGATATCCGTTTCAGTCCTTTTCTTTCCTCTTCAAGCAAAGGACACTCAACTAAAATGTGATGAACTGTTTCCAGCTCTCCACATTTGCAGTTGTAACTATCCTTTTCAATTCCAAACTTTTTAAACCATGCGCCAAAGTTGCCATGGCCTGTGCGAAACTGAGTAATATTACTCAAGATCCTTCGACTATCTTTCTTCATGATCACTCCCGTAACCATTTTGGAAAGATTATCAGTACATTTCGACTCCACTTGTGACTTTAAACCAAAAAAGTATAACTTTTATAAATTTTATCCTATCATAATAAATAACTTCTATACATATTTCTTTCAACAAATCGGGCAATCTGGCCGAGTTGGTCTAAGGCGTAGGATTAAGGTTCCTATCTCTTCGGAGGCGAGGGTTCGAATCCCTCGGTTGTCATTTTTTTGATATACTAAATCTTTTTAAAGGTTCTTTTATATACTTGATAAACCAATTCATTTTAAAAGTTAAGTTATATACTTGAAAGATCAATTCTTAATTTAAAGGTTGAGCTATGTTCTATTGTTGAAAATTTGACTTTTTTTTAATCGCTCTCTTTTTGGAAGGAGGTAGTTGATATGCCACATAACATCACATGACACCACATGACCTGGAGACCAAGAGGTTTTATGATTAAATCTTCTCCTAAATCCTAAGAATTCTTGGAATATAGGAGAACATTTCTTATATAATCATACTAATTTATCTCGTCCCATGATTAAAAACAACCTTTCTAATAAAATTTAAGTTTAGATAAATTTCAGAGGGGTTATTTTTTTTATTAATAAATAGTGCTGCTGATTTTGAATTTTTTTTTCTTCTTTTTTTTTTTCTTTTCAAATTAAAACAAGAATCGCTTTTATAAGGCAAGTGGTTAATCTGACATTATGAAAATGGATATCACCAAGATTATTAGCAACGAAGAAATATTTATGAACACCAAAAATAAATTAGATGGTGACCAAATTGATAAACATTCATCATCCCTAACTGACAAAGAAGATCTTGAAAAATTTGAAAATATGGAGGAAACTGAACAGTTTGGTTTGGTTACTCCGGTTCAAGATTACGAAACAATTAACTTTTTTGATGATGATGAATCTGTTTCTGGAAATGATCGTTATACTTTTCAAACAGTTAGACCACGGCGTTCACAAACAAACAAATCTCAAAATATCGACTCTAGCGATGAAAAGATTTTGAATATGCCGCCTCCAAGTAATTTTTCGCCGTTAAAGATCTCTCGAAACCAACAGCCTCATGAAGCCACTGTTCTCTGCAATCCTCCAGACCCAAGTTTAACGGATCGCGAAGTTGTAGGCTATTATTTTTCACAGATTTTTAGTGAAGAAATCTTTCAAATGCTTGTACATCACACCAACGTTAACGCTCATCTCACTGCATCAAAAGATTCATGGGTTCCAGTCACAAAAGGAGAGATTAAAATATGGTTAGGAATCGTTATTTACATGGGAGTTTTTCGTCTTAAGAACGATAATTTGTTTTGGAACACATCCAAAGAAATGCCCAGACATGATGTTTGTAAATACATGTCACGAAATCGTTTCGATGAAATTTAGCGCTATTTTCATATTTGTGAATATTCCCAAAAATTTCCAGGAGATAAAGCTTCTTCTGAAAACATTAGCCGATCCTGGAAAAAAATGATACCCTTGGCCGAGATTATAAGAAATAATTCCCAAAACTGTTTTCTGCCTGGAAAAAATTTAACTATTGACGAGATGACTATCGGATTCAAAGGTGGCTCAAAAGATACCACTAAAATAAAGGAGGAATTAATAAAGCAAGAGTATAAAACTTTCGCTCTTTGCTACAAAGGTTACACAATGGATTTCCGTTTTCAGTCTAGAGATTATGGAATTCAAGGAGTTCAGAACAGGGCATCTGATGAAACAAAAAAATTTTGTCAAACATCACGTTGTATTTACAACCTATGTGTTAGTTTGCCTTTTCAGAAACACTTTTTTGTTATTCACATGGATAATTATTTCAGCAACGTGGAACTTTTTGGAACGTTGAGAAAAGTTGGAATAGGTGCAGTAGGAACAGGAAATATTAAGGATAAGTTGTTTCCAGATGAACTTAATGTTGACAAAAAGAAGGCGATGAAGCTATTGCCATGGAACACACTTGTTGGGAAAGTTGTAAAGCCTCAGATTCCTGAAATTGTCGGGCCATTTTCTAATAAAAGTGCTCCTAAAAAGAGGGGGTTGGCTGAATCGACAACTTCTGAAGACGTGAATGTTCTTGGCTGGAATGACAATGGTTTGGTTCACATGATAACTACAGTTCACAATGCAAATCAAAATAAAAATGATCCCAACAGTTACATTATTCGCAATCTCAAGAAGCCAGCTCATTCAAGTTCAAATTATTTATTAGTGGCTCCTTTATTTAAAAATGGGGAAAATACAGCAAATCTGCCAATACCTGTTGTAATTGACGATTACAACAATAGTATGAGTTCAGTTAATATTGCTGATCAACTTCGATCTTACTACTGTACACAATCTGAAATTTATCGCAATTGGATTCCCATTTTTTTCTGGCTTTTAGATTTGTCAATTATCAATAGTTATCTTCTTTTCACAACTCAAAACCCAGATAAGAAGCGTGACAAATTACATTTTGATTTTCGTGTCCGCCTTTCTCGTTATTTGTTAGAAGATGGAAAGAAAGATATCGATAACCAAAATTTATCATCTGAAGTATTTCCTACATCGAAAAAAAGATCTTATGTTAAAAAAGGCTCAAAGAGGAGTGAAAAGCGTCTAATACAAGGAGTTGATCACAGCTTAAAGTGCACCAAAACTCGCGCTAATAGATTATATTGCATTGAATGCCGATATACTAAGAATGAGAGCAAAAATCCCAATGATGTGATTGTAAGAAAGACAATGTATACTTGCTCCTACTGTGAGGTTCCTCTTTGCACACTTTGCACTGGAAAGTATCATTCTATTTAATTAATAAATTATGTATTTTTTTAATGAAGAAATTCAAATTATGAACCCATTTAGAATAATATATATAGGTTTTTGCGTCCATATTAATTTTAATAAATATTTCAAGGTTTAAAACGAAATTTTATAGAAATTTATTTCAAAGAAAGTTTTTCAAATCTTGTTTTATTGAATTATCATATACTCATCAGATCAACTAATCTCTATTAGTTGGACCAGTTTACCTAATTTGCGGTAACAGCTCTAGTATCTACCATCACCACAATCTCATGGATGGCAACTGCCGTTCTCAGTAAACCATGCAATTTCACATACACTGTCTTTTTGTAGCCAGTTCCAACTTGCGATTCTACCATTATATAACAGTTTCTTTCTTTAAAACTTTGACAGTTGTTGCCTCATATTACACTCATAGAGCTTTGTAATTCTTTGATCACTACCATTTCTTTTTTTATGAGACTTAGTGTCATCACAAAATAATCAAATTTGATTGCCGAAACCTTTAAAGGTTTTGGCAAATACAGTAATGGGATCCTGTAATAACACAGTCACTACAGTTATATATATATATATATAAGTGGCTTTTTCACTGTTCTGAGTTTACAACTATTGAATTGGATTCTTAATCAGTCAATACCACGAAAGCGGATTCATTTGGATTAAGAACAATCATTCCAACTTCTGCTTGTGTACTAGTTACGGTTAAAGAGTTTGTTAAAATCTTTATTGCGGCGGCCGGATCATCTTTTTGTACTAGATAGTGCAACTTCAATTCCCAAAATTTCTTTTGTATCTACAGCTGCTATCACGTCTATCTGATATACTACAATCAAACCAGTTTCTGACCGGAAAGAAGACATTTTTACTGATCTCGGGAAATCGTTTTCTATTGACATGTTTTCTCTGATTTCTAAACCCTTGCCACTATAGTGACGACTTTGTGTACTTTGTGGTTAGGGTATACCTGTACAGTTCCCCGCTAAAAACAACGGTAGAACATTTTGATGAAAAGCCGCATTGGGCTGTGCATAAAACGAAGCAAGTTATACCCCACAACACAAAGTTATCGACGTACCCACGTCGTGGCGTGCTACTTCTCAATATACAAAGAAGACCATATTTTTTTTTTATTATTGTGAATCAGAAATATAAAATTTAGTATATTTTTTAGAAATTAGTAATTAGCCAAGTTTTGTTACTTATTAATTTTGTAGTACAAAAATATAGTTATTATAATATTTGTAAATATTGACATTGGAAAATTAAACGATTACGTAATTTTTTTTTTTTTAAAAAAAAATATTAAAGAACAATTGTTACACTTTAGCCACATGAATATTTCCGAAATATTTAAGCCTCCAGCCAGGACAAACAAAAACTCCACTAGTACCAAAGAAACGGACTCAAATTTCAGTTTGCGTCGTTCACAGAGTTGTTTTATTGAAAAGTTTGTTACCTGTGAATGAGTAGATTCTATAAATACAAATAACGGTAATGGTGAAAACGGATCTTGAATAGAATGAATATACTGATAGATAGATATGAGCATGTGAGATACGTTAGAGAAAAAAAGTTAGATGTCCGGTGCCACCTGTCACTGTCACAATAGCAATAAATAGAAGTAAAGTCTTGTAGAACTATTAGTTGTAAACTTATAAGTTTACAACTATAATTATATAAAAGGATATATGATAATTTTAAAGGGCTAATCAATGGACGGGACTTAGACGAACTACAAAATAAAATTGATGAAAGTTGATGGATTAAATGAAGGATTGGAAATTAATTGTTTGATTTAGCACCTAGTGGTATCTCTCTCTGTAAATGATATAGATTGGGATTGTGAGATATAGAGCCAACCATCCTTTTTAAAACCAAGCTTTCTGCTGCTTGACAGAGTTGACCATTCATTTTATGTGTCCCCATTGGGGAGGGTCAAAATACTTCTTTCAGGAATTGCCTTATTAATAAACCTGCCTCCTGAATCTTATCTATACTAGTAGTAAAATTTACAAACTCATGTCGGTTAAAAGATAGTCTTTTTTTTAAAGCAAAAAAGAAAAAAAAAAAAATTAAAATACCAAACGAAAATAATTATAATTGTGATTATTTTGATGATTGAGTCAAATCCAATTAATTTGGTAATTAATAAAAAAGATTCTAAGGAAATTTCTAATTAGATGATTAGTCCATGTCGAATTTTATTATTCAAATATAAATTAATAATATTTATACCAAATTTTTGTTTCTCAAACCTGATATTCTTTCTTATAACTGGAATAAATCAAACTTTTTAAATTAAAAGATTGTATTCTAGGAATTTATTTTTTCAAAAAATTTGGTCAGTAATGAAAGTTGAAAATGGTAAATCACAACAAACAAATTTCTAGTTGACAATACATATATTTTCTTTTTATTTCTTTAAGTGGAATCATATGTGATCTGGATATTTAGCCACATAAAAATGGGTGAAATATCACAGGGCTCTAACAAATGCTTTACGAGGACATTATCTACATAGAAGTATATAGAAGAACAACCCTCTAGGCATAAAAGTCCTTTGATGCGGTTTTTAATAAAAAAATATAAAAAAAATTTCAATCTTGTAGTTTTTGTATATCTTCTTTTTTTTTTTTTTTTTTTTTTTTTGATTGAATTAATGGAAATTTTCTTATGGCTTTGTAAAGAGAAGAGGTCAGAAGTTAAAGTAAAAGTAGGGTAACCCTTTTTATTCCAAAATCACAAGCAATTTTATGACCAGCAAAGATAAATTTTCATTTGAATAGACGATTACATACTAATGCTTTACGTAAATGACCAGTCCAAATTAGGAAACAAAATATTTTGTTTTAGGTGTGGGGGAAGAATTTCTTTTTTTAATTTCTTTTTTTTTTTTTTTGGGGGAGGGTAAAATTTTTACTTTAACAAGTAATTGTTCCATTCCAGATGATTTTTCAAAAAAGAAAAGCTGAATGGTTATTAATTAATTAGTTAATTAATTATAATTAATTAAGCTTGAAAATAAAAATATAAAAATTGCTGTTATATTATATTTAAACAAAATTCTTTTGCTTATGAATGTGTCACCTTCATTCATTATAACAAAAATTACATATATAATAAATCTATATATTTTTAACAACGAACTTCATGAAGTTCGTTGTTAAGTTCCATGATCATGGAACTTTCAATTTCTAATAAATCTATCGTTAAAATATTTAATATTGAATCAATTTTTCCCCATTTTGTAAAAAGTAAAAAAAAACCAATTTTTCAAAGTAATATATTCAGAAAGCAAATATATTATGGGAAGTTAAAGCAGTACAAATACCAAGGAATGTATCATCCTCAAAAAAAAAGAAAAGAAAAGAAAATAAAATAAAATAAAAAAAGAAATAAAATAAAATAAAATAAAAAAAGAAATAAAAAAAGAAAATAAAAGTTAAGGAGCATCTCCCAGCCATTATATTTAAAAACAAATTCTTATCATATTATTATAATATTATACTAATTAGTATAATAGAACATATATCTTTATATATATCAAGGATACCCCCCCCCTTATACTAATTTTTACTATTTGAAAACTTTCAAATTTTTTTTTTTTCATTATTTTACTGAAAATTAGTCAAACGATGAGGTATCAATTTTAATAGGCAGATTTGTTATTAATTGTAAAAAAAATCATATATTTGAGTTTCTTAAAAATATAAATTATAAAATTTGCTCATTAAGATTTTTTTCTTTTAATTTTCATATATAATTTAGTATTGACTACTATAAAAAAGCAAACGGTAAAAGAATAATTAATCATAATTTAACAAAATTCATATTATCAATCATATAATTTAAGTTCGTCCAAATGTTTTCACTGAAACACCTAGTTCTTGTTCCTCTTTTGCTATCATCAGCATTAGCTCTTACGTCTAATCAATGTGTTCCCTCAGTTCCATCCGAATCTGACTGTGGAAACATTTGCTCCCAGCTAGCAAACCAATATAATAATATTCAAACAGACAAATGTGGACTGCTGGGCTTCCTATCAACACCTACTTCTTACTGCTTTTTGTGTGCAACAAATTATCCCTCATCAAGCACAGTTCAATCCGCTTATAATAGCTTGCTTAATTCGTTATCAGGATGTTCAGATCTTCCAAATCCTGTTCTTTGTACAGGATCTGAGTCATCGCCTGCAGCAACATCCCCAGAAGCTCCCACTTTTTGGACCTATCTAAACACATGCAGTAGTGTTATAGCTTCTTATACCACATGTTATAATGATTGCTTCAATGCTGCTGTTGGTATCTATCAGCAAGGATGTGGGACCATTTCTCAAGATTCTAATCCATTAAAATGCACTTTGGCAAACTGTATCTTTTGTGATAATCAGAACTTTTTCATGTACGGCTTGCTTTTCAAGTTAGAATATTTGGTAAACTGTCCTGTGGTAGAAGCTGTTTCGTCTTCAGAGGAATCTTCTTCTATTGAATCATCATCAATCGAATCATCATCGGCTGAGTCTTCTTCAGCAGAATCTTCTTCCGTTGAATCATCTTCTGAAGAATCGTCCTCAGCAGAATCGTCTTCAGCCGAATCGTCTTCAGCAGAATCGTCTTCAGCCGAATCGTCTTCAGCAGAATCGTCTTCAGCAGAATCTTCTTCAGTGGAATCTTCTTCCGTTGAATCATCTTCTGAAGAATCGTCTTCAGCAGAATCGTCTTCAGCAGAATCATCTTCAGCAGAATCATCTTCAGTGGAATCGTCTTCATTTGAATCGTCTTCATTTGAATCGTCTTCATTTGAATCGTCTTCATTTGAATCTTCTTCATTTGAATCTTCTTCAGTTGAATCTTCCTCAGTTGAATCATCTTCAGTGGAATCATCTTCTGAAGAATCATCTTCATTTGAATCGTCTTCATTTGAATCGTCTTCATTTGAATCGTCTTCATTTGAATCTTCTTCATTTGAATCTTCTTCAGTTGAATCGTCTTCAGCAGGATCGTCTTCAGCAGAATCTTCTTCCATTGAATCATCATCAATCGAATCATCATCGGCTGAGTCTTCTTCAGCAGAATCTTCTTCCGTTGAATCATCTTCTGAAGAATCGTCCTCAGCAGAATCGTCTTCAGCCGAATCGTCTTCAGCAGAATCTTCTTCAGTTGAATCTTCCTCTGTTGAATCATCTTCTGTTGAATCTTCTTCCGTTGAATCATCTTCTGTTGAATCTTCTTCCGTTGAATCATCTTCTGAAGAATCATCTTCAGCAGAATCATCTTCAGTGGAATCGTCTTCATTTGAATCGTCTTCATTTGAATCGTCTTCATTTGAATCGTCTTCATTTGAATCGTCTTCATTTGAATCTTCTTCATTTGAATCTTCTTCAGTTGAATCTTCCTCAGTTGAATCATCTTCAGTGGAATCATCTTCTGAAGAATCATCTTCATTTGAATCGTCTTCATTTGAATCGTCTTCATTTGAATCATCATCATTTGAATCTTCTTCATTTGAATCTTCTTCATTTGAATCTTCCTCAGTTGAATCTTCCTCAGTTGAATCATCTTCAGTTGAATCATCTTCAGTGGAATCATCTTCTGAAGAATCATCTTCATTTGAATCGTCTTCATTTGAATCGTCTTCATTTGAATCTTCTTCATTTGAATCTTCTTCAGTTGAATCGTCTTCAGCAGGATCGTCTTCAGCAGAATCTTCTTCCATTGAATCATCATCAATCGAATCATCATCGGCTGAGTCTTCTTCAGCAGAATCTTCTTCCGTTGAATCATCTTCTGAAGAATCGTCCTCAGCAGAATCGTCTTCAGCCGAATCGTCTTCAGCAGAATCTTCTTCAGTTGAATCTTCCTCTGTTGAATCTTCTTCAGTTGAATCTTCCTCTGTTGAATCATCTTCTGTTGAATCTTCTTCCGTTGAATCATCTTCTGTTGAATCTTCTTCCGTTGAATCATCTTCTGAAGAATCATCTTCAGCAGAATCATCTTCAGTGGAATCGTCTTCATTTGAATCGTCTTCATTTGAATCGTCTTCATTTGAATCGTCTTCATTTGAATCATCATCATTTGAATCTTCTTCATTTGAATCTTCTTCATTTGAATCTTCCTCAGTTGAATCTTCCTCAGTTGAATCATCTTCAGTTGAGTCATCTTCAGTGGAATCATCTTCTGAAGAATCATCTTCATTTGAATCGTCTTCATTTGAATCGTCTTCATTTGAATCTTCTTCATTTGAATCTTCTTCAGTTGAATCGTCTTCAGTGGAATCGTCTTCAGCCGAATCGTCTTCAGTGGAATCGTCTTCAGCAGAATCATCTTCTGTTGAATCATCTTCTGTGGAATCATCTTCTGTTGAATCATCTTCTGTTGAATCATCTTCATTTGAATCGTCTTCTGTTGAATCTTCTTCAGTTCAATCTTCCTCAGTTCAATCTTCGTCTGTCGTCTCCTCGTCGGCGGAATCCTCATCTGTTGAATTATCTTCCTCTATAGAATCATTTACGTCAACTAGTATTTCCTTGAGTTCTTTAGTTATGGAAGTGTCGGAGTCTATCTCCGTTGAACCCTTTTCAGAAACTGAATCTACCACAGTTACAACTACAGAATCAATTTGCCATGTTTGCATTACTAAAACTATAACAACAACTACTGTGTCTACTATCACCACCATTTCTGGAACTGAAACTGTTATTGTCACTGAGCCATGTGAAACTACTTATACTGTAATTGTGTCACCAATTCCAACCGGTGGCTCCACTACCATAACAGTTTCTCAATCTAAAACTTTGACAGCCACATTCACATCCCCGACTACAGTTACCGAGAATTGCAGTGGATGTGTTACTACCACATATACATCAACAGGGTTTACAACAATTACCAAAACATCAGGAGTTTCTACAGTAACAGTTACTGAACCTTGTGAAACTACGGTTACAGCCGTTATATCGCCATTGCCATCTGGTGGGTCGACAATTATTCCTGCTTCTACTCCTTTATCTACCACAGTCATTACTTCTGTGGGTTTTACAACAATTACTACAGTCTCTGCAGGTTCTTCAGTTACTATTACCGAACCTTGTGATACAACCTACACAGCAGTTGTTTCTCCACTTCCATCAGGCGGTGTCACTACTATTCCTATTTCTCTTATTTCCACCACCACTCATGTTACTTCTACTGGTTATACCACAATCACTTCTGTTTCTTCAGGAAACACAATTACAGTTACCCAATCATTGGAAACAACTTATACAGCAGTCATTACTACAATATCACCTATTCCTTTAACTTCGTCTGGTTCTACAAACCATGCCACTACAATTTTTGTGTGTGACGAATGTTCGACAGCTTTAGTCACTACAGAATCTGTTACCACAGCTATTTTGACATCTGGAAGTGAAACATCTACAATCACTCAAACAAACGAAGTGGTGAATACTGTTATTGTTTCTCCTGTCACATCGACAATCAGCACCTTTACATATTCTGAAATTTCTAGTGAATCTTGCAACGAGTGTTCTACATATGTTGTTGCTTCGCTAACTACGGTAGGCTCAGTAGTTACCTCTCAGGGTATCACAACGACTTCATATTTGCCTTCAGTTGTCCAGAACACTTTTATAGAGTCGCCTGTTGTTTCGACAGGTTCCGTGTATATCACTTTTGCGGGTCCAACAAGTACACAATACTCTGAACAATCGTCAATATTGAGTAGCACTGGGTCCATTAGTGCTATTTCAAATGGTGTATCTGTTGGGGTGACTGGATCTAGTTCTTCAATTTTTTCAGGTTCGGGTACAAAATCGTCATCTTCAGAAACACATGTTTTACCTCAGATTAGTTCAACAACCGAAACTACATTGGCACAAGTTAATGAGGCTAGTCACTTGAATTTCACAGTTTTTGGTAGTGTTTTTGCAATTTTTGTTTCATTTTTTATTTTGGTATAGTTTTCTTTCATGATTCTTTTGTTCTAATATATTATTTTTATTGTGTAATCTGATTTATAAATTTTTTTTGTAAAATTTATCTCATAATGCTGCTAATTAGTCATTTATCAAAATTTAACCAGCAGTTGTTTTATAATAATCATAAATGGTATTAAGCAGCCAAAAAATAATTTTTTCTAAAAATAGCAGATCTACCGTTTTTTTTTTTTTGGAAGTGTATATTCATATATTAATAAAAAAAACTTTCTCAGAGTTAAGATCTAAATTATGATGTGTATTCTTATTATTTTGAAATTAAGAAATCATTAATAGAGTGTTGCAAAGCTCGTTCTCAAATATATTTTGTGAATTATTGAATATAATTCCCTACCTCCATTAATATAAACCTCACAATCATCTTATATATGAGATATAGCATATTTAACTTACTAAAAAATTACCAATTGGCCAACACCATGTTGTTACTTTATTTATTAAAGTCTCTGAGAATTTTACAATGTTTGAATTATTACTCAATCTTGTCCAGGACATACCATACTCACCAAATCATCAGGATATTCAACAATAATTGTAATAATTATGCAGTATCTATTTAACCCCACAGTTACGGTAGTGTTATCCCTCTTACCTTCTGGTTTGTAAATAACAATTATTGAATTGATGTCTCAATTTGTGTACCACGCCAAAGAACTCATCTGGATTAATTCCTTCTGCATCTTGTTACATTCTAGTAATAGTTAAGAACCCTATGAAACTAGTGTTGCAGCAGTGCTATGTTCATGTGTATCTGGTGTTATGATTAAAATTCAATATTGTCTTAATTTCTATTAACACCTGTAATTATTTCTACCTGATAAAGCAATCGAAAGAGTTTTTGGTAGAAAAGCTGTCATTGTTACAGAACATAAGAGAATTAATTTTATTTTCATAAAAAAGCTGCACACATTTTTTGCTAAGCTTAGCAACACTTAAGTGTTGCCTCGACCCCCCACTAAAAGGGACATGATTAGGTAAGTAGCCGCACTAGAGTACATGAAAATAGGAGAGTCATATAACACCTAGATAGCAACAAATCCACATTGAAGGGGGAGCTAGCTACTTTAGGTCATTCATGATAAACAGGTTTGTGTATTATAAAAATAAAATAATTATTTTATTTTTTTTTTTTTAATCCTCGGGGGACATTTAAACAAACTTTGATAATTTAATAAAAAAATTTTTTTCATCATATTCTGCTATCAGAGGTGGAAATATCCCAGAAATTTATTATAATTTGTTGATAGATTTAGAGTGCAGGGATAAATGTATATTATAGTTACAGTAATAGATGGAGTTTATAGCGGAGGCGGACTAAGGATAGAATAGGATTATAGATAGAGAAACACTGTAGAGACTGAGGAAGAGTATGACGAAGTCCAATGTGGCTCGTCAATGTCACTATGCCAAGGTTTTAGGTCTTAACTCAAGCTTACAGCACCAGTGATCATCTATACAACCAAATAGGAATATATGTGTGTGCGTTATTGCATAGCTAGTAAAAAGGGAGAGTTAACAGCAGGTAAGAAATAACACGTACTTCTTTACCCCAGACAGAGCTTCAATGTTTGCTAGGCGTTTGCCAGAAACCTAACCACATCGTGCACTATGTGGTTAGGGTTCTGGTCCGGGACGGGCCAATTGAGCTCCGCTGTCTATGCGCTGTGTTCTTTGGCTACAGGCAATAGTACACCTATAGCATCAAATTATAGTAGGAACTTCCGTCGAGGCACGCAACTTCTCAACATATTTCATTTAATAGTACTATAAGTACAATAACAAGGACATTTGAGCCACATGGAATTTGGAGTTATAGGAGTTCCTGCCAAAATAAACAAAAATATCAGCTCGTACCAAAGCAACGTTGCGTAACGGGATTCAATTTTTGCTTGTGCAGTACAAAGACTAATTTAGAACATGTAAATGAATAAACTTGTAACCTTACTATTGCAAAATTGTATAGCTAATTAGCTATACAATTATATTTATAAATATATTTTAGACCATCCTATTATATGTTAAGCTAGAAGAAATTATGAATAAATATATATATACAATGAAATATATATTGTATTTTATATTTAAATAGTGTTTTCAAATAAAATTATGTCTTTTTGTACCAAAAAAAAAAAAAAACCAATCCTATCTATAAATTATCTTGAATTCTTTTTCAGCTCGTTTTAATACTTCAAAATTTAACCCTGAATTTTCTCTAAAATTTTACTAAAGTTGAAACAAAATTTCATTGAACTCCACATAAATGTTTTCATTGAAACACCTAGTTCTTGTTCCTCTTTTGCTATCATCAACATTAGCTCTTACGTCTAATCAATGTGTTCCCTCAGTTCCATCCGAATCTAACTGTGGAAACATTTGCTCCCAGCTAGCAAACCAATATAATAATATTCAAACAAACAAATGTGGACTGTTAAGTTTCTTATCAACACCTACTTCTTACTGCTTTTTGTGTGCAACAAATTATCCCTCATCAAGCACAGTTCAATCCGCTTATAATAGCTTGCTTAATTCGTTATCAGGATGTTCAGATCTTCCAAATCCTGTTCTTTGTACAGGATCTGAGTCATCGCCTGCAGAAACATCGCCAGAAGTTCCCAATATTTGGACCTATATAAACACATGCGGTACTCTTATAGCTTCTTTTACCACATGTTATAATGATTGCTTCAATGCTGCTGTTGGTATCTATCAGCAAGGATGTGGGACCATTTCTCAAGATTCTAATCCATTACAATGCACGTTGGCAAACTGTATCTATTGTGATAATCAGAACTTGTTCATGTACGGCTTGCTTTTCAAATTAAAATATTTGGTAAACTGTCCTGTGGTAGAAGCTGTTTCGTCTTCAGAAGAATCTTCTTCTATTGAATCATCATCGGATGAGTCTTCTTCTATTGAATCATCTTCTGTTGAATCGTCATCTATTGAATCGTCATCTATTGAATCATCATCTATTGAATCATCATCTATTGAATCATCTTCTGTTGAATCTTCATCTGTTGAATCATCATCTGTTGAATCGTCTTCTATTGAATCATCATCTGTTGAATCGTCTTCTATTGAATCATCATCTGTTGAATCATCTTCTGTTGAATCTTCATCTGTTGAATCATCATCTATTGAATCATCATCTATTGAATCATCATCTATTGAATCTTCATCTATTGAATCATCATCTATTGAATCATCTTCTGTTGAATCTTCATCTGTTGAATCTTCATCTGTTGAATCTTCATCTGTTGAATCGTCTTCTATTGAATCTTCATCTATTGAATCATCATCTATTGAATCATCTTCTGTTGAATCTTCATCTGTTGAATCATCATCTATTGAATCATCTTCTGTTGAATCTTCATCTGTTGAATCATCATCTGTTGAATCGTCTTCTATTGAATCTTCATCTGTTGAATCATCATCTATTGAATCATCTTCTGTTGAATCTTCATCTGTTGAATCATCATCTGTTGAATCGTCTTCTATTGAATCATCATCTGTTGAATCATCTTCTGTTGAATCTTCATCTGTTGAATCATCATCTGTTGAATCGTCTTCTATTGAATCATCATCTATTGAATCATCATCTATTGAATCATCATCTATTGAATCATCATCTGTTGAATCTTCATCTGTTGAATCATCATCTGTTGAATCGTCTTCTATTGAATCTTCATCTGTTGAATCATCATCTGTTGAATCATCATCTATTGAATCATCTTCTGTTGAATCTTCATCTGTTGAATCATCATCTGTTGAATCGTCTTCTATTGAATCATCATCTATTGAATCATCAACTATTGAATCGTCATCTGTTGAATCTTCATCTGTTGAATCTTCATCTGTTGAATCATCATCTGTTGAATCGTCTTCTATTGAATCTTCATCTGTTGAATCATCATCTGTTGAATCATCATCTATTGAATCATCTTCTGTTGAATCTTCATCTGTTGAATCATCATCTGTTGAATCGTCTTCTATTGAATCATCATCTATTGAATCATCAATTATTGAATCGTCATCTGTTGAATCTTCATCTGTTGAATCATCATCTGTTGAATCTTCATCTGTTGAATCATCTTCTATTGAATCTTCATCTGTTGAATCATCTTCTATTGAATCTTCATCTGTTGAATCATCAACTATTGAATCATCATCTGTGGAATCATCAACTATTGAATCATCGATTGTGGAATCTTCATCTGTTGAGTCGTCATCTGTTGAATCTTCAACTGTTGAATCGTCTTCTATTGAATCTTTATCTATTGAATCATCATCTATTGAATCATCTTCTGTTGAATCATCATCTATTGAATCATCATCTATTGAATCATCATCTATTGAATCATCATCTGTTGAATCTTCATCTGTTGAATCATCATCTGTTGAATCGTCTTCTATTGAATCTTCATCTGTTGAATCATCTTCTGTTGAATCATCATCTATTGAATCATCATCTGTTGAGTCGTCATCTGTTGAGTCGTCATCTGTTGAGTCTTCAAATGTGGAATCTTCCTCATTTCAATCATCATCCCTGGAATCGTCATCTATTGAATCATCTTCTGTTGAATCTTCCTCATTTGAATCATCATCCCTGGAATCGTCATCTATTGAATCATCTTCTGTTGAATCTTCGTCTATTGAATCTTCTTCTACTGAATCTTCATTTACTGATTCATCTTCATCCGAGATTTCGTCTTCTTTATATTCATTTATTGAATTTTCTTTTACCGAACATTCTTTACCCGAATCTTCCATTGTCTACTCTTTAAATGAATCCATTTCGTACTCTGAATCATTATTTTCAGAATCAACTTTCTTTTCATCCAAATTTTTTTCAATTAACCCAACCTCAGTTAGCGAATTTATACCAACTGAATTTTCGTCTTCAGAGGTACTTTTCAGTGATTCGTCATCAATCGAAGAATCTTCATCACTTTTTGTTACTTCTGTTGAATCATCGCTTATAGAATCTTCACTTTCCAAGTCTTCTTTTCTTGAATCATTATTTGATGAGTCTTCATCTGTTTTACAATCATCATTTGTTGAGTCCTCTACTACTGAATTTTTATCATTAGCGCCTTCATTGACAGAATCATCATCTACTGAAAATTTAATTCCAGAGACTTCTCATTTTGAGTCATATTCTACTGAAACAACCCATCTAAATAGCTACTTTTCTGGCGAGGTGTCTTCCCATATATCTCACTCTACATTTTCTGAATTAAACTCAGAAACAGAGTTTACTAAAACTACCTCTACCAAATCTACTTGTCATGGTTGCGTTACTAAAACTGTCACAACAACAACACTTTCTACTATCACCACAGTTTCAGGAACTGAAACTGTTATTGTCACTGAGCCATGTGAAACTACTTATACTGTAATTGTGTCACCAATTCCAACTGGTGGCTCCACCACTATAACAGTTTCTCTTTCCAAAACTTTGACAGTAACATCCCCAACTACAGTTACCGAGCATTGCAGTGGATGTGTTACTACCACATATACATCGACAGGGTTTACAACTGTTACCCAAATTTCAGGGACTTCTACAGTAACATTTACGGAACCTTGTGAAACAACAGTTACAGCCGTTATATCGCCATTGCCATTAAGTGGGTCAACAACAATTATTCAGTCAAATTCGCCATCTATCTATACTACTACGTTCACTTCGTCAATGTTTACGACATATACTACCATTTTTTCAGGGTCAACTGTTGCTATTACTGAACCTTATGAAACAACGGTTACAGCTGTTATATCTTCATTTCCTTCTGGTGAATCAACAAAAATTATTGCATCAGAGTCACAATCTATTTATACCACTACATTTACCTCATCAGGATTCACCACCTATACTACAGTTTCTGCAGGGTCAACAGTCACTAATACTGAACCATGTGAAACCGTGGTTACTGAAATTATATCGCCATTGTCTCTTGGTGGGTCAACAACTATTCCTGTTTCTATTATTTTATCAACCACAATTATTACTTCTACTGGATATTCAACAATTACTACTGTCTCTGCAGGTTCTTCAGTTACTATTACTGAGCCTTGTGAAATCACTTATACAGCGGTTGTTTCTTCACTTCCATCAAGCGGTGTCACTACTATTCCTATTTCTCTTATTTCCACCACCACTCATGTTACTTCTACTGGTTATACCACAATCACTTCTGTTTCTTCAGGAAACACAATTACAGTTACCCAATCATTGGAAACAACTTATACAGCAGTCATTACTACAATATCACCTATTCCTTTAACTTCGTCTGGTTCTACAAACCATGCCACTACAATTTTTGTGTGTGACGAATGTTCGACAGCTTTAGTCACTACAGAATCTGTTACCACAGCTATTTTGACATCTGGAAGTGAAACATCTACAATCACTCAAACAAACGAAGTGGTGAATACTGTTATTGTTTCTCCTGTCACATCGACAATCAGCACCTTTACATATTCTGAAATTTCTAGTGAATCTTGCAACGAGTGTTCTACATATGTTGTTGCTTCGCTAACTACTGTAGGCTCAGTAGTTACCTCTCAGGGTATCACAACGACTTCATATTTGCCTTCAGTTGTCCAGAACACTTTTATAGAGTCGCCTGTTGTTTCGACAGGTTCCGTGTATATCACTTTTGCGGGTCCAACAAGTACACAATACTCTGAACAATCGTCAATATTGAGTAGCACTGGGTCCATTAGTGCTATTTCAAATGGTGTATCTGTTGGGGTGACTGGATCTAGTTCTTCAATTTTTTCAGGTTCGGGTACAAAATCGTCATCTTCAGAAACACATGTTTTACCTCAGATTAGTTCAACAACCGAAACTACATTGACACAAGTTAATGAGGCCAGTCATCTGAATTTCACAGTTTTTGGTAGTGTTTTTGCAATTTTTGTTTCATTTTTTATTTTGGTATAGTTTTCTTACATAAGTATTTTGTTCTAATTCATTCTTTTGTGTAATATGATAAATTTCAAATTAAATTTGTCCTAAAATGTAGTTAACTGGCATTTCATCAGCGTTTTCTTAGCAGCAATGGTTTTTTAGTAAAATGCAATAAACATTTACAAATTAAGAATTAATTTTAACTAAAATTTTGACGGGATGTATTTTTCCTTCATTGTTTGATTTAATAGATGGTATTAATTTCATATTTTTTTCAATGACATGATTTTCTTTTTTATTTTCACAACCTACCTCCCTTGTGTCTCGAGTGCTTGGAGGTAAATAAAATTTAAAATTCGATTTCTTCAATCCTGCTTTACCTAGATGTCTTATTTTCGGCTATCTTAGAATTTGCCTAGTTCCAAAATGACAGAAGAATTCAAGTTAATGAATATATGCAATCAAATGATAGTTATTATATTTACAGATAGTTATCAGTATAATTGATCCTATATAGGATAGCATATATACATTTTTTTTCCTTTAAATAGAAATAGATATATTTCCATTAATATATTGCGGAAACTCGACATATTGTCAATAAACCAATGCGCTCAAATTTTAGTTTACATTGTACATATAATAATTTTTTTTATGAATCCAAAAGTTGTAGATAAAAACATATACAAATAAAAAATAGCAAAGACAGACCTCAATCAAAAAGGTTGTAAGGAAATGAGCTAAATGAATAGACTAACGGAAAAGGTTAAAGGTCAAGTATGGCCCCTCAATGTAAGTAGCTATGAATTAAAACCGAATCTTGTAAAACTATCCAGAATGGGTTTATAAGAACGAAGAGCAAATAAATAAATCAAAATCTGGACATACTATTTAAGGAGATCAATAACGATCAATGACAATTAAAGATAAATAGAAATGTAGATAGAAAAATACAGGTAGCTACCTGAATAAAATTTTAATCAATACTCTATAGAGTATTGAATAAAAAATTTTATTTTTAATAAACAAACTTTCACTGTTTGCTAGGAGTATTCCGGTGCCCTAATTGCACACTGGACTGTGTTTTTAAACTATATAAATCACTATTAAAAGTAGCACTAAAACATTAATGGTAGTGGTACCTCTGTTTTATTTAACTGGGCAATATGTCACACTTGTAATATCAGGTTATATGTACTTTTGTTAGCAAAAGCTACTTAGTAAAAAAAAAATCAAGTATGATCTACATTTAACTCTTAACCTAGTATAGTAGACCGTGCATCAATCTCTCCTCCAATTTTTGAAGTACTTTTAAAAGATTAACCAAAGATTATATGTCCAATTAGATTTATGGATCGCATAGAATGCCCTAAACATTGCACACTGTTTGTTAGCTACCCTAGTGAACTATTCTATTCTATTTTTTTTTTTAAAAATATAAATAAACGGCCTTTGATAGTTAAACTCTATTCAAGTATATTTATCATTACTTCCAAAACAATGTTGTATTCCAAATTGAAACGTATCTAAATTAAAAAAAAAAATAGATAGACAATATCCCTAAATACCAATTTAATATTTTGACGGAGAGCACAATGATACCTATATATGATTTCAATTTTGAAATTGTTTTCAATATTTTTTGCGGATATTGAGGTATCCCTTGCAAAATTAATTTTCAATATTTGATTATTTCTTAGTATTACTTGATTTATAAATCAAAACAAAAGTTTTAAAAAGCCAATATAATTTTTATGAAAAACCAATAGAAATGATTGCCGACTTGGAAAAGATTCTGCATTTGTGTGCATGATTAATCAACACACATACATAACAGAACAAAGACTCAACTCAATAGGATAGTGTTATATTTTTTTTTAATTTCCATCATATGATTATTGCATTTTTCAATATTTTTTTTGTTTCGTAATCACTTTTCTTTTTACAATATATGATAAACTTGGATTTTTAATATTTTGTTCAGAATCGTATATATATAATCATACTCCATATATGGACTATGATTGTTTGCAAAGATAATAACTGTTTTAGGAAAATAAATGAAATTGAATTCACTTCCTTTTCCTAGGAATAGAAATATAATCTATTAAAATAATGTTGTAAACGTTAAAATTAAAATTCATTTTTTCAGAAAAAAACATCTTATCTCTTTATGATCATCATTAACATCTAACCCTATTTTTATGTTTTTTATTTCTTTGAAGTTTAAACCAAAAACTTTACTAATTAGTAAAGTTTTAACAAAGAAAAATCAACTTAAATAGAGATCTTCTAATGATAACAGATCTGTTAACAACGTTTTTTATGTCTCTATCGGATTTAACCATAAAAGTTTATTGCTAACTTAGTTTGTGTGTAAAGAATCTTGTTAGGACTTCAACGACTGTGGAATGAATTCAATCAGTCTTATCAAATTTTGATTGTTAAAACATTTTTCACTCAGCTGTATTACTAGTTTTTTATACTTTTAACCTTCAAAGTGAAACTTTGTATATTTAATTTCTACATCCATTTTTTATTACTTTGCCAATTGTACTCTAACAAAAGAAATCCACATTAATCATTTCACAAACTGTCAATAAGAATGTCCTCTTGATTTTCAACACTTTAATAAACAAAACACAAGTAGTTAACAAGCGTTTGCACTATAACTTTTAATAAATAAATACCAAATGCATTACTCGTACTTTTCAATCAATTATTAAAAATACTACAACACTTTATTTACATGTGATTCTTTGTTGAATATTTAAGCCAGTTAGCTTTTTGATATGCCTACTGATCCAAAAGATTCAGGTGTTTTAATTGAAAGCACGTATATCCCAAAAAAAATAATTATTTCAATCAATAATAAAAATAGAATAAGACCATCAGAAGCAGCCATTTTTTTCAACTCTATGGATTGTTTTTTTTTAAAATTTAATTATGAGAGTCATTGATTCTAGGGATTTTTTTAGCCACATTGAGCTTTGAAAAGAGACAGTTGTAACAAAGACTTTATCATCTATAATGATTACATTTTATCTATTTTTCAAAAAAAAAAAAAATACGAAGTTGAATTAAAATTTTCAAAAAAAAAATCAAGCTTGAAATGATGAAAATTACTGCTTTATATACTTGAACTAAGTTCCCTTGTATTTGAGTCAGTTTTGGTAGTTCTTTCTCATAAAAAATGAACGTGAACTTAATTATGAGTTTCATAAAACCATTACTTCTACAATAAATACAAATTAGTAGCATGTAGTATTGTATCTATTTAATATATAATGATCATTATTCTCATGAGAATATATATTTTTTTAAAATAAGAAACATCATAATCAATTCCTTCAAATAATGCATCACAACGTCAAGAAAATTATGGGAAGGTAGAGCAGTACATGAACAAAGGAGTGGACCAAACTCAAGGGAAAAAAAAGGTGGTGAGCTTCTTTTATATACAGCAATTGCATTAAAAGCCAACTTTCTCTGTTATTGGTATCACATTTAGGGGTTTCCCTTCTGATAAAGTTTAGCATGTTACCATATATATCCATATTTTATCATTATAATTAATTAAATGCATTCAATTTTTGCAATAAAATTAGGAAATCATTGTAGCATCAATATTAATTAATAATAAGATTCTTATACTTAAATCAACTATTTGTTTGTGATATAATCAAAAATTAGAGCTTTATAAGAATAAATAATTCCCACATTTTGATTATTTTTATTTGATATAAGATTTATTTTCGAAACAATAAAGAAAATAAAAAACAGTGTAATATTTAATTTCGTTTTTAAAATTTTAACCAAGTTTATATTATCAATCATTAAATTCAAAGTTTCATAAATGTTTTTACAGAAACAGCTTGTTCTTATTCCTTTGTTGATATCATCGGTATTAGCTCTGTCATCTAATGAATGTATTCCCTCAGTTCCAACTCAGGTAGACTGCGTGAACCTTTGCTTAGAGCTAGCAAACCAATATTTTAATACTCAGGTAGACAGATGTGGACTGTTAGAATTATTATCGACACCTACTTCGTATTGCTTTTTGTGTGCATCAAGCTACCCCTCAGTAGGAGATATTCAATTTTATTTGGGAATCATGCTTAATTTATTTACAGAATGTTCAGATCTTCCAAATCCTGTTCTTTGTACAGGGTCAGAGTCTCCACCTCCAGATACATTACCCGAACCACCAAATTATTATGATTATTTAAACACATGTGATGTCTTCATTTCTTCTCCGGATGCATGTTATAGTGACTGCTTCAGTGCAGCAGCTGGCATATACCAACAAGGATGTGGGACAATTTCTCAAATATCTAATCCATTATCATGCACATTTGCATCCTGCTTACTTTGTGATATGAATAACGATTATCTTTACGGACTAGTTTTCCAGCTTCAATACTTAGTAAATTGTCCCGTGGAGGAGGACTCTTCTTCTTCTTCAGTTGAATCTTCTTCTGCCGAATCGTCATCTATTGAATCATCATCTGTTGAATCTTCATCCATTGAATCATCAACTATTGAATCATCAACTATTGAATCATCGACTGTGGAATCATCATCAGATGACTCTTCTTCTATTGAATCATCTTCTGTGGAATCATCATCTATTGAATCTTCATCTGTTGAATCTTCATCCGTTGAATCATCAACTATTGAATCGTCATCTGTTGAATCTTCATCTGTTGAATCGTCATCTATTGAATCGTCATCTGTTGAATCTTCTTCATTTGAATCGTCAACTTTGGAATCATCTTCTCTTGAATCTTCATCTCTTGAATCTTCATCTTTTGAATCGTCATCTATTGAATCGTCATCTATTGAATCTTCATCTGTTGACTCTTCTTCTACTGAATCATCTTCTGTGGAATCATCATCTATTGAATCATCATCTGTTGAATCTTCATCCGTTGAATCATCAACTATTGAATCTTCATCTGTTGAATCTTCATCTGTTGAATCGTCATCTATTGAATCTTCATCTGTTGAATCTTCATCTTTTGAATCGTCATCTATTGAATCGTCATCGGATGAGTCTTCTTCTATTGAATCATCTTCTGTTGAATCGTCATCTATTGAATCATCTTCTGTTGAATCTTCATCTGTTGAATCGTCTTCTATTGAATCATCATCTATTGAATCATCATCTATTGAATCTTCATCTGTTGAATCTTCATCTGTTGAATCGTCATCTATTGAATCGTCATCTGTTGAATCTTCTTCATTTGAATCGTCAACTTTGGAATCATCTTCTCTTGAATCTTCATCTTTTGAATCGTCATCTATTGAATCATCATCTATTGAATCATCATCTATTGAATCATCTTCTATTGAATCATCTTCTATTGAATCATCTTCTATTGAATCGTCATCTATTGAATCGTCATCTATTGAATCGTCATCTGTTGAATCTTCATCTGTTGAATCGTCATCTATTGAATCGTCATCTGTTGAATCTTCTTCATTTGAATCGTCAACTTTGGAATCATCTTCTCTTGAATCTTCATCTGTTGAATCTTCATCTTCTGAATCGTCATCTATTGAATCTTCATCTGTTGAATCTTCATCTTTTGAATCGTCATCTATTGAATCGTCATCTATTGAATCTTCATCTGTTGACTCTTCTTCTACTGAATCATCTTCTGTGGAATCATCATCTATTGAATCATCATCTGTTGAATCTTCATCCGTTGAATCATCAACTATTGAATCTTCATCTGTTGAATCTTCATCTGTTGAATCTTCATCGGTTGAATCTTCATCTGTTGAATCTTCATCTGTTGAATCGTCATCCGTTGAATCTTCTTCATTTCAATCTTCATCTGTGGAATCCTCTTTTTTTGAATCGTCATCTATTGAATCTTCATCTTTTGAATCTTCATCTTTTGAATCTTCATCTGTTGAATCTTCATCTTTTGAATCTTCATCTTTTGAATCTTCATCTTTTGAATCTTCATCTTTTGAATCTTCATCTTTTGAATCTTCATCTTTTGAATCTTCATCTTTTGAATCTTCATCTTTTGAATCTTCATCTTTTGAATCTTCATCTTTTGAATCTTCATCTCTTGAATCTTCATCTCTTGAATCGTCATCTGCTGAATCGTCATCTCTTGAATCTTCAATTGTGGAATCTTCCTCTCTTGAATCGTCAACTTTGGAATCTTCACCTATTGAATCGTCAATTTTTGAATCGTTATCGGTGGAATTGTCATCTCTTGACCCTTCTTATATTGAATTTTCATCTACTGAATCGTCATTTACTTCGTCGTCGTCTGGTGAATCTCATTCTCTTGAATCTTCTTCATTTAACCCATTTTTCGCTGAATCTTTATCTTTAGAGTCTTCAGAGCTGCTTGTTATGACGAGTTCATCGTCAATTGAAGAATCCTCATCACTGATTGTTTCTTTTGTGGAATCTTCGTTTACTGAATCTTCATTTTTAAAGCCTATTTTATCTGAATCATCTTTTGCTGAGTCTTTATCTATGTTAAAGTCATCATTTGCTGAGTCTTTATCTATGTTAAAGTCATCATTTGCTGAGTCCTCTACTGTTGAACCATTATCAATAGAGTCTCCATTTACAGAACCATTAACTTCTAAAGAATTATTTTTTGAATCTTCATCTGCTGAGAAATTATATACGGAAAATATCTCTTCTATTAAACCATCTTTTGCTGAAATTTCTTTGTTTTCTGAATCATTATCCACTCAACACTCAGTTCCCATAACATCATATTTTGAGTCATCTGCTATTGAAACTTCCTTTTTAAATATTCACTTATCCAGCGAGGTGTCATCGCATATACCACAACCTACATTTCCTGAATCAAACTCAGAAACTGGGTCAACTACAGCTACTACTACAGAATCTATTTGTCATGGTTGCGTTACTAAAACTATTACAACAACAACATTTTCTACCATCACTACCGCTTCAGGGACTGCAACTGTTACTGTCACTGAACCATGTGAAACTACATATACTGTCATTATTTCTCCAATTCCAACAGGAGGTTCAACTACAATAACAATTTCTAAATCTGAAACTTTGAAAGTTACTGCTTCATTACCGACCACAGTCACTGAGCATTGTAGTGCTTGTATCACCACCACCTTTACATCTAGCGGATTTACCACTATCACAAAGATATCAGGATTTTCTACCATCACTGTTACTGAGCCATGTGAAACCACTATTACTGCAGTTATATCACCATTGCCTTCAGGTGGGTCCACAACTATCACTGAATCAGATTCCAAATCAGTTTATACCACTATATTAACTTCATCTGGATCAACAACAATCACCACAATTTCTAAAGGTAGATCAGTGACAGTTACAGAGCCTTGTGAAACAACCTATACCGCTGTTATTTCTCCTCTATTATCAGGGGGTATCACCACTATCCCAGTTACTTTTCCTTTGTTTACTTTTGTTATCATATCAACCGGATTAACGACAATTACTAGTGTTTCTGCGGGAACCACAGTTACTTTTACTAGCCCCTTTGAGACAATTTACACTACCGTTATGACATCATCTCTTCCCCCAGAAGGTGCAACTACAATTCCATTCTCTCAAGTTCCAATTACGGTTATCACCTCTTCTGGATTAACAACAATTACTAGTGTTTCTGCGGGTAACACAATCACATTGACTGAGCCATTTGAAACAACTTATACAGCTTTTATTTCTTCACTAACATCTGGTGGTATAACAACGATTCCAGTCAATCTTTTTCTACCTAATACGATTATTACTTCTAGTGGATATACAACAATTACTACTGTTTCTGCAGGTAATACAATTACACTTACCGAACCTTCCGAAACAACTTACAATGCAGTTATATATTCACCTCAGTCTGGTGGACTTATTACAGTCCCCGTTTCTGTGAACCTACCAGTTTTCACGGCCACTAGTTATACCACAGTTATCAGTGTTTCTGAGGGAATTACTTTCACCGTTACTCAACCATTGGAAACTATTTACACTTCTGAAATTTCAGCGACTTCGACTGTTGTGGCTTCTATTGTTTCTCCAACACCAACTACTACGACGACTGTTGCATTGTGTGACAAGTGTTCCACATTTTTGGTCACTACAGAATCTACTTCTACTTTCATCTTGACTCATGGATCTGCAACTTCCACCATTTTTGAAACTACTAAACAAGTTAACACTGTAGTTGTTTCGCCAACTGTGTCAACTGTAAGTACGGTTACCAAATCATTGACATTTGGTGAATCTTGTAATGAATGTCATACTGTTGTTAAAACATCTATAGTCATTAGTGACTCCATTATTTCCTTAGAAGATACCATCATCACAACTTCTTATTTCACTTCTGTCTCCATAGTTACCTTTGTTGAGTCTCCTGTTGTTTCCATAGGTTCCGTTTATATTACTGTGGTTGGTCCATCAAGTAGTACTTTTGATCTAGAAAAGTCTTCTTCAAGTGGCAAAAATATTTTGGTATCAAATAACTCACCGATTACCAGCTCAAGCTCTCCAGATCATGTGACTGAAACACTTCCCTCTGAAACATTTGTTTTGCCACAAGCTAGCTTAACAGCTGGATCGCTGGCACAGGTCAATAGTGCTGATCACTTGGGCTTTGCAGCTGTTGGAAGTTTTGGTGCCATTTTATTTTCTCTTCTTCTGTTTATTTAGTTCTTTGTTTTTGATTAACCTTTGTTTTAATTTGTAATAATTCTCCCATTTATCCGAAAATGTTCTAATTGTAATAATTTCATCACTCCTTTACCCTCTCTATTGTGATCGTCTTTAGTAAATAACGAATTGGCTCTTTAAAATGGGCTACAAGCATAAATCAATTGATTGAAAAAAAACAGAAATGAATTAAATTTTGTACTAAAAGATTTTTAAAAGCATAAACTCTATGTTTAGTCGACCTCCTCGACAGTGGGGCCGCTACCCTCACCAGCGCTAGGTCCAGCGCTGGGTCCAGCACCGGGGAAGCCACCGGGAACACCACCAGGGCCACCGGGAGCACCACCAGCACCCTGGTAGAAGGTAGTCATGATGGGGTTAGCAACACCCTCAAGCTCCTTCTGCTTGTCAGTGAACTCCTCAGTAGTGGCAGTGTGGTTGCTGTCAAGCCACTCAATAGTCTCAGTGATCTGCTTCTCAAGCTTCTCACGGTCGCTCTCAGAAACCTTCTCCTTGAACTTCTCCTCAGAGACTGTGTTCTTAAGAGAGTAAGCATAAGACTCAAGACCGTTCTTGGCGGCAATACGACCAGCCTCCTTCTCGTCTTCATCCTTGTACTTCTCAGCCTCGGAAACCATGCGCTCAATGTCTTCCTTAGAAAGACGGCCCTTGTCGTTGGTGATGGTAATCTTGCTGCTCTTACCAGTGCCCTTCTCGACAGCAGAGACGTTCAGGATACCATTGGCATCAATGTCGAAGGTAACCTCAATCTGAGGAACACCACGAGGAGCAGGAGGAATGCCAGAAAGCTCGAACTTACCGAGAAGGTTGTTGTCCTTGGTCTGAGCACGCTCACCCTCGTACACCTGGATAAGAACACCAGGCTGGTTGTCAGCGTAGGTAGAGAAGGTCTCAGACTTCTTGGTAGGAATGGTAGAGTTACGGGGAATGAGCTTGGTCATGACACCGCCAGCAGTCTCGATACCAAGGGAAAGAGGAGCAACATCGAGAAGCAACAGATCCTGGGTCTTGGAAGAAGAAGTATCACCAGAAAGGATGGCAGCCTGGACAGCAGCACCGTAGGCAACAGCCTCATCAGGGTTGATAGCCTTGGAAGGCTCCTTGCCGTTGAAGAAGTCAGAAACAAGCTTCTGGACCTTGGGAATACGGGTAGAACCACCAACAAGGACAATGTCATGGACCTGAGACTTGTCAATCTTGGCATCACGGAGAACCTTCTCGACGGGCTCAAGGGTAGATCTGAAAAGATCACCACAGAGCTCCTCGAATCTGGCACGGGTGATGGAAGTGTAGAAATCGATACCCTCGTAGAGAGAGTCAATCTCGATAGAGGTCTGAGCAGAAGAAGAAAGAGTGCGCTTAGCACGCTCACAGGCAGTTCTCAGACGTCTGAGAGCACGCTGGTTAGAAGAAAGATCCTTCTTGTTCTTGCGCTTGAACTCAGCAATGAAGTGGTTGACCAATCTGTTGTCGAAATCCTCACCACCCAAGTGAGTGTCACCAGCAGTAGCATTGACTTCGAAAATGCCATCCTCAATGGTCAAGAGGGAGACATCGAAAGTACCACCACCAAGATCGAAAATAAGAACCTTGCGCTCCTCCTTGGCGCCCTTGTCGAGGCCGTAGGCAATAGCAGCGGCAGTAGGCTCGTTAATGATACGGAGAACGTTAAGACCAGCAATCAAACCAGCATCCTTGGTGGCTTGTCTTTGAGAGTCGTTGAAGTAAGCGGGGACAGTAATGACGGCATCAGAAACCTTGGTGCCAAGGAAACTCTCAGCAGTCTCCTTCATCTTGGTGAGGACCATAGAAGAGATTTCCTCAGGCTGGAAAACCTTAGTCTCACCCTTGAATTGGACCTCAATGGCGGGCTTGCCATTCTTGTCGATAACCTTAAAGGGGAAGTGCTTGATATCAGTCTGAACCTCGTTGTCAGTGAACTTGCGACCAATTAATCGCTTAGCGTCAAAGACTGTGTTTTCAGGGTTCATAGCAGCCTGGTTCTTGGCGGCATCACCAATCAGGCGCTCAGTGTCGGTGAAAGCGACAAACGATGGGGTAGTACGGTTACCTTGGTCGTTGGCGATAATTTCGACACGGTCGTTAGCGAAGTGGGCCACACAGGAGTATGTGGTACCAAGATCAATACCAATAGCTTTGCTCATTGTTTGTTTAATAACTTTTTATAAAAAAATAAAAAAAAAAAGGGAAAGGATTTCGTCAAAATAAAATTTGATGAATTGAGTAAGAGAAAGGAAAGAAGGAAAAAAGGTAGAAAAGTTTTTTATAAAAAAAAAATGGAGGAATTTCAATCCTTTTTATAGTTGGAGGGGGGGTTGCGAGGTTTTTGATCGACTTTTGATTTGATTGAAACACGTTTGGTCTTTTTCGAGAATTCCATGGAAGGTGCTAGGTCTTTTTGGAAAAAAAAGAATTTTCTTAAATGGTCACGTGCTTATTGTTTACTCCCATCCTAAAAAAAAAATAAAAAATAAAAATAAAATTTCCCACTCACTCACACTAACTGCCGTGCACAGCCTTAAAAACCTTTTTTTTTTTTTTTTTTTTGCCATGACGTATTTTGAAAAAAAAAAATTACATATTTTGATTTTTATTTTTATTTTTATTTTTATTTTATTTTTTATTTTTTATTTTATTTTTTATTTTATTTTTTATTTTTTATTTTTTATTTTATTTTTATCAATAAATTTTTATTAAAAAACTCAGTAAACGGTCAGAATCAAAAAAAAAAAAAAAAAAAAATCTTAGATCAAGTACTTTCTGATTCAAATCTGAAGTCTGACTTTCTGTATATATTTTAAAAAAAAAAGAAAAATTCCAATATTAGAAAATAATAAGGTCATTAGATTTAAAAATACAAAGCAATTAAAGAAAATAATAATAATAATAATAAAGTCTATGAGTCGTTTTGAGCTTGAATGGTTTCAATTGCACGATATTCCTCAGCAACAAAGTTTTCATAACTCTCAAGAGTTTGCTGAGTATAAGACTTGAAACTAATCACATCTGAAAGCATTCGCTCAGCTTCTGCTTCCATCCGTTCTCGTGTTAATGTAATTTGTCTTTTAAGGGTATCATTTTCTTGAGAAAGATCCTTGTTTTGTTTTTGTAATTGAGTTAGCCCCGTACTCATGTCACGCGTTAGCTCCTGAATCTTGAGTTCCATTCTTTCAATCTCCGTGTTAGCAGCAGTCATTTCTGTGCTCATGGTTTGAGTCAACGCATCGGCCTTGTTAGAAGTGGCATTGTATTTTGCTTGTAATGTTTCTAATTGATCTCGTTTTTCAACAATTTGCTCGTTAAGACTATCGAATTGCTCTTGTAAACGAATATATTCATCTTGGGCCTGATGTGTACGTTCGCCAACTTCCTTGCGGTATTCGTAAAGCAAGGGCTTGATTTGGGTGTTAATTTTGGATTCAATGGAAGTATGAAGCTCACTAGGATTTGCAGGAAGAGAGCTTGGTATATCAATGGAAAAGAGTGTAGGATCCATTTTCATGGCTTCAGAAAGTGCCTTTGATCTGTCCATTTTTAAACTGTAGCAAGCTTTGATATACTCATTCATAGTAGTTTCCAACTGCTGAAGAGCTTCCTGAGCCTCCTGGTCCTTTTCATTTTGGATTTTTTCCATTTCTTCAAGTCTATCCTTGTGTATATCTAGAGAAGTTGCAATTTTTTGGCGTTCAAGTTGCATTTTATCAATATCAGCAGGTTTTAGAATTTGTGAAGCAATTTGCGCTTGGATTTGCGCCTTTTCTTCTTGTATTCGCTTTAGATCTGCCTCAGAAGTCTTGACACTTTCTTCAAGTTCCTTAATAGCTCGAGCCTTCTTTTCTTTGGCGGCTTCCATGCGCTCAGCATAAGCTTGGAAATTTTTAACATCAGCTGTCAGCATTTTAATTTTTTCTTGAAGGTGTTGTTTTGCCAAGGGCTTTTTGCTTAGTTCCTGGACCTTGTCTTCAAGTTCCTTGTTTGATTCTTGAATCTCTTGAAGACTTGCATTTAAACTGCCAACATATCCCGAATACTCTTCTTCTAAATCGGATTGGAATTGCTGGTTGTCTTCAACACCTTCTAATACATAGGCCATGTAAGCTCGTGATGTATGTTTGAAAAGAAGTTGGTCGACAATGTTTGGACCTGCAAGTTCAGCTCCAGGGTATTCTCTCTTGTTAAAGATATCCATAGTGGTGTTAAGTTCAACAAGCCATAAAAGCATGTTAAGGAATGCCGGCCAACTTTGTCCGCCAACAGCTGAGATTTGGGATTTATTTATTGTTTCTAAGTATGGGTAATTTAAAGTTTTTAATAGAAAGTAAACCTCGTGTTCGATTGATTTTGCAAATTTATATCCTGGGTCCATTCGGGTGTAGAGCCATTTAAATATTAAAATAAAGTCCTTTTGGGTTGGTGCACGTAAAGACTTGAGAGTAAGAGGATGGCCTGTTTCCCCAGGGAAGTTATTATTTTGTAAGTAATCATGGACTGCTTGTGCTGTTTTTGCAACTTGATCTTTATCACGGAGTGAAATTATTAATTCGTGGGATGATGAAGCGGAAGCTGGGGTTGATACAGATCCTGCAGATGAAGGGACTGGTGTTGAAACTCCAAAGGATGACATACGTGAGTTATTTCGTTGAGCTGAGGAAGTTGGTAGTGTTACTGATGGGGGGGCTCCACTATTATTATTATTATTATTATTATTATTATTATTATTATTTGGGAATCGTTGAGAGCCATTTGAAGAAACAGGAAGAACTGAATTTTTCCTAGATTGGCTAGTTCGTTGTATACTAGCATTCATCATTTCAGTTAAAGAGCCTGCCATGACACCTGGTCCATTTGGTCCAAGGCCTATTGTTGCTGAGTTATTTGAAAAGTTGCCTCCAATTCCATTTCCATTTCCATTTCCGAATGCGCTGCCAATTTGAATGTGTTGTGGTCGACGTGCAGAGAGTCCTGGTGTATTATTTTGACGTCTAGTTAAAGGAGTAGATCGTGCTAGACTTGCACCGGAGACTCCTGGGATCATGGACTGTCGAGGATTAGATACCATGGAATGCCTTGGGTTAGATACCATAGAGTTTCTTGGGTTAGAGGCTATGGATAGACGTGGATTAGAGGCCATTGAAGTTCTTGGTCCGGCAGCTGAGCGTGGGCCAGAACCAATATGAGCCATGGATGGTCTTCTAAGACGTTTTGATGAAGAGGAAGAAGGCTCATTTACAGCCATTGTGGTTAAATTAGTTGTGGGGAATATATGTAATGGTATAAATGAAAAATTGGAATTGGAATTGGAATTGGAATTGGAATGAGAAATGTAAATAAAAAAAAATAAATAAAATAAAATAAACATTCTACGGTTTGTTTTTAATTTTATTTTTAATTTTATTTTTTATTTATTTATTTTTATTTTTGTTAGTGAACATGTTAAAACCATTTTACTAACATTAATTTAGTTACCCTACTTTAATACAGCCGTGTATATATATATATATATATATATAATCACGTTACTTAACCGAACCCGATTCGCCTAAGCCGCATTAATCCCGTGACCTTATAAATTTATATATATATTTTTTTTTTTTTGTTGGTGGTTTTGGTGGGGTGTAAAAAATGTATGTATGTGTGTGTGTAGAGGAGAAGGAGGATCTGACGGCATCTCAACAGTTTTTTTTTTTTTTTTTTTTTTTTTTTCAAACCAAATCAGCTTGTGATGGTTATATAAAAAAAAATGAAAAATTTTAGTTTGTGTGGGCACAAAAATAAAAAAAAATATAACTGATTGATTTTTTTTTTTTTTCCCATACAAAAGAACCCCACCAAATAATTTAATTAATTAATTTTTTTTTTTTTTAAACCTCCATTTTTCAAAATTTTTTTTTTTTTTATATATATTTAAACTAATACCATATATATATATTTTATTATATATCTATTCAATCCCTGACATGTATCCACTTGGATTCTTTGTAAAATCCTTCTCTAAACCTCCTGCCATATACTTATCCCACATTTTCCGTCGTCTTTGGACTAACGCTGCTACCCCCCCATACTCACCAACACCAGCAATGACTCAATCACCAACCCCAGTTAACGTATTCCGAACTATCCAGGACATTAGGGCCTGGCGTAGAGCAGCTCTTCTTGAAGGCAAAACAGTTGGTCTTGTCCCAACCATGGGTGCTCTTCATCAAGGCCATCTCAACTTGGGTAAGTTATTGTTTTTAATAAATAAATATATATGAAAGAAAACCTTTTTGAAAAGGTGAAACTACTATCCAAACTCTCTTATTATAACCTCGGATGTTAACAAAAAACAAAAAAAATTTTTTTTTCCCACTTAATAATATACAGTCTCTCAATCAGTCAAAAATAACGATTTCACCATCGTCTCCATCTTTGTAAACCCTTCTCAATTTGCCCCCCATGAAGATCTTGACGCTTATCCACGTACCCTAGACGCAGACATTGATGCCCTGTCAACTGTCCTTTCCCCCAACCCCATTGCTGTTTTTGTCCCTACTGTCGCTGAAATGTACCCTAGCGGTATTCCTTTAGAACAAGCCAAGCAACGCGGTGCGTTTGTCGAGGTCAAAGGTCTTAGTGAACAGCTTGAAGGTTCAATCAGACCACAGTTTTTCCGTGGTGTCGCAACAGTCGTTACAAAACTTCTCAATATTGTCACCCCGGAGGTGGCTTACTTTGGTCAAAAGGATATCCAACAAGTCGTTGTTGTCAAACGTATGGTCAAAGATCTTTTAATTAACACTGAAATCTTCATGGTCCCCACTGTCCGCGAACATAACTTACTGGCCATGAGCTCAAGAAATACTTACTTGACTCAAGATTCGCGTGCACACTCTTGCATTCTTTACCAGGCTTTGGCTGCTGGTGAATCGCTTTACAAATCTGGTGAAACAAGCCGCGCAAAAATTATGGAAGCTATCCGTAATGTCATTAAGCCTTATGAAAAGAAAAGTGATACCCCAGAATCCCAGTTTGCCGTGGATGTCGAGTACGTCTCGCTGGCCGATACTGTCGACCTCCAAGAAGTTGACGAGGTTGATCCCGCCGTTGGTGCCATCCTGTCTTCTGCTATTCGTGTCCCCAATAAGTCTGGCACTCAAACCAGAATCATTGACAATATTATTCTTCATTAAATTATTATTTTTTTTTAATTATTTGTTTGTTTTGCATTTAGAGTATGACGTTTTTATTTATAACTAATTAGTTTAGAATCTTGAAAAAAAAAATTCCCCCATAGTGTGTTGAAAAAAAAAAAAAAAAAAAAAAATTTAAAAATATTATTGGCCCATTTCTTCATACCGTTTTAAAATCCTCTTCGTCCTCCAAATGTCTTTTTACCAACAATAACAACCCCTCCACTACTCTTTTCCTTTTCCTTCTTCATCTTCCGCTTTTCTTGTAATGATCCATCCCCTCCATTTTGTATCTGCTTATACTTTTCTGTATCCCTTTCAAGCTGCTCCTCAATCGCAGCTCTCCCCCAATCCCCACTTGCGGCTTGATCGCGGCCGCTTTCCCGGAGCGAATAGAAAACCCCGCCAAGTTCGGCCAGCCAGTAAGGACTAACGGCAGTCACCACGGACATGTACTCTTTTGAAGTCAACACTAGCTCATGGTATACCACATATTCGGGCAAGTACCCCAGACCATACAACGCTGATGTCGGATGCAGCTGCATGATAAGATTGGTGCGCAGATTCATGTACTCACCAAGTCCGCGGACCCGCGCTGCTTGTGAAAAATAACCACTGCAAATGCATTGCCGCACAACGTCCCAATCAGTCCCACACGAGCGCACATTGTGTCTGCTGTCGCGCAAAATATACGCCAACTGCTCACGCACCTCCTTGGCACGACGCAACGCCCGGGCATGCAAAAAGTGTTTGGCACACCAAATATCTGAACATTTGTTTGAAACCCATTGCTTATAAACATGAAGAAGTGTCAAATGATCAGACTCAGCAACAAAAAACTTTTCACGTGAAGCATCTGCTTCTTCTTCACGCTCCTTTGGCCGGTAAAATATAGAAGGTACAGAAAGCATCGACACAATTGTTAAAATCTCTTCAGTACACCCATAGTCTAAAGACATTATAACAAGCTTGGCTAGAGAAGGTTCCATGGGGAATTTAGACATTTTTGTACCCAATTGAGTAAGTCTCCCCAAATTGTCAAGAGCTCCCAGAGCCCAAAGATCGTATAAACTGGCAGTCATGGTATCAGTCGGTGGAGGATCCATAAAGTCAAACTCAAGAAGATTATCAACACCTAATGATTTCAGTAATAAAAGTGTATTGGCCAAATTGGTTCGTTGAATTTCTGGAATAGCTTGCGGGTACATTTCATCCATCTCTGCACGCTGTGTATATAATCGATAAGCAACACCATGTCCTGTTCTACCAGCACGACCCGACCGCTGGTTAGCATTGGCCACGGAAATCGGAGCAAGTTGTAGAGAGTCCATACCAATCTTGGGGTTATATACCTTCATTTTGGAGTACCCACAGTCCACCACATATTTGATACCATCGACCGTTAATGATGTTTCCGCAATATTGGTTGCTACAATGACTTTCCGAACACCTTTCGGTGCTGGTTCAAAAATTTTCGCTTGTAAGTCTGCAGGAAGTTGTGAGTAAATGGGCAGAATTTCAAGTGGTTTCGGTTTGTCAAGAAGTTCTAATCGTTCTCGTACAACTTCACACGTCACTTCAATGTCTTCCTGACCCGTCATGAAAACCAAAATGTCGCCGGGACCATTTTTAATGTGAATAGATAATATCTGCTTAACAGCTGCATCAACGTAATCCTCAACAGGAGTCGAGTGGTTTTGAACATCTACAGGGAAAGTTCTACCTGGAATTGTAAATTGCGGGGCACCACCATAAAAACGAGAAAACCGTTCGGCATTCATAGTTGCAGAGGTAATAATAAGCTTAAGGTCACGTCGTTTTTGCAATACCTTTTTAAAAAGGCCCATAAGCACATCTGTATTTAATGCACGTTCGTGTGCCTCGTCCATAATAATGCATGAATATTGATCAAGTGTAGGTTCCGTAAGCGATTCACGTAATAAAACACCGTCAGTCATGTACTTGATAATTGTTTCATTGCTAGTGCAGTCTTCAAAACGAATTGCGTAACCAACTTTAGAGCCCAGCTTAACTTCCATCTCTTCACTAACACGCTTGGCCACACTAATGGCAGCAACACGACGAGGTTGTGTACATCCAATCATGCCAAGTTTCCCGTAACCGTCTTCAAGAAGAAACTGTGTCAATTGTGTGGTTTTACCAGAACCAGTCTCACCAATGACAATGACCACTTGGTTCTCGTGGATGACTTGAAGAAGATCGTCGCGTACCGCAAATGCAGGAAGGTATTCACGTTGTTGTTTAAGAGAAAGATTTTTGCTGAATTCACTGACCCCTTGAGACTTTTCCTTTAAAAGGTCAGAAAACTTTTCAACCGAGGAACTGTTTTCCTTTTGCTCTGACTCTTCAGTAACGCCCATGATGTTTCCAAGTGCTGTTCCTGAAATGCTAGCTGAATCTCGGGCTTGTTTTTGACGTTCACGTTTTTCGCGCTGCTCCTTGACAAGGGCACTGCCTCGTTTGGCAAATATCGCCATATCACTTTGAGAATCTCGTACTGCTGGTACCATATCTCTAACCTTACCGTCCACTTTATATCCTTGTAAAAACGGTGGTCGAAGTTCATTGACTAATACATGAATCTTTTTATCTTCATTTTCGTCGTCTTCCTCAAAAAATTCCGCGCCGCCACCATTAACACCAGATGTGCGCATACGATTGCGTTCCCAAAGATCTGAATCATTTTGCTTTTGTCGGGCAAATGAAGTAATCCGCGCAGTGACACGGCGTTCCAAAGCCTTTTCCTCAACTTCATAGTCCAATCCATCTCCAAAGGGGTTATGGGACTCGTCACCTGCAGTATGGCCAAACTCGTCTCCCGTGTACCAGTCACGATCAAGAGCCATTAATGACTCTTGATCGTATTCATCATCTCCAGGGTAATTTTTTGGAGAGTCTTCGCGATTATTCCGTCGTCTGGAAGAAGATGAATTACGGTCTGGTCGGTAGTATCTGTCAGAAGAATTATTACTCGATCTATAATCAGTTCTAGATTCAGAGTATGGTGATCGTTCCACAGCAGATGTAGAGTTTTCTGTACGTTTGCGTCGAATTTCATCTAATTTAGCTTGTGCTTCTGCTGAAAGGGTAGATTTTTTAGGGGTATTTTGCTTAGGGGTCTCGTCCGAATCATCATCTTGTTGGTGTCTGGCATGACACTTTGCACCATGTGCCATTCGCTTGCGGAACTGTGGTTTAGAAATCTTTGTTAAAGGTTCTGTTTTAATTTCATCTAATAAATCGTCTTCGGACTCGATTTTAATCTTTTTTAATGGTTTTTCGCGCTCAATCTTGATATCAGATAAGCCTTCGCGTTTGGGCTTGACAAATACAAGTCCTGTTTTCACATTTTCGGGTTTAACATCATCTTCTAATTTAACCTTGGGCTCTACTTTTATTTCTTTCTTAAAAGACTGGACTTTATCGTAAACTGACTCTAAAAATTCATCGTCGAATCTTCCAAAAGCCTTGCAAACGCGTACAAACGTGGGTTTGTTTGGCTGAGAAGTGGCAAAATTTAAAACTTGGTTAGCTAAAGCTGGATTCAAAGCAGTACGGTTGAGCTGCTTGGAGATTTGCAAGGTGAGCTCCTCGACATACGACGGGTCTATGGCAGCCATCTCATACTGGGATATTGAAGTGGTGATGAAAGTTTATTAGGGGAAAGATGTTGAAAAGCAAAAATATTTTGAATGGATTGAAGAAAAAAAAAATAGCCTTGTGTTCTGATAAATACGCTTGTGTGAGTATTCTACAGAACTTTTGAAAATTTTTGTGTATGCCAGTGAAATTTTTCTATTAATTCCTTTATTTGTTCCCTCCACCACCACCAAAAAAAAAAGGCTCATCATCACCACTACCAACATCACCACCATGAAGAACCTCAGACTGGCCGGCCAGATCAGAAACGCGTCGTCGTTCGCTAAGAAGAGCGATGTTGCGACTCCTTTTCCCACCAAGTTCCATCCTACTCGTTCCGCCAACACGACCAAGATCAATCTTCCTGCCGGTGTTGTGCACAACCCTCCAGCCAGTGCGCCCTCTCCACACCAGACCCCTAGTGCTTTCCTGCCGGCCGATGATGCTCGTCGTCATGCTGTTTGGAACACCAAGCAAGAGCACCAGATTGAGAACATGCCTCCGTTGACAGAGCCTACCACCAAGAAGTACCACTTGACTGAAGCCGACATTTCCGAGATCCAGCGGTTGCGTCTGGAGGACCCTGAGAAGTGGACTCGCAAGGCACTTGCTGAAAAGTTCAAGTGCTCGCCATTCTTTGTGTCGATTGTTTCTAAGCCAAATGAGGAGCGCCAGCAGAAAATGGATCAGCATTTGGATACTATCAAGTCCAACTGGACTGAGCACCGTACTAATGCTAGAAGAGATAGACAGCGACGACGTGAGCTGTGGTTGAGAGATGTTTAAACTACATAATTTTCTTTTTTTGTTTGTTTAAGATTGGAGATAATGGTAAATGGGAGGATGGAAAACTACTACTTGTACATAAAGATAATTTTAAAAGAAGAAAAATAAAGCAAATATAAAATTGATTATGAGACAAAGTCACCAAATTCATCGTCATCATCTTCTTCTTGAGTAAAAGATGAGGTCACAGGAGGGGGTGGTAACAGTGGTGGAGGGGCAATAGTTGGCGGTGCAATTGTCGGGACCGAAGTAGTAGTAATGGTAGTGGTAGTGGTAATTGCATCATTGTCATCGTTGTCATTGCTGTCATTGCTGTCATTGCTGTCATTGCTGTCTGACTTTTTTAAGTTGATGTGGATGGACTGCCCCTTTGCCAAACTAAAATCCGAGGCGGCCAGCGCTGGGACAGGTGGTTCTGAAGCAACACTACGTCGGTACTCTCTCAAGGCTTCGTTAAAATCATTTGCGTCCTGAATGTTTAGAAACGTGATGCCGACTGTGATGCTATTGTTTAAGTTTGCAACTGTGATGGCGTAAGACCTCAAATGGTCTGGAGTCTTAATGTTTGTTAGTTATTGTTTTAAATAAGACAAATGAAATATTGAATAAAACTTACCAAGATACACCCTTGGCCATCGGGGCTATAAGGAGCAATTGCAAAAATCTCTTCTGTTTTCCTGCTGAGCAAACGAATTTCACACTTGGGATCGTCATTCTCGGAATCACTTTCATGGTCAATGACGTTGACAACAGAAAGAATACCACGCCACAAAGCCTTTTTGGAATTCCAGTAGCGAGAAGCATATCCATTTTCCTGTGACGCTGGCGTAATGCCAAACATGCGGACGTCTTCATGCGATCGGAAGACTTCAATGGCAATAGTACTTGGGGTAGTCATTGAGGGGGGAGGGGGAATATCAGGAGATTGATGTGTGGTGTGGTTTGAATGAATGAATTGGTGGGATTTTTTTATGCTGGTTATTTTGGAAAGGCACAAGAAGTAATATTATTATTAGTAGCAAAAAAAAAAAAACAAAAATTAAAAATTAAAAATTAAAAAAAAAAAAAAAAATTTGAGTGTAAAATTTAAAATTTAAGAATTTTTATTTTTTATTTTTTATTTTTTTTTTCTTCAACTGGTTCATCAAGCCCGATTTATTTTTTTATTTCACGCAGCTCTTTTTCAGTGAAAACTATTAAAGAGACATTTATTGCTTGAATCAAATTAAATAAAATTTCCAATAATGGCAAGAGGTACGTTTCAGTATGGATCTAAATTCAAGTATGACTAACAGTAATAGGCGCTGATTTTGACGATGATGACTTCTACGACGAAGAAGAAGACTATAGTGATGACCAGTACAACGACGACTACGATCCACGTATGTTTTAATGAATAGATAGTAAAACTCAACTAACTTTTGACTAGAGGAACTGGAGATTGCTGTAAACAAGGTCATTGCTGGTCTTGAGAAACGGAAAGTCCCCGTTGAAGTGATTGAAGATGCCATTTTTGAACATGACTTTGATACTAAGGCCGCCATCGACGAGCTTAAAAAAAAGTATTCTGCTCCTGTCAAGAAACCAAAATCAGGGACTCCTACGCCTTCCAGCTCTGCCGTGCCATCAAAGCCTGCTTCTGGACGTAAGTATTTATTGTGTGATTTTTTTTTTTTTGTATTACGAGGTTCCGAGTCTGCTGGGTAGCCAATCTTTTTTTTTTAAACCGCCCACCAACTTTGACTTTTAATATTTTCATCACCGCCACCATTTTTCATTTATCATTCTCAACAATCTTCCTTATTTAAGTCATTCACCAGCATTTCCCATAATTTACAATGTCCAAATTAGCTTCTCTCGCTAAAATGCGTGCTCTTAAAAAGGCAGCTCAGCAAGAATCAACTGATTCGCCACTAGTAGACAACTCAGCTGCTCAGCAAACTGCACCCACAACATCCACAAATTCTCTCAATCTTCTTGACAAATTGCAGGCCAAACACGGTGGTGCGCCGGAGCCATCACCTTCAACATCCTCTTCATCTTCTTCTTTGGCATCATTATCATCTACATCATCTCTAGCAAAAACCAAGTCATCCGCATTACAAAAACTTGCGGCTAGAGCACCAAAAACCGGTCAATCAACAATAACAAAGCCTACCGAATCCAAACTTAAACTGCTAAGGAAACCAGCAACAGCGACAACAACAACAACAACAACATCTGCTAAACCTTCTGAAAAACCCTCTGCGTCTGCATCTTTATCTTTATCTTCGTCATCATCATCATCTTCTTCTTTATCAACATCTCTTCCTATTAGCATATTCCCTGAAATCGACTACAACTTGGTTATTACTCCACAGCCACGCTCTTCAGCCCTTTTTTACACTGACTGTGACTCAGACTCGGACGCCTATACCCCTCGAATCTCATATAGCCCGAACCAACGATCTAACTTTTTATATTCTATAGAATCTACCCCTAAAGTTAAAAAGCCATTTTCTCTCCCAAGCCCTGACGATACAGTTCTTGCTGCGCAATCTCAATCCAAGGGCTTTGTTGACGAAGCTACAGCCAAGTCACTGTCCAACCTCAGAATTGACAGTGGCACACCTAAGAAACTTAAGTACAATGTTCTTGAAGAAATCAAGAGATCCAAGACCAAAAAACCCGTTCTCTGCTTTGTGGTCATTGGACACGTCGATGCTGGCAAGAGTACGCTGATGGGCCGACTGCTACTTGACACTGGCGCTGTTTCTAAAAACACAGTGGCCAAGTATGAAAAGGCTTCAAAGGAAATTGGTAAACAATCATTTGCATTGGCATGGGTTATGGACAAAACTGATGAGGAACGGTCTCGGGGTATCACAGTGGACGTTTGCTCGTCCATTTTCGAAACAGACAAGCGCCATTTCACCATTTTGGATGCGCCTGGACATCGTGATTTTGTACCCAACATGATTGAGGGCTCATCCCGCGCGGATGTTGCTCTTTTGGTGATTGATTCATCTCCCAATGCATTTGAGTCTGGCTTTTTCAGCGATGGCCAAACCCGGGAGCATGCGATTGTGGCACGCAGTCTGGGGATTGAGCAGATTGTGGTTGCTGTGAACAAGCTAGATGCTATGGACTGGAGCGAGGCCCGTTTCCAGGCCATTGAGGAACAGCTGGGAGCATTTTTGCAACGTGTTGGATTCCAAAGTGAAAACACCACGTTTGTGCCATGCAGTGGTCTTTCTGGTGTTAACGTTACAGGAAAGAAACAAAAGTTACCTGAAGAACTATCAAGTTGGTATAAGGGATTGTCAGTCTTGGAGGCACTGGAGGCCCAGGAACTTCCTGAGCGGGATTATGCAGCACCATTTCGGATGCGTGTGATTGACGTGGAGGCGATGCCCCACATGGCGCAGATTGTTGTTTCTGGACGAGTTGACTATGGTACAGTGCAGGAAGGTCAAGAGCTGATTGCAGTACCTGCACCATCATCTGGTAAGCAGCCGATAGTCAAGTCAATTCACAACTACGATCGGGAGAAGGAATCGATACCATGGGCTAAAGCAGGTGATTATGTGGAGTTAGTGTTAACCGGAATTTTGCCCGAGGATCTTAGTTCCGGAACGATTCTTTGTGGGGCAGATGCACCCGCAGTGGGGTACACATCGAAGTTTGTGGCGAAGCTGACAGTTTTCGATATGGACAAGCCAATTCTCAAGGGCAATACGATGGTGATGCACTATGCGGGGTCGCGCGCAGAGGTCCAAGTATCAAAGCTGGTGGCATTACTAGAGAAAAACGGCAAAGATGAAGTCGCTGGCAAGACCCCGCGGCTTATCAAGGGCGGACAAAAGGCTCGTGTACAGATATCCGTGTTGAACGGACGGTCGATTCCTATTGAGACCTTTGAACAGAACCGGGATCTTGGACGAATTATTTTACGCCGTGAAGGAAAGACTGTTGCTGTTGGAATTGTAGAGTCCTTGAAATGATTTTCTTTTCTTTTCTTTTCTTTTCTTTTCTTTTCTTTTCTTTTCTTTTCTTTTCTTTTCTTTCTATATAATAGTTATAAATTTTTTTTTTTTTAAATTTCAAAAATAATCTTTTCAACTTTGTGCTGGTCAAACAGATCGTAGGCCTCTTTGGCATCTGCAAGCTTTACAACAGTACCTGTAAGGAAGTCAAGCTGGTCCATGACTTGTACAAAGACCTTTAGAGCATCGTCAAAAATGGAACGCACGGGGCATCGGCCAAACTGAATAGTAATGTTCTTGCCATAGGCCTCATTGCCAGTGATTGGGATATCTTCATTGTGTACGCCCACAGATGCAATACGACCCCAAGGTCTGACGGCATCAAAAGCCAAGCGTAAGGCTGAAGCATGGCCCACGATTTCCATGACTGCATCAGCGCCACGACCCTCGGTAGCTTTTTTGATAGTAGCAACAGGATCTTGGTCAAGTGGCAGGGCAATTGCACCCAGAGACTTTGCAAGTTCGAGTCTGGCTGGGACAGAATCGATTGCATAAAGAATCGCATCAGGTGGAAGTAAATGTTTAGCAGCAGCAATGGCACAGAGCCCGACAGGACCGCAACCCACAACAAGAGCTACAAAACGGCTAGTTTCAGAATCAGTGGAAGGCGGAGTATCTGGACGGTTGTAACCAGGCTGAGTAAAGTAGGCTTCCTTGAAAGCATTTTTGGCAGCAAAATAGCCAGTGGGGAAAATATCAGCCATTAGGACAAGTTTTTTTTCTGCAGAGACTGGGTCGACACCTGGCTTAAGATGGGGTTGCTTGACAAGGGTGGCATCAGCAAGTGGAACATCGACATATTCAGCCTGGCCGCCGTCGAGGGCAGCAGTACCGAAAAGCCGGGACTTTGTGCAGCGCGAGGAGGCGCCATGTTTACAGTAGAAGCAGTTGTTCCCGCAGGAGATTGTGAATGGAGAGACGACTTTATCACCGACTGCAAGGGTACGGACGTCTGCGCCGGCCCGCACAACGACACCTGTGAACTCGTGTCCCATGATGAAACCAGTGGGGGACGGCTGGTGGCCACGAAACACGTGGAGTTCGGAGCCGCAGAGAGCGGTATAGTTTACACGCAGAAGAACGGAGCCTGGGGAAGAAAGGGCTGGGACAGGTTTTGTTTCTAAGGAGATATTGTGTGGGCCATTGAAGACGACGGCGGCCATAGTTTTAGGGATTTCTGGGTGGATTGGAGTCATTGTGTAGATGATGGTGATGGTTGTGGGGGGAAAGAGTTTTAAAAGCAAAGATTTGTTGGTGAATGGATAACGGAAGTTAAGGGAGTATTTATATTTATTATATAAATAATTTATCTAATATAGAGAGTGAAGACAAAATGGCACCATATACAATGGTGGCAGCCACCACAATAGCGGGCTCTTTTTAGCGCGCTAGAATGTACCCAGTAATAAGCGCCCAAAGAAGAAGAGGAGGAGGAGGAGGTTAGGAAAGAAAGTCTTATTTTAGTTGCTTTGATAGGAACTAAACGGAGGATTTTATTTTTTTTTTCAATCATTAATGAAAAGAATTTAGAAGATTTTTCAAAGATTTCAATATGTTTTTTTTTTTTGTTTTTTGTTTTTTGTTTTTGAATTGACTTTTGTTTTTATTGCTTGAAAGAAATGTGGAATTATTTGGTAATGATTGCGTGGGGGGTTCCTCTTTAAACATATCATGAGAAATTATAAAACATAAAACAAAAAAAAAAAAAAAAAAGATAAAAAAGTACTTTTTAAAAGTAAATTTATCAAAAATTGATATATTTAAATAAATGATTTAATTCTTTAAAGATTTGAATTTAAATATTAGTGAGAGATTAAATTGTTGTTTACATTGCATATGTAGGCAATGATGAAGTTAGTTTTATTTCGAATTGAAATTTTTTTTTTTTGACAGAACGTTTAAACATATTAAAAAGTCAAGATGTCAAATAAGTAAACTTTCAAACTTTTTAAAAAAAAAATTTTAAATCATCAAATTGATACCCAAATATACCATGAGTTTTGTTTTAATAAGAAAACTTTCTGATATTTTAAAGATCCGGTTGATTTAACTAGACATATGTTTGTTTCAAAGATTAAGTCTAATTAAGTTTATTATTATTGACTAAAATCATGGGTTTTCTAAAGATGATTCCATAACAATTGTATAATATTATTATCATTTTCTAGACATATAGAAATGAAATTAACTAATATTAGTTTTATCAATCATCTTGTTGAACATTCTTTTTTTCTTTCAATAAACTACTATTAGATAAATACCGTATTAAAAAAAAAACATTTTTTAAGCCAATTTAACTGCTACTAAAATTGATTTATCTTCCTGGAATAATTTTAGGTAAACATAAAAATCATAAGCCTAGGAATTCAAAAAAAAAAAAACAAAAAAAAAGAAGCTAAGATTGTAAGTTGATATAAAGTTTCAACGTTTCATGGTATTAACTCAGAAGAAAGATGATGAAATTTCTTAAAGTTTTCAAACATTTGAGTATCTGTTGAAAATGTAAATCCTTTTTTTTTTTTTTTTTTTTATTATTAAAGGAATTAACATATTAAAAAATTTTTTTTGTTTCCTCATGATTATTTTAGTGGGCATTCCAAGTTTTTGTGAGTGATTTTATATGCATTGCGATAACAACACCACAAAAGGTGTTTAGTAGATTTAGGAAACTCGTTCCCGTATTGTAATCACACCCAGTATTTTTTTTTTTTTTTTTCTTTTTTTCTATCTTAAATCCAGTCATCATAAAAAACTAAGATTTTTTGATAAGAAAAATTTCAAATAAATCAAAAAAAAAATTTTTTCTAAAGGATTAAAAAAAGGAAAAAAAACAAAAATTTCAGTTTAATATCATTAAACTTCCTTCGATAATGAAATTTTTTTGTTTCTTTTTTTCATTTTCATTTTCATTTTCATTTTTGTTTCTGTTTCTATTAATGAAATACCTTTCCGTAAATGGGTATGTGCGGCGTAGGAAAAACCTCCGACGCCTAAATATATAAATTTTTTTTTTTTTTCTAAACCAGCCAGTCAACCACTGAAATTTTGCACGGCTGTTTAACTTGCTGTTGTGTGTATGTGTTTGTGAATAATTGCAGTTGCCCAATTGTTTGTTTTTCAGAGGAGGATGATTTCTTTTTTTTTTTTTTTCCTTAAATAAGTTTATAGAATTTCATTTTTTTCTTTTGAATGAATTTGTTTTTTTTTTTTTTATATTTTTGTTTTCAAAAAAGAGCTTTAAATGTTATAGAAATCAATGAAAGAAAAAAAGGTCATTAACAATATTGTTGAAATGGAGATGAACGTTTTTTTAAATATAAATTCCAAGAAAAAAAAAACAAAAGTGTTTTTTCTTTTTTTTTTTTAATTTTTAACAAGAATAAAATAATAACATAAAAAAAATAAGTTTATAATCTGATTGACAAATGGTATTTATAAATGGTTAAGGTAGTTTAAATTTTTTTTTTTTTGATACTGATGACATATTATTGAAAGAAAATTAAAGAAATTTAAAAAAGGTGATTTGTGAAAATAGATAATTTTTTTTTAAAGAGAAAAGAAAAAAAAAATTGACATTTGTTTAATCTGATTTTTAGTGAAGATTCTTTTTTGCTAATATCTAAGGAATTCTTTTGACTTGTTGAAATAGATGTATAAATGTTTAACCGTGATTTTAACTAAATATAGTATTAATGTTAAGGGGTTTTTTTTTTTTCAAAGTCACAGGTATTGATTTTTAATTTCATTAAAATTTAAAGTCAATAATATATTTAAAAATTAGGATTAAAAATCGATAGTCTTAATTATGAACAATATATTAGATTTGTTTGTTTTTCCATGATTAACTCAGTCTTTAAATGAAAATCCGTTTAATTTGTTTTTTTTTTTTTTTTCGGTTCAAGAAAAAATGGGTAACACAATTGTGTTCACGTGACTTTTTATACTAATGAGTGTGATTAAAGACTTCTTTTGTGGACATTGAGATCCTAGTTTTGTGTGTAAACAAACGAGGACCCTGGATAACAGATTCCACCAAAAATGATGGAGAAAAACAAAAAGAATGAAGATTTAATAATAATAAAAAGGGGTTTTAAAATTGAATTTTTTTTTTAAAGACTCAATTAAAAGAAGTGTAGAAATGAAACAAAAAAGAGAGATAAATAAATAAATAAAATAAAAACAACAGAGAAAAAACAGAATATAAGTGTATTCATATTTTTTTTTTTTTAAAGAAAAAGAGATGACAATTCATAAGATATTTAAGTTTTTGAAAATCAAACAGAATTGGTTTTTCAAATAGGAATATGAATCAGCTACAGTTTTCAATGATTTAATGATTTTTCAATAAAGGTTCAATTGAACGGGAAAATCCGGTTTAATATTTAATTTTTTAAAAAAAAAGGGGTTCTAATTTGTAGTTATATATATATATATATATATATATATATATATATATAAGTATTACTTATAGATTCATTAAAAATATATATATATATATATATAAAAAGCCAATATTTTTATGCTTTTAAAAAAGATTAATTGCATAAATGTAAAAAATGTCTTAATATGAACAAAAAGCCATTTTTTTTATATATTTTGTTTAAATTGAATTGAATGACAACTATTTTTAACCAGTGCCCCTCTTTGAGTAAAATATATAAGCATAATTTGGCTTTTTATTATTATTATTATTATTTTAATTTTTATTTTACTAAAAAAAAAATAGTTCCGTAAGAGGGATTGTTCCGTTTCTCCAGAGAGGTCAAGTTGTTATTTGATTTGATACTATTTTTTTTTTTTAAAAATATTATTAGTAAAGGTTTCTTTTTTTTTTTTTAAACGGAAAAATCTACATCTTTCTGGAGGGGTATTCATTTTTTTTTTTTTTTTTTTTTTCATTTTCCACAAATTGGAGATGTTTTTATTTTATTTTATTTTATTTTATTTTATTTGAAATTTCCATAAAGTTGTCAATTATTAAACAACAGTTATTATCATTGAATTGTAAAAACCATTGTAATTCAAGAGTTTTTTTTTTCTTTATTTATTTTTGTTTTAATATTCATATATTTAGTTTTCTTTTTTTATATCAATTTGTTAAGTCTATTTATGTTAATTGTTTTGTCAAGAAAATCTTCAATTCAAGATGGAAGAGAGGATTGCTTTTGATATTAAAAAAAAAAAAAAAGGACAAATAAGCGATAAATGGAGGGGTTAAAAAATAAATAAATAAATAAATAAATAAATAAATTAAGATAAAAGATGTATTTTGAAATATTTGAATAAACAATTATAATTGTTTATTTCAAAAAAAAAAAAAAAATAAATAAATAAATGAGGTCTCGGAGAAGAGGAATAGAATAATGAAAAAAAATAAAATAAAAATTTATTTAAAGGGTTAAAAATTAAAGAAGTTTTTTTTGTATTTCTATTATTTATTGATTGTATATATTTGGCATGTGCATAAAGAGGAGAAATTGGTGATTGGCAATGTTTGATTGATTGAGTAGTATATAGTATAGGAATAATATAGTATAGTAGTAACTGGTTAGAAGGCTATTAATGTAATGTAGAGAGAGTGTGTAATAATAATATCAATATCAATATCAATAACAATAACAATAACAATAACAATAAGAAGAAGAAACAGAATTTTGTTTTTTCTATTAGAAGTCACATAAAAAAAAATTTAGTAGTATACTACGTAGTATATAGAAGAATATATAATATGGAAGAAGGAATATCACAGGATATCTGGATAAGCGGCATTGGATAAGTGGGGAAAGGAAAAATTAAGAAAGAATTTTTTTTTTTTTTTTTTTGTTATTTAGTGGAGGGAATTTTTTTTTTTATTAGGTAAAAGCATTGATTCATTTATGGAAAATCTGGGGAAATAGAGTAAAAAAAATATATATATATAATAATAATAATAATAAATAGATTGTTATGAGTAAAAAAAAAAAAATTAAAAAGAGAACAGTAATGGTAATTAAGAAAGAAAGTGATGATCCAAGGATCACAAAAAGCGAGAAGTTATTATGTGTGTATATACAATTATTAAAGTAACAACAACAACAACAACAACAACAACAACAACATTATATCGACAGAGTTGTGTACTTTTCCAATTGCTTGGCTTTAATTATAATTATGAATTTTTTTTTTTTTTTTTACATTGAGTTAAATGCTTTAAAGCAAAACTGTTTAAAAAAAAAAACAATTCAAATTGTTTTTTTTAAAATATGGATATTATGAAAAGGTTTTTTTTTTTTTTTTTTTTTTTTTTTTTTTAAAAGAATTGAAAAAAAAAAAATAAATAAATAAATGAAATTGAAATTGAGGTTTTATTATTAAAAAAAAAAGTTGAATTTTGTTTTTTATAAGAATAGATTACGGAAAAAAAAATTTAAACAATTAAAAGTCCCGGAGTAGATTTATTTTATTTTATTTTATTTATTTTTTTTTTTTGATATTAAATCTTTCGGTTAAAGTTTATATTATTTATTCTAGTTTATATGGGTTTTTCTCTGGAAGATGCTACGCGCGGCCCCTGAATGTTTTTTTTTTATTTTAACTTTTATTTTTATTTATTTAAATTTTTTTTTAATTTTTTTTAATTTAAAATTTCAATATATAATTATTGTTTTTTTTTTTTTTTTTTTTTTTTGGTAGTAAATAATCGGTTATTCTAGTAATAAAGGCAGAAAGGACCCCACTAAAGCTTCATTGTGGGGGGGGGGGGGTTGGTATATACAAGTTAAGTACTGTAGGTGGGGAGTGTAATAATGATAATAATAATAATAATAATAATAGATTAGGGTTAGGTTTGGGGTTTGGGTTTGGGTTGGAGGGGGAGGGGAGGTTTTCTTCTTTATTAATTTATTTTATTTTATTTTATTTTATTTTAATTTATTTTAATTTATTTTAATTTATTTAAAATATATATGCGCCGCATGAAAATTTTAAATCCAAAAAAAAAAAAAAAGAGGGGGACAAAAATTTTAGTCCAAAAGAAGCCCCCGGGTGACGTTTTCCGAGATCATTTTGTTTGAAAAGAAAAAAAAAAAAAAATGAATATGTACGTTTTTAATTTCTGTCTGTCAGTCTGTCACTTTGTCACTTTGTCACTTTGTCACTTTAATTTGAATGATGATGATTGAATAATTGAAAAAAAAAAAAAAAAATGACATTTTTTTTTACTATAAAGAATTGAAATGATTAATTGATTGATTGATTTAAATAAATAAATAAATGAAAAAAAAAAAGTTGCATTTTTGTTTGCTACAAAATAATACAAAATTGCAGGTACCAAATAATTGTTCATTCTTTGCCAGGACAAGTAACAATAAAAATCCGGGGTAAAGCCGATTCAAATTGAAAATTTTAAAAAGGTTTAAAGTGTATTTTTTTGTTTTTATTGAACATTGAATATTGAACATTGAATATTGAATATTGAGTAGAATGAATGAATGAAGAATTGAAATAGTTTAAATAAAAATTAAATAAAAATTAAATAAAAATTAAATTAAAATTAAAATAAAAATAAAAACTTGAGGCAAGTCTTCTTCTTCTTTTTTTTTTTTTTTTAGTAAAAATTTCATTTGGGACCTTTCAAGTCTTTTTAATATTTCAAATATTAAAAAAAAAAAAAAAAAAAAAATTTACAAAATTTAAAAAAAAAAAAAAAAAAAAGCCCCGCCTTTTTCACACTCACAGATTTATTTATTTTTTATTTAAAAAAAGGAGCATATGTTTGTAAAAAAAAAAATAAAAAAAATTTAATTATCAATTTATTTATTTTAAATGTTAAAATTTTAAAATTTTTTTATATAAACAAAAAAATCCCATTTTGTTTATTTTATTTTTATTTATTTTTTTTTTTTTTTAAGAATCTTAGATTTTTTATTTTTTTATATAAAAAAAACCGGATTTTTATGAAATTAAAAAAAAAAAATCAATAAAATTTTTTTTATATATATATATATTAAATACTTTAAAGTATTTTTTTTTTTTTTTTTTTTTTTTTTTTTTTTTTTTTTTTTTCAAATCATAATCACACCCCTCTCTCAACAAAAAAAAAAAAAAAAAAAAAAAATTTTTTTTAAATTTTAATAAATTAAATTAATAAATATTACCTTATATACAACAATTAGCTTAGTCATGGCAACAACTACTGAAGATGCCACAAGGCCACCCTCTTCGTCTTCTTCTACTGCTCAATCACTAGCAAAGATTCTTCAAAGCTTTCCCTCCTCCTCCTCCTCTTCTTCTTCTTCTTCTTCTTCTACCACCTCCACTTCTTCTTCTACCACCACAACCACAAATAAAAGTACAAATTCAAATTCTTTTTCCACCACAACCTCTTCTTCTTCTTCTTCTTCTTCTTCTTCTTTACCACATTTTTATCAACATAATAAAAATAATAATAATAACAAAAATAAAAATAAAAATACCAACCATCATAGAAATAATAATCATACTATCACATCTAACCATTTAAAACCTACCAAAACTTCTACTACTGATCTTTACTCTCAAAGGCAAAAAAGTCTCAGCAAAGGCTCAAGTCCTAAGCTCACAGACAACCAGCCAAAAATCTCACCACCACCACCGCCACCATCATCATCATCATCTACTTGTAATCCAACTTCTCCACCATCTTCAACTCAACCAACAAAACAATCTTCATCTCCTCAACCATCTAGAAAGTCATCCAGACTCTCAATAAATGATATCATCAACTCAAACAATATTTCAATCCGTTCTTTCTCAAAACAATCATTCTCTTCAAATTCAATATCCTCTTCTTCTTCTTCTTCTTCTTCTTCCTCAAATTCAACCTCTAATTCTTCAACAAATTCTTCAACCCCAGCTTCATCACGTACTCGCTCAGTTTCTCCTCACTCAGTCATAATCATAGATCAAACCATGTCTTCATCCTCAACAAACCCTCCATCTACAATTAAGCTAGAACCGGATTCTCTCTCCCCCGTTGTAGTTTCCACTCCAAATTCTATGTCATCTGTCACTTCAACTGCATCAAATTCTACTCAACCTACTTCAACATCTCAAAAGGACCAACAACAACAACAACAACAACAAAAAAAACAACCAGTAAGAAGACGGAAACGTAAAGCCCCAGAAAATGATTCTCAAGACTCTTCAACTGCCCCAGCAAAACCTCCATCAACAACATCAACAAAATCTTTAAAAGATAAAAATAATGATGAAGAAACTCCTGCAAAGCGTAAACGCATGTCAGTTGCATGTTTAGGATGTCGAGCTCGTAAAGTAAAGGTGTGTTTATTTTTATTTTTTTTTATTTTTTAAAAAATTTTTATTTTTATTTTTATTTTTTTTTTCAATTTTTCAATTTTTCAATTTTTCAATTTTTCAATTTTTCAATTTTTCAATTTTTCAATTTCTAACCTCATTATAATAATAATCATAATAATAATAATAATAGTGTGACGGAAGAAAACCCCGCTGCTTAAACTGCGAACTCTACAAGGATGAATGTACTTTTGTCTTCCACAATGATAAACGTAAACCATACCCAAAAGAATACATTGATGCTTTAAACTCTCGCATCCGCATCCTCGAAAATCTCCTCACTGAATCAAACATAGAGTTTGATCCTGCAACTGATATCCCTGTCCATGAAGACTCCTCCTCAAACCTTCTCCTTGAAAGTGACAACAACGACCCCAACCGATCAATTGAATCTAATACAACCGGTCCAGACGGTCAACAGATTTCCGCAGAAAATATCCATCGATCTTCTGACTTTGTCGAAAAATTGGCTGCTCGTGTTGGTGACCTCTCAATGACTGAAACTGGCTTGCGCTATTTTGGCCCTACTTCCAATTTCCACTTTTTATCTTCTACAATATGGACCCGCAAACCAACATCAGACATTGTTGCCAAAGGTCGTAAAGCTATTGAAGATGCAGGTATCGAATACAATATTGACCCAAAACAGCGTGATCATCTCCTCAACCTTTACTGGACTTGGATACATCCCTTTTATGCCCTCACTGATAAAAAACTCTTTTTAAGAGACATGGAGACTTACTACCTCTCAGATGATCATGCTTCTACCTCTTCTTCTTTTTCTTCAAACAGACCTTCAACTAGTGGAAGCGCAGATGCTTCTTCCAATGACACCTTCAACAACCTAGCAAGAGGCCCTACAAAATACTTTTCACCCCTACTCCTCTACTCAATGCTGGCTATTGCCTCTCTCCTCGACGACCTCTACAATGGCCATCAATACCACATCAAAGCCCGCATTCTTCTCGACCTCGAAATGGAAGAACCCCAAATCACTACTGTCCAAGCCGCTGCCATTTTGGGTCTCTATGAAGGTGTCTCTGACCGTGATACTCGCGGCTGGATCTACTCCGGTATGGCTATCCGAATGGCTATAGAGTTGGGTTATCATCTGGACTCAAAGCGATGGGTCGAGCAAGGTCTCATCTCTGAAGAAGAAGCCTATATGCGTCAAATAACCTTTTGGGGGTGCTTTCTAACAGATCGTCTTTGGTCCTTTTACCTTGGAAGATCCTCCTCAATCCGCTTGGCCGATGTCCAAGTTCAACGTCCAAAAGATATTGATGAAGCTGTTTCTACAACAAACTTAAATAGCTCTTCCACGGGAGGTCCTTCTTCAAGCACCGCTGCAGGTGGAGACTCTGCAACAGGCACAACTGGCTCTCAGCTATTGGCTTCCTCTGACTCTTCCTCTTCCTCTTCCTCCTCATTCGCCCCTGATACTTGGGTCCCATACATTGCCCCCGATGTCGATCTGCCCAACATTTGGAAAGAATATACCGCACTCACTCGCACTCGTACAACAAATGTCTATCTCATTCAACTAGCTATCCTCAATGCTGAAATCCAAGAAGTCATGTATGCCACCTCTCAAACCCGCTCTCTCAATAGCCTCTGGGCTTTTGCTTCTCAAATGCACATCAAGCTAGCTCAATGGTACACTACCCTCCCATCTCCACTCCTGTGCTCCCCCAACTCTCAAAAACCAGTCATTGCTCACATTGTCCTCATCCACCTTCAATACCACTTAACTCTCATCTATCTCCACAGACCCTTCATGTACATGCCTAACAATCTGCCAGCAGCAAACCACGCTGCAGATTTGTGCCGCCAAGCTGCTCTGGGAATCTCCAACTTGCTTGCTCGGTACCACCATTCTTGGTACACTTTACGCCGTATTCACCCGGCCGCTGTCCACATGGCATTTTCAGCAGCCACAGTACATTTAAATAGCGCTTGGAATGATACTGGTATGAACAAAGTTAACGCTACCCAAGGACTCAAAACATGTTGCGAGGCTCTTGCTGCAATGAGCTCCGCTTATGAGTGCGCAAAGCGTGCCCTTGCCATTATCACACGGCTCATGAATAAGGGCCGCTATGGCTTTTCTGACAACTCTCGAGTAATGTCTGCATATGGTAGTGCCATCCCCAGTGGGGCAACCACTCCTATCAACTCCTTGATGGCAAGTAATTCCAAAGAAGGGTCTCGACCACAATCTAAGGTTTCCTCTCCAACAGTTACTTCCTTCATCAAACCAGAGATATCCCCAACTTGTGCAACAAGTCATACTGATTCACCAGTTCTTGACATTCGCAGCACTCTTCACAAAAGTGAGTCGGACTCACAAAACCCTGTTGTTATTGCTGCTGGAATTGCGGCGCTGGCCGCCAACACTCGCAACAATAACATTTCCAAGGCTGTTTCCTCTGGCCGACATGGGAGCAGCGTCCACCACACAGTCTCTGGCGCTCTTCCCGCTTCTGGAACAAATCTCCCAGAAAGTGATATTTCCACCTATCCTCCCTTTGATATTGTGGAGGCCATCACACGTGGATTTAGCAACTCAGAGCTCAAGCCCATGGCTTCAGGAAATGACGTGGCTGAAACTGTATGGCGCCCGTCTTTGCAGCGCAACCTTAACCGTCATCGGGCCATGATGAATTCCACTTCGTTAAATAATGGTGGGCTTTTGAGCAATATTTCTACAGTCAACAATAATGAGATACGCTCAACAAATAATAACATTGAGTCGAATAACTTCCCTCTTGGTGTCAACACTGTGCCATTTTTCAATTCTGAAGACTTTTTTGCTTATGCTCGCAACATGAATAATAATAATAATAATAATCAAAATCAAAATCAAAATCAAAATCAAGGTGTTGTGAACCAAAGTTCTAACAATGATTCTTCAGAGAGTCCGAAAAATGACATGGCTGGGTTTGGAACACCTCCAGGGTACTATTACACTTTGGATGAAGCTCCACGGCCTCCGCAAAATATCAGCAATCGTGTTTTTGGCTACACTTTGAGCAGGGCTCAGTCTTATCTTAATCAACTACATTATCTTCAGCAGCAGCAACAACAGCAGCAACAACATCAACAGCAGCAGCAGCAGCATCAACAGCAGCTACATCAACAGCAGCAGCAACAACACCACCAACACCACCATCAGCGAAATAACAGCAACGTTAGTGCTCACGGTGATGACAATGACGATTCCACCGGCAGAGCCATGGATTCCGATATTGATGGTCCTTCTTCAGCTAATGATGACCCACGGTTACTTAAGGCCAAGTCTACACCTACTACTCGCAAAGCCATGTCGGACTTGCTAATGCTAACCACGCCTTATTTAACAGCAGCTTCTGGGCTGGGCGGTGATGGTGGCGACAAATCGGGTAACAAGTCTGGGGATGAGGCTAAGCATAATAATAAGCAGCAGAATCATCATGACAAACACCGAAATAGTAGTGGCGGGAGCAGCAGCCACGGGTTATCAAACTATGCCAACTTTGTGACCAAGTACTCTATGGGCAGCGGGCACCGCGGCAGCGCGAGCGGGGCATCGGGTGACGCGGGGTCGTCATCTTCAGCGGGTTCCCATGTGGATGGTGACAATGATGGCGACGCTACTGAGTTTCTTAACCCCTCATCTGCAAGTATCCCATTTATGTTGGGTGGCCTTGGTGGGCTCGGCATGAACCTCGGCCTTGTTAGTGGCAGCCACCACAGTAATGGAGCTAATACTACTAGTAGTAGTAATAATGATTATGGTTCGCACCACCATGGCCATGGGAATCACCAAGGGAATCACCAAGGGAATCACCAAGGGAATCACCAAGGGAATCATCATGGGAATCATCATGGGAATCACCAAGGGAATCATCATGGGAATCACCACGGACACCATGGTGTTTCGTCTGGCGTCATTGATGGCGTACTGGGGGCGGCTAGTGGCGGCAGCAGCAACAACAATGGGGCTGGTGATGGTCATGTTGCAGCGGTTGTTGGCGGCGCAAGTACTCCGACATTTTTCGATCAGTTTGGTGGGGTGTCCGGGTTAGTTCCGGATCTTGTGGGGACTAACGAATGGCGGGCCTTTTTCCATGCAGTGAAGAGTGATTCATCAGTAGGTCAAGGGTTTGATGAAGGGAAATCTGGAGGAGGACGTGATAATGGAACAACAAGTGGGGGGAATAATAATAATAATAATAATAATAATGAAGCAGTGGGAGTTGGAAATGGAAATGGAAATGGAAATGGTCGTTAAAAAAAAAAATGAATCATGATTCATTTTTCCAAAAAAAAAAAAAATTAAATGAAAAAAATTAAAAAAAATATTAAATTTTTTTTTTTTTTTTTGTTTTTCCAATATTAATGAAATTGATTAATGATAATGCTTTTTGAAAAAAAAAAAAAAAAAAAAAAAAAAAATTTTAAATAAATAAATAAATAAAAAATATATTTTTGTGAATAGTTAATTTTTGTGTTAAAAAAAAAAATTATGAATATAATTAAATTTAATATAAAATATATATAGTTATAATTTGAAAAAAAAAAAAAATTAAAAAAAAAATTAATAAAATTTTTATCAGTAACCCATTTTCAAAACTTGAATTTTTCTTTTTCTTTTTCTTTTTCTTTTTTTTTTTTTTTTTTTTTTTATCAGCACTTTTGTATAATATATTTTCAAATGGTTATTACAAAGTATATATAAAAGGAACAAACAAAACATGATTATGAATATGATTATGAATATGATGATTATTATGATGATTATCATGATATCCAGAGGCACCATTAATTATGTATAAGAAATAAAAAAAAAAGTTAAACAAATTTATATATTTAAATATAACGTCATTATATTTATTAAATTAACTATATGTTGAAAATTGTTGTTCTTCACATCCACTATCTCATTTCACGTAAATAAATCAAAAATAAAATAAAATAAAATAAAGATCTTGGCTTCAATTGAAGTAAAAAAAAAATTAATAATAATAATAATAAATCAATAAAAAAATGAGGTCTAAATATGGTCATTTGAATAATTTTACATCTTGATTTCCCTCCCCTCTTCCTCCTTTTTATTTTGTTTTTTTTATTCTTTTATTATTTATTTTTTTTATTTATATATATATATATATATATATATATGCTATATAACCTTGGCAAAGCTTCCCTTCTTCTCCTCAGCCACTGATTTCTAATTCTTTAATTTTTTCTTTTTTTTTTAAAAAAAAATCATCTTCCCAAAAACAATTATTTAGTTCACTTTATTCATCAATCAACCCTTTGTCACCAAAACCAATCTGACCTAATCTGATCTGATCTGATCTGATCTGAATATCCACCAGAGTTCTATTTCCTGAATAACATCGGTAGAACTGATTGAGGGAACGTAACGAGGAGGGTTTTTTTTTTTTTTTTTTTTTTTTTTTCTTTTCCCATAGGATTGAGACATGAAAATAAGTTTTGGTTAAATTTATTGGTTGTAATTTTCTAAGATACTTTCAACAATGATTTTATCAATCTCTCTCACACTTTTTATCTTGATTTTGGGCTTTGAAATATCACAAGTGTTTATTTAAAAAAAAAACACATTTATAACTAATTAGTTAAAGTATTAAATTATTGTAGTCAGAATAACAATATAAGACTTTCTTTTTTTTTCTTTCTTCTGCTGGGTTTCTTAAAGTCTCTTTTTAGTAAACTCCAAAAATAATCTCCTGGCCATAATTCATAATCCTGATACCGGGTTTGTGTAGTAAATTTGTTCAATAAAAGTTTTCTTTGGAAACAAAATGTGGTTAAAGGTGACTAGAAAAAGCAAGCTTTTCAAAAATAACTTAAGAAAATTAAAGTAAAGTAAAACGTTTAAAATGTCTTGTGGTATTAGACCTCACACAAATACCTGTTAGTTTTCAATTTAATATAAACATCGTGGAACCACCAGTGGTTTACTTTCTTTTTTTTCCCCCCAGGTGAGCATTAACTTATAAAACATTTGCAAAAAAATAAAACCTAAATTAGAAGCAATTTTTCCGTGAAAGTTTGTGCAAAGAACCAACTTTTTTTTTGTTTTTGTAGTCGGCACAATAGACCTGGAACTAGTCTAACTTCTTGAATAATCTAATGATCAGAGGCTCATATACTAACCTTCATGCTTTTAAAATAATAATGTAATCGTAGCAGAACAATTTGCCGGTGTATTACGCAATATCCTTGTACTTGTCAAAAGTCTTTAAAATTTAGAATTGTACTATTTGATTGTGAATATGTTTTTTTTTTTTTTTGCAGATGATAACAAAGTTTTTAGAAACAAAATTGAAGGCACTTTTGCTACTACTGGTGACTGTCCACTTGCCAAACTTTTCATCATGTTCTGACAAACAAATGTATTAAAAAAAAAAAAGGACTTTTAATTTTTTTTTTTGTTTTTAATGGATTTGTGCAAAGTAAACAAAAATATACATTTAATTAAGCTTTCTTTAAAGTCCCAATTTTTCTGTAGATTTGTTTTGAGCTCAGCAATGATAATAAGCCACGTCGGAGTTGGCACGGGCTCTCAGGTACTTACAAGTTGATTCAGTACCAGATACTTACTACTATTACTATCACCCAATATATATATATATATATATATTGTAAAACTCTATATAGCCAAGCTTACAATAATAGGATTGTATTCAACAACTGTAGAGATATGAGATTTTAAAAGAAGAGTAAATTAAAAAAAAATTTAACGGTTAAAAAAATCTTTGAATACGTATTTATTTATATTTAAAAAGTTTTTAAAGGATCTTTTTAAGTCTTAATGAAAGTGAAACTTTTGTTATTTTAAAGGAGTATTTTTTTTTTTTTAAAAGTTATCATTTTGTGAACTCTTAAATAAAAAATAAAATAAAATAAAAAAGTTTATAAATTTTTTTAATTTTTTAATTTTTTTTTTTTCATTTATAATTTGAAATATTTTTATTTAAATAAAAATAAAAATAAAAAAACATATTCCGGGGAAATTTTTCTGCTGTAAAATTTGCGAATTTTTTTTTTTTTTTTTTAATCTTAATTAGAAATGGTGGAGAAACAATTCAGCCGTGCTGCTTTTTTTTTTTTTTTTTCTCAATTTGGTTTTTTTTTTATCAGCCGATGAGGAGTGGGGGAGGGTGGGAAGGAGAAATAAATAAATAAATAAATAAATAAATAAATAAATAAATATATGTAAATGGGTTAGGGTTAGGGTTAAGTTGAGTTTTTATTATTTTAATTTTTTAAGTCAACCAGTCCGGCTCATAAACTTTTGCAAAAAAAAAATTAAAAAAATTAAAATCTTCAACGTTTTTTTTTTTTCCGATTTTAAATTTTTTAATATTTTTTTTTATACGTGGGGGGGGGAGAGGTTGTTGTTTTTTATGCAAAAATTGAAATTTTACAAAGTCCAGACTTTAATGGATCCATTCATTGATATAGATAATGATAATAATAATAATAATAAACCCCACGGATCAGTAGATCAATCACATTTAAATGTACAAATTTGTAAAAAAAAAAAACTCTTTTAAATGATTTAATTGTTTGTATTAGAAATGCATTGTAATCATATTAATAAATTTATCAATATATATATAGTATCTTTTGAGTTTCCAATAATTTTGATAATTCTAACTTGGGTTTTGGTTAAGTATTCCCCCCACTCTAATATTTCACTTGTTTTAAATTCTTTCATCGTCATTTCGTCTCAAATCTTTAAATCATTTTCAAAAATCTTCCCCTTATTCATATGCTTCCATTAGTCCCACTGGTCCCTGTATATACTCTACACATGGACCTTTGATAGCATATATTTATTACTAACGATCCATTGGCTTTAATCCCATTTTATACAAAAAAATTTCAATAAAATATCAAACTATCAAAATGTTTAACAAAGAAAAAAAGGCGGGAATTTTCCCTTAAAGGCAATGATTAGAAGAGAAAAAAAAAAAAAAAAAAAGATAGTTACCCTTTTTTTTAAAAAAAAACGCCGCACAGTCCTTTATTAGGGAAAATCACAGTCTTGATACATACATGCTTGCCAATACTATCTCGACAATTCAATATCGGCTTTTTCATATTTATATAATATTTTTTTTTTTTCTTTCCTCAAAGCATCAATATTCTTTTTTCTTTTTATTTTGTTTTCATAGCATATAGAATTAAATTATTGTTTAAATTTATCTTTAATTTCCTTTTAAACAGTGTAAGCTTCTCAAGTAATCCATCTCAAAAACCATGTTCACCACTAAAGTACATCAATCATCAATATTTAGATTTAGTATTTAACCTAATCTTATTAAAAGCTTGTTTTATTTGGTGTCACAATATCGGTCGTTCCCTTGCTTGTGGTTAGCACATCGTTTGCACAGCCTATAAGCTCCCTGTTACATCCTTTCATTGAACGAGTATACCCCGGAGCCATATCAAATCTTTAACGTCTTCATTTTTTTTTTTCTGAATCAAACTTAACCCCAAGTTGGTTATACAAATTATTAAAAAAAAACTGATCCCCTAATTAATTTGTTATAAATTTTATGTTTCAAATATCGCACTTTCATTCCTTAGCTCAATGGTGTGCAGAATTTTTTATAGTCTCTGGATCTCCGTTCAAAGTCATAAAGAAAAAAAAAATGCAGCACCCATAAAATTTAACACATTATTATCTAATATTTCCATTATTTTATCAAATAAGTTTTGATGACATTGAAGCGTATTCTGTGAAAACTGAGGTATTATTTAAGTTAAATAGGAGGGCAGTTATGAAAGGTCACAGCTCAATAAATTTCGTCAATAAATTTCGTTAACCCACTTAAGAAAGTCAGTTTATCAGTTATATTTTAACTTGTAAGTAAGATAAAACATTTCAAAATTTTTCATGATCTCTATTTCCAAACTGGAGGGTGCGAAATAGATCTAGTTCTTTAAAAAAAATAATACAAGCTAGATACAGCAAAACACAATTAGGTATATAATAAAAAAAACTTGGTACATGACCTATCATTTTCTGCTTTGTTTGGTACTAATTATCGTCTGATTTAAAAAAAATGGTTTCAAACTTTCATCAAAAGATGACGATAATATTTAGGTTAGATCATTTTACTGGAATTGATATTCTTGAATCATCGGACAAGAAATCCGAGCAGGTATCAGGCTTGCAGCAAGTATTAGTTAATAGAACTTAGGTATCTTACTAATAAAATGTCAAATATTAATTTTTTAAAAGTATTTTATTAAATTATGGTACTTAATGGAATTAAGAGATTTCTGATTAAGTCTTATTAACATTTGAGACGATATTGGTCAGGCTCATCTGGTTGTGATGCAGCTTAATCGTTAAGATTCATAAACCCTAACCACCTATCTGCCACTCCACACATTGCCCATTTTTATCAATATGTCCACGTGATTTCATATCAGACATTTCCCTCTTTTTCTTGTCTTTTTTTTTTTTTTTTTTTTGCTTTTCCGCCATAAAGCTTCTTTCTTCAACGAAATCCCAAATAATCCTAATCAAAACCCCCCTCTACGATCTAGAAAATAAATCTTCAACTTTTCCGTTCCCGTTCCCTTAAAATATCCATTACCTAGAATACCCGTAGAAATAAGACAAAAAATAAATAAAAAATAAAAAAAAGGAATTAAACTATTCTCCATAATGCCCAACCCTGCTAACTGGGCACAGCTCCAGCGAACAATTGCGGGCACACGGCATGCTCAGTTTGTGCGCCATCTCGTCAAGAGCTTTGATTTACTATTCTTTGTACATGTCATTATCATTTACCTCCATGAGTATGTTTTTCATTTTTTTTTTTACTTCTTTTTTTTAATTCTTTTGTATTAACATTTTAAGCATCTCGACGTTCAGCTTCCTGCTGCGAGCCCTCGTCCAAATGGTAAGTCAGACAAAGTCTCTGCATAAACCCGCTCAACTGACGACACACCTTTAGGTCTTCTTATCACCTCACTTGCTCAAAGTCCGAATTCCTCCCCAGCTAAACCACCGCCCTATAATCGGGTTCGTGATTGCTACAAACGCATATTGTATCCTTCGCCATGCATTCCACTCTTTCCCCCATCCAGTCTACGCCACACCAACCACGTTTGGTGCTGCGTCTTCTTCATCTTTTTCCTCTGCATCTACTAACGGCTCTCCATCATACACTGTCCATCAGTCGCCACGAAACATTCTGCACGGCGGGCTTACGATTGAGTTTGTAGGCGCGCCACCGTTTGCCTCTGCGTGGCCGTTTCTCGTCCTGGACACGTGCGTGCTTGCACTTCAGCTCATTGTGTATGCGCTCAACTTTGCAGAAAAGGACAGTGACGAAAATGGTGGCGGAAATGACCAGCAACCTAGACAATCCAACACAGAGGAAGAAGAAGAAGAAGAAAATAGCCAGATTGATAATGATAGAGAAGGCTATGAACAGGTACAAGAAACAGCAAGAATCCTAAGAGAAGAATTACAGCATGGAATAGATACAGACTCAGGTGTGCGCGATGCAGGTGAAGGTCCCAGTTCTGCAAGACCTAACATTACCACACAACACTCTCCAACGTCCAGGTTATCACCTCCGGCGTCATTACCCCTGCGGCCGTCGTCCAGCTCATCATCGGGACCTAGGCCTGGAGACAACATTTACGAGTCGTACTCGGGGAACCTGAACGTGCGTAACATTGAGGTATTTCATACAATTGCACGATCATGGACGTCGCATGAACGGTACTGGGAGGCACATGGGGGCCGGCCAGCGCCTCTGACGCAAACACAGCAGCAGCGGAGGCAGCGACGACGACGACGACGACGACGGCAGGCAGGTGGAGATCTGGAACGCGGCAGCGCGGAAGAGTCTGAAGATGAAGAAGAAGGAGAAGGAGAAGAGGCGAACGGAGATAACACAAGTGGTCGTGCGCAGAGACGGCGGGCAAGACAAGAGATTGAACGCACGCTACGGTTCATGCAGGAAAGTGTGGCTGCGCTGGAGGGCCGTGCCGAGCGGCGTAGTGGCAACGGGTCTGAGCGAGGCAGTGGGAGCGGGACGTCAGCAGTTTCACGGGAAGAGCTTGCACGGATTGCGGAAGTTTTACGGGCTGAAGGGTGGGGACAACCATCTGTAGATGGTGAGGGCCAGGTATTGGACGAAAGCGGGTTCGACAGTAGTAGTAGCAACAGCGGGAGTGAGGAAGATGATGGAGATGGACGGGCGGCGGTGACGTACGGTTCAACAGGAGAAACGGTGGCAGGGCAGAGTGGGATGTGGGGGTCGGACGAAAGTGATGATGATTTGTATGCACCAAGGCAGGCAAGCGAGAGTGACTCGGTGTCGGTGTCGGTGTCTGATAGCAGTAGCAGTGACGAGGACCAGTCGGGGACTGGGGGACATGGATCTGAGAACAATGTGTTGAGTTCGTTTATGAATTCTGTTATTCCGTAAAAAGGAGAGTCGTGGTTGTTGGGAATTCATGAGCTTTCAGATATTTATAAACTTGTCATGAAATTCATATAAAACTTTATGTTATCATGTAAAACGTTTTCAAATTTGAAATGGAAGATTAACAATAAATAAAATAAATGAATGGGAAGAGTTCAATATTTATGGTATAGTGAAGTAAATATATATAAAAATAACCCTTAATCCCGTCGTTATGTATAGGAAGAAATTCCTAACAAATGAATGAATTAATGAAGACGAGATCGGTCCCATTCAAATCCAGACAAACATTTCATTATTAAAAAATATATATATATATAGTGGTTTGCTACGTTCACATCTAGACAGGCATAGTTTTCTATAAATTTTTTTTGGGGATTAAGAAAAGTGAAAAATAAAAAAAAAAAAAAATGGCTAATGGGAAAAAAAGGGATTACATAATAATAATAAAGGTGTTTAGTCAGAAACTATCAAGAATTATTGTAAATTGTAAAAGGGAATGAAAGGGAGAATCACGTTGGGGTAAGAGTATTTTTTTAATCATAAAAAAATTGGTTTCAAAATAAAGTTTTAAAAAAGTAAAAAAGGCTATAATGTGACCATTTTAAGATTCCATTGAGGTAAGGGTATGTTGTAATAGATATCCTTTCACATGGTACCTCTAGGTCCTGTTAAATATGAAAACTAAAACCTTCCAACAAATCCAATATTCCACTAGGGTGAGGGTATTATCTATTATGGGAGATGATTTCAAATTTTTATTTTGAAATAAAGGAATGTCAAAAATTCAAAACCTCCCAACTATGGCGTTCCCAAAAAGGAATAAAGAAAAAAAAATAAAACGCTTAAGTAAACCCTAGCCCTGACGGATTTTAAAAGAACGATAAACAAAATCATTTTGTTAATAAATCTCATCATAATTGTTGACCACTTCAAGATTCCTTCCAGGGTAAGGGTATTTAGAATTTTATATTTGTTCACAGAGTACGCATAGATCCCGTGATATATGAAATCTAAAACCTTCCAACAAATCCAAAATTCCACTGGGGTAAGGGTATTTCTTATTATGGGAGATTATTTCAAATTTTTATTTTGAAATTTAAGAAATGTCAAAAATTCAAAACCTCCCAACTATGGTGTTCCCAAAAAGGAACAAAAAGGAACAAAAAAAATAAAATAAATAAAATAAAATAAAAAACTTTAATTAAACCCTAGCCCTTATGGATTCTAGAAAAAGGTTAATATTCATGGTGTCAGAGTGCCGCTCTCGGATAAAGGTATTCTTTTTTTTTTTTTTTTTTTTTTTTTTAATTATGAAATTTAGTTTCAAAAATAATCAAAATTTTTAAATAAAATAAAAAAATAAAAAATAAAAAATAAAAAATAAAAAATAAAAAATAAAAAATAAAAAATAAAATAAAAAATAAAATAAAATAATTTGGGCCTAAAGTTAATCATTTCAAAATAACGCTGGGGTAAGGTTATTTGTAGAAAAAAAGAAAAAAAGAAAGAAAGAAAGAAAAATCAGAAAACAGTAAACATATTAAATATAAAAATTATATAAAAAAACAGAAATTTATCAACAACAAAATAAACAAAACTTTTGCAAGATTTATATATAAATAATAATGATAATAAAATTAATAATAATAATGAAATAATAATAATAATAATAATAATAATAATAATAATAATAATAATAATAATAATAATAATAATAATAATAATAATAATAATAATAATAATAATAATAATAATAATAATAAAAAGATCCTTTACTTTCTGCTAGAACGGCCACGTGCACGGGGTGACTGTTGAGTCACTGGCTCAGTTTCTGCGTCTTGCTGCACAGAACTTTCTGCAACTTTCCCAATCTCACCATACACACGCTCAAACTCTGCTTGTTTCTGGGCAAGCAAGTTTGCAAGTTGAGCCAATTCTTCAAGTTTTTTATAAGGATCCCATGGTTCTGCTGGTTGGTTTGCAAATTGACGACGACCAATATTACGCAATGTTTTTTGGCTTACTTGTTTGCGAGCCTCGGTCAATGCAACTTCCTCTTCATCAGTGTATACAGGGAGTGAATCAATTGCCTCCTCACCAGCATCCAATTCCTCTTCAAGTTCATCAATGCCTTGTTCATCTACTCGGATAGGCCCACTATCTTCTCCTTCATCATCTTCAGATGATGCATCAGAAAGCCCCCCAGAAATTCCCTGCTCGCGTAGCTTGATGGGGTTAGGCGTCACGGGGAAATACAATGGAGCACCTTCGTCTTCACGTTTTTGAGTGACAGCATCAATTTTGTTCAATGTTTTGGCAGAAAATCCAGACGTCTCACCAATAGAAGCTTTCTGGTCAGGTACACGGTACTTGGTGCCTTCACGTTTCATAATGACGCCATCTTCGTTTTGCTCTTTAATCTTGGTGTGCACCAACTTATGATGCTTAAGCTCATCGTCGGCCTCCTCAATTCCTTCCTCGATATCTTCCTCAGCTTCAGCTTCTTCAATTTCTTCAACAGCCTTAGAAGTCTTGGGAGGGGTGACAGGTACAGCAGTGACAATAGCGGCCTGGCGCTTAATGCGGTCCGAAGTGTAGGATGTCACCTTGCTAATATAGCTTTGAATCTTGGGATCTGAATCCCAAACGTTGGTTGTTCGCCGAGTATCGAGAGAGTCGTATTGCGGCTGAATGGAATAGTCGCGGAATTGGCGTGTCACTTGGTCCGCAGCATCAATTGTATCTTCGCTATGAACGTCGTCCTCGTCATCATTATGATAAATTCCTTCTTGATGTTCTTCATGTTCTTCTTCTTCTTCTTCATGGTGATAATCATCTTCATAACCGTAATCTTCAGGGAAAACACGCTCAACATGGCGTTCTTGAGTTTCCCAGGGGAAAACAGGCTTGACAGGGGGTTCAGGTTCATGATAAGATTCCTGGTGAACTTCATGGGGAGGTTCCTGGTGGTATTCCTCGTGGTGTTCCTCGTGGTGTTCCTCGTGGGATTCAGAATGAGAAAATTCTTCAACGTGGTGACAGTGGTGATCATGGTGATGGATAGGGGGATGGGGAGGAGCAGGTGGCGGGGCCGGATGAGGGTCATAATGCATATGCTGATGCTCGACATATTTATTATAAACAGGGTCTTCCTTAGGAGGATGATCCCAGATATTTTCGTAATGGCTAATAACAAGATTCAAAGCCTCAGGTTTTGAATTGCGTGGAGGAAGATAACGGGTGGGGTCCCAGCGGTTAACATCTGGTTCAATAGTTGGAATAAAGTTAGGGCCATGGTCATCTGTTGAGTCAGAAACGATTTGAGTATAGACGTTTTCGACGGCAGAATCCAGAGGAAGGGTGGCAATTATTTCAGGAGACTTTAAATTCAAGGATGAATCGTAGTGCTTGTTATAAACCTCCCACCAGGAATGTTCAAAGGAAGATGCATTGGAAGCAGGGCCGCTAAGAGATTGAGACCAAGGCTTAGAAGAGCCAATGAAATGGACAATTGCGACCTGGTCTTTAAAGAAGTTGTAGGCCGGGGTGTATTGGTAAGAAGCGGATGGAGTAACATTGTAAACGAATGGGAGATGGTGCCACTTATCTTGGAAAAACTGGTTAAGAAGACCCTGGTCGCCACCATCAAAAGAGAGACCTGCGCGTGCGCGGCCCGAGAGGGCTTCAAAGGTGTCTTTATTAGGGAGGGTGACAAAGACGCCGGAGTTGAAGATATCAGGCCAGCCGATATCCGGGGCAGCAGCAATTGGGATAGATGAGTGGGACAGAGGGTAACGGTCAAAGAGGTCGTCAATGTTTTTAAGAGGGAGTGTGTCAGCGTCGAGGAAGACGATTTTAGAGAATTGGGTTTGAAGCCAAACATTGATTTTGGTGTAAGAGCGTTCGAGGTCCGGACGGCCGAGAAGTTTGAATTGGGGAGCATCAGCTTGGGTGATTGCAATGGTTTCTGTTGGGAGTAGGTGGTCATAAAGGGCTAAAAGACGATTACGGGCCTCTGTGCTTACTTCTGGTCCGACAATGATTGCGAGTTGTTTTGTTGTTCCAGCATCACGTAGAGCATGGCCCAAGACGAGGGCACCTGGGAGGTACGAGTCGTTGTATAGGAGGGTACAATAAGCTTCGGAAGACATGTAAAGAGAGTTTTTTTTTTTTTGTGTGTATGACGGGGAGAGGTGGGTTAATGGAAGATTGAGAGGTTGTTTGTGTAGTGTTTAGATTTTGATGGTGATGGTGATGATTATGATGATGATGATGATGATGATGATAGATAATAATTTGGATAAGAACTGAGGGAAAAAAAAAAAAAAAAAAAAAAATAGGAGGATAAGTTAGAAATTAGGAAGAGCAGCGGGGTTTTTTGTTTTTTTTTTTTTTTCTATTTTATTTTAATTTATTTTAATTATTTTTTTTTTTGTTAAATAGATATTTCTTTTTATTTTATTTTATTTTATTTTTTTTTTTTTTTGCACGATAACAAAAGTGAGCCCACCAAAAGCCTGGCGATATTATATATTAATAATTATGGAGCGGCGGTGGTTACGCAAATGGTATAGTGATGGGTTTTTTTTTTTTTTTTATATGGGAATAAAAATAATTAAATAATAATAATAATAATAATAATAATAATTACTTTATTAAATGATCTTAAAAGAGATACCAACAGTCAAGGGCCTATTTTTTTTATTTTTTTTATTTTAGATGAAGAAGAAGAATTGCTAAAAAGTAATTGGTAATAGGGGGGGAGAGAGGTATATACAATCTTTAAGATTATTATTATTATTATTATTATTATTACTACTAGCAATAGTAAAAAATTAAAAATTAAAAATTAAAAATTAAAAATTAAAAATTAAAAATTAAAAATTAAAAATTAAAAATTAAAAATTAAAAAAAAATTAAAAAGGCTGGTTGAATGAATGGCTAAAGATCGTTGTTGTTGGTTGTTGTTGGTTGTTGTTGGTTGTTGTTGGTTGTTGTTGGTTGTTGTTGGTTGTTGTTGGTTGTAAAATAGAAGAAAAATGTTTGTTTTTTTTTTTTTTTTTTTTGGGTACCACCTGGAGAAATGGCGCACAAAAAACACAAAGGAAAATTATTGATTGACTTACCGAAAGTAGACAAAAAAAAAAAAAAAATAAAAAAAAAACAAAAAAAAACAAAAAATCCTCAGAGCAGCAGAAACGACTGGCGCAGGGTTGGATTGAATGAGTTGGTTGTTATAAAGTTAAAATAAATAGATGGTTTTGAATTAAAAACAATAAAAAGTAGTAGTAGTAAAGAAATAATTTAAAAGAAAAAAAAAAAAAAAAAAAAAATTCTGTACGGATTTTCACTGCCTTTTATTTAATAAAAAAAAAAAAGTTTTTTTTTTTTTTTACAATTGACCCTTTTTTTTTTTAAAAAAAAAAATCTATTGATGAGAATTTCAACATGAATAAAAAAAAAAAAAAAAAAAAAAAAGGATGAGGAAGGGTGTTTAAAGGTTAAAGGGAAATTTTTTTTTTTTTTTTTTTTTAAAAAATATATAAACACACAGTGCAAAACTTTAAAAAAAAAAAAAAAAAAAAAAACTAATTAACTAATTAACTAATTAACTATTCTTTTATTTTTATTTAACATTACACATTAACAGATTCTCCAGGACTTACAGAAACATTAAAATAATAATAATAATAATAATAATAATAATTGTTTAAATGTCGAGTTTATATTATAATAATACTTTAATTAAATACAAAAGATCAGGAATTTATTTAGTTATGGTTTCATTCTACAATGGGAAGAAGAAGAAGATTGGAAAATAAATAAATAAATAAATCATAAAAATATACCAAGAAGAGTTATTATTTTATATAAATTTTTCACAATTGAAGAGTATATTTCATTTAAGTTTTTTATTTAATCTTTTTTTATCTTTTTTTTATCTTTTATTTTATCGTCAAAGGCCTTTAAATGTATTTCATCTTCATTTTCTTCTTCATATAGTGCGGCTTAGAATTGACTTGAAACAAAGAATTTAACAAAACCTTCCGACGGATGTTGACAAAAACAACAACAACAACAACAACAACAACAATAATAATAATAATAATAATAATAATCAATTCCCAAACTAACTAAGTAGTTGCATCTCTTAATAGACTAGCTAGTTCCTCTTCTTCTTCTCTTTATTATGATCATCTTTTCGTTATCGTGCCATCCATCCGTATCTCTCTGATAACGACATTGAAAAACGTGTATATGAATTGTGTTTATATTATAATAATAATAATATTATTATTATTATTATTATTATTATTATCATTATAAATATATTAATTAAAACTTCTCTTTTAGATACATCATTTTATTTAAATATAAAAAAAAAAAAAAAAATCATTTTATATATATATATACTATATACACTCTGCTTACTGAAGCTTGCCCTCAAATCTAAGATCCCAGCCGATAATCGGACCGAGCTTAGGAAGAGTCTCTGCAACAGTATGCACATCCTTGTCACCACGACCAGACAAGCAAATAAGAACCTTCTGTTCAGGCTTCAACGTCTTGGCCAACTCAATGGCTCCATACACTGCATGTGAAGATTCAAGAGCTGGAATAATACCTTCCAATTGGGTCAATAGCTTAAACCCAAGCAAAGCTTGAGCATCATTGGCAGCAATAAATTCAGCACGTCCAGAATCCTTCCAGTATGAAATCTCAGGTCCAACACCAGGATAATCAAGACCAGCAGAAATCGAGTGTGTTTCTTGAACCTGACCATCTTCATCTTGTAATAGATAAGATTTAACACCATGTAAAACACCCTTGCGACCACGAGACAATGTAGCACTATGCTTCTCAGTGTCAATACCATCACCACCAGCTTCAACACCACGAAGACGAACCTCCTTATCAGGAATAAACGCAGTAAACATACCAACACAGTTGGAACCACCACCAACACATGCAACAACAGCATCAGGAAGCTTGCCCTCATTAAGCTTCATAAACTGCTCACGGGCTTCCTTGCCAATAATACTCTGGAATGTCTTGACAATAAGTGGGTAAGGGTGAGGGCCAATGGCTGAACCAATGACATAGTGAGTAGACTCAAGGTTGGTCACCCAGAATCTCAGAGCCTCATTGACTGCATCTCTCAGAGTACGCGAACCAGACTCAACAGGCACCACAGTGGCACCAAGCATCTTAATACGGAAAACATTCAGGGCCTGACGACGAACATCTTCAGCACCCATGAAAATCGTACACTTAAGACCAAACTTGGCTGCAACTGTAGCTGTTGCAACACCATGCTGGCCTGCACCAGTCTCGGCAATAATCTCTCTCTTGCCCAGTCTCAGAGCAATCAGAACTTGACCCAGAGCATTATTAATCTTATGCGAACCAGTATGGTTTAAGTCTTCACGCTTGACCCAGAGCTCAGCACCCTTTGCGTATTCACTCAGTCTGTCGAGCTTGTGAAGCTGCGAAGGACGGTTCATATAAGGATAGTAAGATCGGAATTCCTCCCAAAATTCAGGAGAGTTAATGGCCTCAGTAAAGCCCTTCTCAAGCTCAACAAGAGACTTGTGCATGGCTTCAGGAACATATTGGCCACCAAACTCACCAAACTGGGAAACTGGGCTAGCAATGGTATTAATTGTAGACTTGGCCACAGGAGTGTTAGAAGCCTTTTCGTATTCTTCAGCAGTAATTGGAATGACGGCTCTGCCGCCACTCAAAGATTGAACAAATGCCTTGACACTTTCAGCACGGGTCTCTGTAGTTTTTTCAGCGTCAATAGTAGAAATGATCTTGGATCCAACAACAACACCCTGAGCAAACTCAGCAATCTCATCAACGTGTTCCTTTGTAGAAACACCAAAGCCCACAACAATAGGAGTATCCTTTGAGTAGCTGCGAACTCTCTTTAAAAGATCGGGCAGAGAGGCATCCAGGGAGCCCTTGGCACCAGTGGTGCCCATACGCGAAGCCACGTAGACAAACGAATCGGCGATAGGGATGAGCTGTTCAAGACGTTCGTTGGTAGTTGCAGGAGCAACTAAAGGAATATAGGAAAGACCTTGTTCGATGCAGATTGCTCTAAACTGGGTAGCTTCCTCGGGGGGGAGATCGACGAGAATAAAGCCGTTTGCACCGGCAGCCTTGGCGTCTCTGACGAGTTTTTCATCGCCGTATTGCATGACTGGGTTATAGTAACCCATAAGGATAATAGGGACAGTGACGCCGGCCTTTCTTGCCTCGACGACGAGTTCAATTGTTTTAGCAGTAGTGACCTTATTATCAAGAGCGATATTGTTTGAATATTGGATTGTGGGGCCATCGGCAACTGGGTCTGTAAAGGGGATTCCTAGTTCGATGATATCGGCGCCACCGTCTTGGAGGCCCTTAAGAATGGCAGGGGTATCTGCGATAGTTGGGAAACCGGCAGTGACAAAAGTCAACAAAGCAGGGCGGTCTAAATAAATTTAAAGTGAAAAAAAAAAAAAAAGAAAAAAAAAGAAAAAAATTTTTTCATTAAAGTTAGAAAAAGAGTTGATCTAAGATGAATGAGAAATTATGAGAGAGAAAAACATACTCTCTTTTTTGCACTTATCAAAAGTGTAGTTAATGAGGGAAGTCATTTTTTATTCTATAAAAGAATGAGATGGTATGAAAGGAAATATAGATGAAGTTTTAAAAGATGGATTGTTGATATTTAAAAAAAAAAAAAAAAAAAAAAAAAAAAAAGAAGGAAGAAGAATATTAAAAAAAAAAAAAAAAAAAAAGTTGTGAAATTTTAGGATTTTGGCGATTCTTTTATATATATCTCAGTTGAGATGTTTTGCCCCCCTCCCTCCAATGGGTGACTCTTTTTGGCTTATGTAGAGAAAAAAAAAAAAAAAATGTTTACGCCAGCCAGTGCAGCAACAGCAGCAGCAACAACAACATTATATTACAAACTTTGTTACAACAATTATTATATATTTATTTAGTCATATTAAAAAAGATTAATTTAATTAATTATTTAATTAACTATTTAGTTATAACTAAATAGAAGAAATCCACACATATATACTATTATGATATAATTATATACATAAAAGTTTGACTCAAACCGGTAAATGACTAACTTGCTATTTCTGGAATTTTCTTAAAAAAAAATAATCTAATTTCTCTGATTCAAAGCCCATTTATATGCTTATATACAATAAAAAATTAAAAATTAAAAAAAATTAAAGAAAAAAAAAAAAAACAGATTTCCGGGAATTCCAAATAAAATCCAGATTGATTGTTGATTATTAAAAAAAAAAAAAAAAAAAAAAGTCAAATTCAATAGTATAGAAGATTATTTTTTTTTTTTTTTTGTGTGTGTAAAGAGGGAGGATTCTGGTAATATCCGTTTCCGTATCAATGACTGAATAAAAACATCCTACGAGATTCTAGTAGTCTTTTAAAATGATGAGTCTTTTTTTTTTTTAAAAAAAAAAAAGTTAATAATAAAATAATAAAATAAATCCCCACTTTTTAAAATCCCGTTTAATGTCATTTTATTTTATTTATTTTTTTTTTTTTTTTCAATCTTCTTCGTTCTTTCAAGTTCTTCTTTGTTCCTAATTTAAATAATAATAATCTTTCAAACTATCCTGTAACTTTAAATAAATTTTTTTTTTTTTTTTTTTGTTTCTACCACCCTTCTTGCTATCGCTGCTTATCCAATGGTCCATACATATAAAAAATATAAATAAATGAACTGCCTTTCATTGTGTCTGGTGAGTAAAATTTGTGCGCAATTCGTGTGCAATTTGTGAAATTCGTGAAATTCTTTAATATTTTTTCAATTTTCCAATATATAAAATTTAAAAAAAATATAAAAAATTTCCAATTTGTCAATTTTCCAATTTGCCAATTTTTTCAAATATTTTTCAATTTTTCAACTTTTCAATATTTTTCAAATATTTTTCCAAATATTTTTCATTCATGATGCGGCTTGTAAAAACAATATTAAAAAAAAATGACCTAAATTGGACTAAACAAGTAATAATAATAAATTTTTTATTATTCTTTTAAACTATACTTTGAAAAGATTATGACTTTTGTGAGAAGAAAAAAAAAAAAAAAAAAAAAAAACCATTTTTATTTTCAGATAAAATAAAATAAAATTTAAATTCTTAATCTATTATTATTCTCATCTCTTCGTTTATATCTTCAAATCAATAATATTCCCCTTTATCGTAGATTATTATTATCTGTACATTTATATATATAGTATATATATATATGCATACAAAAACCACCTCCACATGACAACAACAAAACCCTTTTAAAAAAAGACCTTATTTTATTTTTCTTACAACTACTTTTTCTCTCATTTATAATTTATAATTTATAAATATATCACATTTATTCTCTAAATAAATCAATTAAAAAAGAATTCCACTCATAAATCATCATGTCTTTTATTTTTTTTTTTCCTTTAAAAATAAAAAATATATATAGGAAAAAAAAAAAATAATAAATTTAAACCGAAAAAAAAAAAAAAAACATGCTCAATTTGGGTATTTAAAAACATAAAAAAAAAAAAAAACTCCCATTCCATTCTTTAAAAAAATAAAAAAAAATTAAAATTCTTCAAACTCATAATTATCATCACATTCCCTTTATTTCCCATTAGAATAAGGCTGTGTGGATCCAGAACGAGAAGGCGTTACACTCGAAGACGCTCCAACCATAGCAGCTGCTGCTGCCTGTTGTTGTGGCTGGACTCCATGCTGTTGTTGCTGTTGCTGCTGCTGCTGTTGTTGTTGTTGTTGAGTAGTAGATCCCGCCTGATTAGATGAATGCTGAGCTTGAGAAGATGTAGCTGCAGCTGAGTTACCCTTAAGAGCAAGCAATTGCTTAGCACGGAACGACTCATAATGAATATGTGCTGTAGTCTCTATCAGGTCCTGAAGTCTAGTAGAAATCAAAAAGTTGCGCAAATGGGGGAATTCACAATGCTTTTCATCTTCAACATTAATCACACCCCAACGGTGCACACGACCACGAACTTCCTTGCCATTAACTGTCACCAATTTTTCTGAGCCAACAATTGCAAATGGTAACATCTGTTTAATTTGTTGATTCAAACGTCGGTCATCTTCATCATATTCTTCATAAGAATCGTTAGGATACAGACGCAACTTGTGATAAGCAAACTCTTCCTGAAGCTGACGTTTAAATCGCTCGCGCTCAACAAGTGTCAATGAATCTGATTTGGCAATAACAGGTACAACATTAGCTGTTTCAGTAAGCTTCTTCAAAACAACAATGTCAATGGGTTTTAGGCCATGGCCAGTGGGCTGGATGAAATACAAAACGCAGTGAACTCTAGTATCTGGTAAATATCGGTCACGCTGTGCCGTCAGTTCCTTACGAAGATATTGAGAGTGCTGATCTTTAATATATTTGACAATGGGGTCCCAGCATTTTTCGTTATTAACCTGGTCACCATATCCAGGTGTATCAATAATATTTAAACGGAGGCGAACACCACTTTCTTCAACAACGTGAGACACAACTTTAATATCAGGAGTGCGTGAAAAGTCCTCAGATGGATCGATACGGCCACATGAGTCAGCCAAATGAGATGCAAAGAGGGTATTGACGAGAGTAGTTTTTCCAAGACCAGATTGGCCTACAACCATAATGTTGAATTGGAACCCGCGCTTAAGCAGGCGTCGTTCAATTTGGTGTGTGATGGAGTCAAAGCCAACATGGTTACTAGGTTGAATTACGTTTGCCATAATGGGGTTTCGTAAGACAGAGAGAGAGAGAGAGAGAGAGAGAGAGAGAGAGAGAGAGAAATCTTTAATTGAGGTAGGGTATATAAAAGAAAGGTGTATATAGGGGGTGGGTGGGAGTTAACAGGGAAAAAAAGGGGATTAAATGTAAACAGAAAAAAAATAAAAATAAAAATCAAGGGGGTTGAGAATGGAGTGGAGTAGCGTGTAGTGTATTGTAGTTTAGTTTAGTTTAGTGGAGTGTCACGACAGCTTTGCAACAGAAAAAAAACACACAACAACAACAACAACAACATGCTGTTTCATTTCAGTTGACACAAAAAAAAGTAAACAAAATGGTACGGCTTAATTAATAATCATTAGTCACGTTTATATAATAAATTTACAACAACCAGTAGAATTCCTCGGCTTTTTTTCACCACCACCAAAACTTATCACCACCCAAAAAATTTTCCACCACCCAATTTTTTTTTTTTTTTTTTTCACCTCTCTCCCCCCCCCCCTTTTACAACCATCACCATCACCACCACCACCACCACCATCATCACCACAAAAACCTTTCATAGGTCGTTTGTCTGATTCCTTTTTGCATCCATCCAACCTAATTATAATTTGGCATCAGATCTACACACCTATAATCTCAGCTTAGTAACAAACAAATAAACAAACAAACAAACGAAAAAAAGAAATTTAAAATAAAATAAAATAAAATAAAATGGCCAGCATCTCTTTAAAGGCATTTCTCGGTGGTAGTAGCCGATTGCTCAGCGTCGGATCTATCTCTTCTTCATCTGCTGCAGGTCTGCCAGGAATTATCCCCCGGTTAACTGAGACTTTGCGCAATATCCCTCCCATCACCATTCAGATACCCTTTGGCAATAAGAAGACTGAGACTGAAGTTCGTGGTGATATGACTGGTCTTGATGAGCACGGCTGCAGTGAGGTGACTCCAGCATCTATAATAGAAGAAAACAAGAGCAGTAGGACAAAGGGTGGAGTTACCAGATTAGGAGAGTCATTCCCTGATGAGTACTTTTTCGACAATGGCATTTTACTTGCAGTTCCCAAGAAGAAAGTTTCGCATCGCCGTAAGCGTAACCGCCAGATTGCACCTGAGGCCAAGCAGCAAAAGGAGGTTTTTAGTTTGGACCGATGTTCGTCTTGTGGCCATATTAAGAGAAGACATGCTCTTTGCATGCATTGTGTAAGTGAGATCAAGACACTTTGGAAGGAGCGGGATGTTGCTGAGCAGTCAAAGGATGGTCATGTTGAGCGGGATTTGTTGCCCATTGAGGAGCAGACTCTTTATCCTGGTAAAGTTGAACGTGCAGAGCAAAAGAAGCTGAAAGAAAAGGAATATCTGTACAAGCCTCCACGAACTCTTCCTTATGAGAAGTAAATGAAGGGATCAAGTGAGTTTGCTGAAAGTTTTAAAAGGGAAGATATATATATATATTTTGTTATATATATATATCTTTTTTTTTTTTGACTTGTCATTTTCTGTTAAATACTTGTTTTGTTTAATAATGTCTTTGTATATATTGGAAATTGTAAATGAAAAAAAAAAGAAAAAGAATATATAATTAAAAAGTTCAATTGATATTAAAAAAAAAAAAAAAAGCATTTTAAATGTGACGTAATGATGATGATGATAATGAAAATGTGACTTTCAACCAGGTGACATAAAAAAAAAACCAAAAAGCGTTTTTATGTTTTTTTTTTTTTTTTTTTTAACTTTTGAGTTGAAAAATTTCAGGTACAAAATATTTTTTTTTTTTTTTTTGTTTATTTTTTTTTAAAAAAAAAAAAAATTATTTTAGAAGTGGAGAGAAATTAATAATAAAAAAAAAAAAAAAAGTTTCATTTATCAAGAAAAATAAAAAAATAAAAAAAAATAAAAAAGTTATGTCTTTTACCCCGCATTTTTTTTTTTTAATACTATATAAAAAATTCTATAGAAGCCAATTTAAAAAGAAAGAAAGAAAGTTAAATAGAACTTTTTTTTAATAAAAAAAAAAAAAAAACAAAGAAGAAGAAGAAGAAAAAAAAGGAGATGATGATGATGATGATGATGATACTACTATAGTAGAGAAGAGATGATATGGTGATATTCTTAGTCATATATATATATAAATATATCTAGCTAGATTAGTTTTAGTAGATTCGAAGGTCTCGAAGACTTTAAAAAAAAAAAAGCCCCTTTTCAAAGTTTTTCAAAATCTTTTAAGTCTTTTAAGCGAAAAAAAAAAAAAAAATCTTTTGCTGTGAATAATTTTTTAAATAAAATAATGATCATCATCAGAAGTTGCTGTTTTTTTTTTTTTTTCTTCTTCTTCTTCTTCTTCTTCTTCTTCTTGTGACCTTTTTTTTTTTTTTTTTTTTTTTTTTATTCAAGTTTTATTGTAACGGGAAAATTCCCTAATGTGTGGAATTAAAATCTATGAACTTGAAAAAAAAAATATTTGCGCGTGACAAGACTCTTTTTTTTTTTTTTTTTTTTTTCTTTTTTGCTTAAAGATCTTCTAAATCAATATATAAATATATATAAATATATATATGACCATGATGTACTATGTACTAGCCGTTCGGTTAGATGTAATTGTGGGTATTCGGATGGATCACACACACACACACACACACATACGCATATGAGAGTTAAAATAACCTGACAAGCTCATTCAATCATTCATTTATATATTTATAAATCTTGTTTTTTTCTGGAACAGAGTCGACCGAATGGATGCATAGGGCTCTCCATGAATATTTAATTTATATATGTATATATTTATATTTATAATATTCTAAGATAAGTCGTTTTTTTTTTATTTTATTTTAATTTTTTCTTAAATCATCTAAAATTTGTTAATCAAAATTATCAAAAAGTTGTTGATTAATTGATTGATTAACTGACTTCTTTATCTTTTTTAAAAGCATCTTTTTTTATTTATTTTATTTTATTTATTTTATTATTATTATTTTAATTATTATTAAATGGGCGCTGCGACGTCCAGCAATTCACACGTTCTTTCAAGTAAAAGGCACGTTGGTTGGCCGCACGGCCAGTTAAAGTGCATTTCACAGTGTGCATTTTTTTTTTTTTTTAAAAATGGAACAAAAGACAGGAAGCCCACTATTTTTTGTTTTTTTTTTTCAAAAAAAATAAATAAATAAGAAGAACTAAAGAATGGAGTTTAAAATATATTGTATATAATAAATCTGGGATTTCCATTAAGAGAAATTTCAAATATATATTAAAAATTTAAAAATTAAAAGTAGTTATCATTATATCTTCTTTTAAAAATTCTCAATTAACTTTTTTTTTTTTTTTTTGATTTTTAAATCATAGCAGCAACAGCAACAACTAAATTTTGATGAGAGAAATCTTTGGACTTTTTTTTTTTTTTTTTTTTTTTTTTTTTTTTTTAAACGCCTAAAAAAAAAAAAAAAAAAAAAAAAAACCACTTTAGAGATTCCAATTTTTTTTTTTTTTTTTTTTTTTAAACAAATTTATTTCCTCCCACTCCCCAACAAGAAAAGAAAAGGCCCTTTTTTGTTCTTTGTAATACGTAGAATGGTAGTAATAGTAGTAGTAGTAGTAGTAGTAGTAATAGATATATATATATGTCCAATAATAATAATTATACGCACATGCAGCTGGAGGTGTCTCCCCAACTAAGCGAGGGACCTTCTTCTTCGGTGCTTAGCATGACGGAATCAGAATCACGGAAAGCTTTTTTTAGAAAATGATATAATATCCTAAATGAGAGAAAGAGAGAGAAAGAAAGAGAGAGAGAGAGATAGAAGGAAAGATAGAAAGAAAGAAGAAGGAAGGAAGGCAATGACGATTATCGAGAATTAACAAAAATAAAAATAAAAATAAAAAGTCAATTCATGATGATGATGAAATATCTAAAATAGTTTGAAAATTAAACAATTCACCAACCTAAAGGTTATCATTATTGTAATCAAAAAAAAAAAAAAAAAGAACTATTGATAATTTAGACTGATAATAATATTATTGTGTGATAATTGCACTTTATTTTATTTTATTTTTAATTGATGGATATAATATCTTGATAAAAGGACTTTTTTTTTTTTTTTTTTTTTTTTGTTACAGAGTCTGTATCTTTTATTATTTTATTTATATATATATATATATATATATATATAAAAAACAGGCATCAGTTTCATAAGAACTTTTTTTTTTTTTTTTTTTTTTTAAATGATTATAGGATTTGCATGAACTAGAATTTTGTATTGGACTTGGAACAAAATGAATATTTATATTTTTGAGATCTTAAGAAAATAAAGAAAATAAAGAAAATAAAGTAAATAAAGTAAATTAAGTAAATTAAGTAAATAAAATAAATTAAGAAAATAAATATTTATATTTATATGTTTATTATCATCAATCACCATCAACCACCATTCAAACATCAAACATCAAACATCAATTATCATCATTAAGCAAAACTCTTGTCAAAACTCTTATCTTTACAATTATTAATATTAATATTAATATTAATATTATTGCCCATATATAGAGAAAAAAAACCTAAACCTGTCTTTATTTTATTCTACCACCACTTCAAAATTATAATAATTATACTAATATAATATTAATATTAAAAAAAAAAAAAAAAAAAAAAAAAAGGCCCTTGTCAAAAAAAAAATTTATTTTATCAGAAATTTACACCCCCTCAAGAATTTCTTCTTCTTACCATTCACTTCTTCATCTTCATCTTCATCTTCAGAAACTCTTTAATCTTATTTTTCAAAAAAAAAAAAAGACTTCCTTTCTCTTTTATTCATTCTTTAATATATAAATATATATATATAAAAAGAAATTGTCCTCTTTTTTTATTTCTTCTTTTATCCTATTGTTGTTTATTAAAGAGAATATATATACCTTAATCCTTAATCCTTAATCCTTAATCCAATCTTTTATATATTAAGTTAAACACTCACTCACTACACTATATTTTTTTGCTGCCAGCCTAAAACTACCCAACCCAACCCAACCCAACCCAGCCAGCCCCTCTACCCACCACCACGCGCCAGCCTCCCAATTAAGCAATAAACTCTAACCTTTCTAGAGAATCCCAAATCATCCAATCTTGAAACTCAAAACCTCTCAAGTTTTTTTCTTTTTTTTTCTTCTTCTTCTTCTTCTTTTTTTTTTTTTAAATTCTTCCATTTTTTTTTAAAAAAAAACCTTTCTCCTCTTTTTTTTTTTATTATTCTTTTATATATATATATTTTTTTTTTAAAAGAATATATATTCAAATATCTATAATAATCAAAAAAAAAAACTCACTCATCTATCATCTATCATCTATTATCTTTTTTTTTTTTTTTTTTTTTTTTTTTTTTGCCTGTTATCTATAATAATAAATAACCTAGCATTAATACCACATTTCTACCCACCCCTCTTTTACTTATTTCTTTCTTTCTTTCTTTTTTTCTTTCTTTCTTTCTTTCTTTCTTCTATCAACCCTCTCGCATTACCACTACCTCAACTAATCATCAATGGGCCGTGACGTTCAAAATCACCTCCTCTTTGAAGTTGCCACAGAAGTGGCCAACCGTGTTGGCGGTATCTACTCCGTCATCAAATCAAAGGCTCCCGTTACTACAAAGGAATACAGAGACCGCTACTGCCTCATTGGCCCTCTCAATAGAAAATCCGCCTCCATCGAGGTAGAGGAGTTGACTCCTTCTAACCCTCACATTGCTTCTGCCCTCAAGGCCATGTCTGACCGTGGTATCCGTTACCTCTATGGCAGATGGCTCATTGACGGTGCCCCCCGTGTCCTCCTCTTTGACATTGGCTCCGCTTCTCACCACCTCACTGAGTGGAAATCTGACCTTTGGTCCGTCGCTGGTATCCCATCCCCAGAAGGTGATACTGAAGCAAACGATGCTATCCTCCTCGGCTACATTGTTGCTTGGTTCCTTGGCGAATATGTCGCTCATGATAAGGACCACGCAGTCATTGCCCACTTCCACGAATGGCTCGCCGGTGTCGCTCTTCCTCTCTGCAGAAAGCGCCGTATTGACGTGACCACCATCTTCACTACTCACGCCACTCTTCTCGGAAGATACCTCTGTGCCGGCTCCGTCGACTTTTACAATAATCTTCAATGGTTTGATGTTGATGCAGAAGCTGGAAAGAGAGGTATTTACCACAGATACTGCATGGAACGTAGCGCTGCCCACTCTGCTGATGTCTTCACCACTGTTTCCCACATCACTGCTTATGAGGCTGAACACTTGCTCAAGCGTAAGCCCGACGGTGTCCTACCCAATGGCCTCAACGTTGTCAAGTTCTCCGCAGTTCACGAGTTTCAAAACCTCCACGCTATCAAGAAGGAAAAAATCAATGAGTTTGTTCGCGGCCATTTTTACGGCCACTACGACTTTGATCTCGACAATACCCTCTATTTCTTCATTGCTGGCCGCTATGAATATAGAAATAAAGGTGCTGACATGTTTATCGAAGCTCTTGCTCGTCTCAATCACAAGCTTAAAACTGCCCACTCAAACAAAACTGTCGTCGCTTTCATCATTATGCCTGCTGCTACCCACAGTTACACTAATGAAACCTTGAAGGGTCAGGCTGTTATCAAGGCCCTCTCAGACTCAGTCAAGGAAATTCAGCAAAGCATTGGTAAGCGTCTCTTTGACTTTTGTGCAAGACAAAATGAGTCCCACGAGCTCCCCAACCTTGAGCAGCTCCTCACCTCCTCCGATAAGGTCCTTTTGAAGAGACGTGTCAATGCTCTTAAGCGCAACTCCTTGCCCCCCATTGTCACCCACAATATGGCTGATGATGCTACTGACCCCATTTTGAATCAAATCCGTCGTGTCCAGCTCTTTAACCATCCCTCGGACCGTGTCAAGATTGTCTTCCACCCTGAATTTCTCAATTCAAATAACCCCATCTTGCCCCTCGACTATGATGACTTTGTCCGCGGTTGCCATATGGGTGTTTTCCCATCCTACTACGAACCTTGGGGTTACACTCCTGCAGAGTGCACTGTCATGGGTGTTCCTTCCATCACCACCAACCTTTCAGGCTTTGGCTGCTACATGGAGGACCTCATTGAAAATTCTAGCGACTATGGTATCTACATTGTAGATCGTAGAAGCAAGGGTGTTGATGACTCCATCAACCAGCTCACTGACTACATGTTTGACTTTACCGCCAAGTCTCGCCGTCAACGTATCAACCAACGTAACAGAACAGAGAGACTTTCAGATTTGCTTGACTGGAAGAGAATGGGTCTTGAATATATCAAGGCTCGCCAATTGGCCCTCAGACGTGCTTATCCTTCCAGCTTTGACAATGAAGACCAGAACCCCTTCTTTGACAATTCTTCTCACAAGATTACTCGTCCTCTCTCTGCTCCTGGTTCTCCCAGAGATCGTGCTGGCCTGATGACTCCTGGTGATTTGGGTACTCTTGGTGAAGTTTCCGAGGGTCTCAATACTGATGACTATGTCGACTTTAGACTTCCTGAAGATGAGGAAGATGACAGTGACGCTTATTCATTCCCCTTGTCTTTAAGAAAGGGTTCTGTTCAAGGCCATTCTGTTTCTGGTGGTCAAAAATAAGATGAAGAATAAAAAAAAAAAAAAAATTATGAAGATATAATTTTAAAGGAAACGACATTGATTGCATTTGGAATATCCTTTAAACCTTGAAAAAAAATATATTCTTAGAGTCTTTTTATCCAATCCTGGGACTTTTAAATTTTTTTTTTTTGCCTACTTTCTCATATACACACTTTCACCTCCATCAACCTTCAATATTTTTTTTATATATCGCAGTTGAACCGCCTCGACTCTACAAACCCTTCAATCAGATTTGCTTAATGTGCAATGTGCAAACAAAAGTGCCTTTATGACGACTGATGATTTTTATAATATCCTCACCTTTTTTTAGTAATTTTTTTTTTAATAATTCTCTATTTTATTTTGTTTAAATAAATTTGTTTATTTGGTTTATTCTTTAAATAACTTGTTAGTATGTCCGAGCAACACGTTCTTCGCGCCATCGTTCCAAAATCTCTCTGCGCATATGATAAGTCTTGCGTTCTTTTCTATAGTTTTTGATAAACTCTACCACATCATCACCATTATTATTAGTCTCTTCATTCCCACCGTTCCCAGATTCTCCATCTGCAGAAGTAGCCGACCCTCCTTGAGCTGAATTAGACCCCCCTGGCTGTGAATGTAAAAACGAGTCTGCCAACGATTCGGAGACCTGCTCCGCCTCGGTTACAGCACGAGCCATACGTGCATGCAGTGACTCCATGGTATATGGTTGCAATGCCTTGTACATGTCTGCCTCAACAGCAAGCCAGTCACGCTCGACAGCCTGTGCCGAGGCCAATGTACGGGCTGCCAAATCGCGGCGTGGTGGGAGAACAGTACGAATTTTTGTAGCAAGGTTACGAGCCATTGTAGCGTTTGAATGGGCGGCTGTTGTTTGCTGGGATATTAAAGCATCAAGGGATCCAAAACCAGGGCGGGTAGGAGGAGTTGCAGGATTAGAAGGAGAAGGAGATGCAGAAGAGGAAGTAGGAGAAGGAGATGTGGGTTCGGATAAAGAAGTGGAGGAAATTGTGGCAGTAGCAGCAGCAGCAGATAAAGGAATAGAAATGGGGGATGGAGAATAAGCTATAGAATCTGCTAGGCCACGGAGAGCTAGTGGGTTGTTTTTAAGGGATTCCAATGTTGCAACTCTAAAATCCGTAGGTTAGTTATGACGGAGGACTTATAGTAAAAACGAAAAATATATATATATATATATATATGCATACGGTCTAGAAGTTAGGTCTTCTGGAAGATCCTGTGGTAAAACAAGTGGAGCTCGCGATACTGGGATTGTAAATGAGCCATCAGTTTTCGTGCCAGGTGTGACTATAGTTGTAGTTGGACCAACCACCACTGTTCCATTATTGTTACCAGGTGTAGATCCTAATCCAACTATATGTGCATGAGCCTGAGAATCTGGGGTCTGTGGATGTGGAGGTAAAGGTGGAGGGGTTTGTGAAGTTAAAGTTGGGTCTCCCATTGCAACAACTTGTTGTGAGGGGAGTGGTGGAAGAGCTTTTGTTTCTGGGTTTGAGAAAGATGGATCCAGAGAAGGAGGTTGAATATGTGGTGATGAATTTGACATTATAATATATGTGTGTGTTAAATGGGAATTTTTCTATTGTTTCTATTAAATCTATTTATTGTATCTGGGAATATTAGAATAGGGCCATCAGACCTTACTTGGCGATAAGTCTTTTGGAGGTTTGATGAGGAGGATTGTATCAATCAATTTGGGAAAACCTAACCCTAAAAATGTCACATGACATTGTTATGAGGCTGGTGGTGGTGGTGGTGGTGGTGGTGGCCCCAAAATCTTTTGATTTAAAAAAAAAAAAAAAATCACCACCACCACCACCACCCCCCAGCCTCTTCCCCCCCCTCCCCCTCCCCCCCCTTGAAAAAACGACAAGTGTTTTTTGATTTCTCACAACAACAACAACACACTTTAATAAAAAAAAATAAATAAATTTTTGCGCCACAAATAATTCAGCAATCAGAAGAAATTTTTTCTTTTTTTTTTTTTTTGTTTATATTCTTTTTTTTAATATTCTAAGTCTTTAGATTCATTAGAAGAAGAAAAAGAATAATTTTTTTTATTTTTTTTTTAAAATAAAAAGAGAGAGAGAAAGAAATTAAAAGACTTCATATTGACATTTCTATTCTGAGAAATTTTTTTTTTTTTTTTTTTTTTTTTTGAAGTCAAATCGGACTTTATATATCCAGCTTTTAAACATCCATCTTATTTTTATTTTAATTTTTACAGAGCTCACTTTGATTATCATTTAAAATCATAGATTTATATATATATATATATATATATATCTTTTTTTTTCTTTCCCCAGGGCATTATCTTTTTGATACCAGCAGTGGCTACCAATTCTTAATTTCCCTGAATAACTTACAAAAGGCCACACACACATACAAAAACCAAACAAACACTTCATTGCTTAGATATTAAGGGGGTAAAGACTTGACTTTGCTAAAACAAAACAAAACAAAACATAACAAACAAACAAACCAAAACCCACTGTCAATATCTTATATATATTCAACAATGGTGGCCTCTTCAACCTCTTCTTCAGCTGTTGCTGACAAGTTATCGACTACTCTACTTTCTATTCCTTTAAAGTACACATACCTTGCTAAACCCACCTCCAACCCAGATAAAAACCAAACCGTCTACTACGAGACTGCAACCACTAGCACTAATAGCACCATCTGGAGACCCGTGGATACCAAGGATACCTCGGACGAATTCAAGCAGACTTTGAATGCAACAACTTTTACGGATAACCTTCCCTCTCTTCGCACTGTCACCTCTGCAATTTCCACCGAGGGTCAAATCAAAGCCCGCCTTGTGGAAGACCGTATCTTGGAAAACACCCTAACCCTCAACCTTGCAGGCCCAAGCAACTTGGTTTCTGCTGAACGTGCCCGAGTTTTGCGTTCCTATTACCAAGTCGAGCGCCGCCATATCGGCCTTGACGCCCAAGATATTCTAAATGCCTCTTCAACAGATAATGATGATGAATCTATCTCAACTTCTGACGAAAATAACGAAGATGCAACCACAAATGATGGTAACAGCAGTGGAAGCAACCTTACACAAAAAAAACCAGTTAGGAAAAGTGCAGCAGCTGCTGCTAAAAAAATTAGCAAAACAGGTGACCCCACAGTGGCCGCAGAACGTACAGCTGCATCATCAACTTGTTTTGCTCAGGCTTCTAAAAAATTCAAACCCAAGTTCCTTAACTACTTGGATGAAATTGCAGATTATTGCGGAGTCTCTATCTTCGTGACAGATTTTATTGACAAGATTCCTTATGGCATTGGATACCACACCGAGCTTAACTCGGAGTCAGCAACCAAGCCCTACCATATTCTTATTTACGGTGACCAGGATAGCGCCAGATTCGCACAATTTAAGGTAAAGATCATTCTTGAAGAACTCCGAGGCAAATTCATTGATTCTATTCCCCTTGAGCTCTCACTTCAGCCATTGGTTGCTGGCCCCCACTTGACCAACTTTAAATACATTGAACTCCTCACTAAAACTAAAATTGTTGTTCCGGAATGGCTACCTGAACTTTTCGCCACGCTGGCTCCAAACCCTAATGCTCGCAACCTGAATGAAATCTACATTACCGGTGAAGAATTCCACGTCCTTCTTGCAAAAATTATGCTCAATGATATAATCTCTCGCACTCAGCCTTTGGTCAAAGACTGTGTCATTTCCTTTGCTAAAATAGATTTACTGAGCTTACGATTCCAAGATAATTTGAGAAAAATTATGACCACCCACGGTACTTTTATCCAAATACCTTATCTTGGCGCAGCCCGTGCCGTTATCCGCGTGCAAAGCACTTCGGCCCCCATTTGTGCACTAACAATTAACGAGCTCATGAGCCTCACAACCCTTCTTTATAATGCAACTTATTGGGTCCACACAGGAGAATCGGATGCCCAAGGAAGATTGCTCCAACCAAATATCCCAATTGATTTTGATATCTTGGACAGAATTTCCGCAGGCAGTGGTGCAACCGTTGTTTGCAAAAATACTTCATTTGATATTATTGGCTTTAAAAGTGATACTAAACGTGCTGTAGCCATGATTAAGAGTTTACCAATATGGGGGGTATGTTTATTTTTATTTTATTTTTTTCACAACTAATTTTAATTTTTTTTTTTTTTTTTTTTAGAACACCAAAGAACAAGTTAGATACCGTGTCGAACTTTCTAATGAACAACGGGAATTTATTTCAGGTAAAAAGAATGGTAAAATCATTCGCATAATGAATACTTCACGTGTTTGGATCAAGCTTTTACCCTTTAACGAATATAACTTTTACGTTGACATTTACTCTGAGCACTCCCCTGAAGCTACTAATGGCTTGAAGCTTTTGGAAGAAGAACTACCTGCCGAGCTCGCCTTTTACATTCCAGAAACTTACCACAAGAAGGTTATTGGTGCTGGTGGTTCTACTGTCCAAGGTATTATGAGAAAATACAATGTATTTATTAAGTTTTCCAGCGGCTACGACGTCAATCCTAATGGTTACACTCGATTGAAATCCTCAAATGTTTTGATTCGTTGTCCCACTAAAAACTCAAAGGAAATGGAGCCTGCCAAAAATGAGCTTTTGGAAACAGTATTTGATCGCAGTCAAGAACATGGTACCACTTTTGTCAAGCTTTCTCGCTCATACATGCGTATTCTTCTTTCCCATCATACCGATTTCATTTCTGAAATTGAAGGCAAGTCTAATACAATTATTAAAATGCCCACCGAGGAACATTATGAGGATTTGGAACAACGGCTTGAGATTCGTGGTCTTATGGGTACCTCTGATGCAGCTGCTCGCTTGCTTAAAACCAAACTTCCCGAGGACTACGAGTTTAAGGTTGCTTACTCCTCAAAGTTTCATGAACTTGTCAATGAAGACCAAGGAGAGTTTTACCAAAAGGTTGTTGTACCTTTCCGTATTGCTCTCAAGATTGAGACCCTTGTTAATGAAAAACCTGAATACACTTCTGAAGAAGCTCCTTATCATCAGATCTTGTTGAGTTTTGCTCAAGAAAACTCGGTGGGCTTGGAAGATGCCATCCAAGTTCTCACAGCCTACCTCCGTGACAAGGGACTCGATATTATTGACCGTGGTGAATATCATGTTGATCCTATTATCCCTGGTGTTGCTGGTATCCCGGTTCCGCCCAGTACCATGAAGCGTCGCATGAGAGGTGGGTCTATGAACCACCACCACCACCACCACAATACTCATCATCACAAGGGTGGCTATGACTCTCGCGATAATAACATGGGTGGTGGTTACCACAGAGACCGTTTCCGTGGGCATCCTGGCCGTGGACCCCCTGGTCGTTTCAGAGGACGCAGTGATGGCGGCAATGGTGGATATGAACGTCACCATAAGGGTATTGACAATGGCCACCACGGCCGTGACTCGGGAGCCATGTCTTACCGCCACGAAGATATTCGCAACTCTTCGCATCCATACCGCAAGAGCCCAATGTCTACACCTCCTTCGCAACGCAGACCATCATCAAACGGACCCTACCAGAGATATGGATCAAGCGGACCCCCAAGTGATAACAGTTCTCCTGTACCTCCTCCTCTCGACCCTCCTCCAATGGGTGGTGAGGTTGTTAGCCATGGAGGGCCTCCAAGTGGTTATTACGAAGACCACCCTCGCCAAAGATCTTATAGCTCTCAGGGCTATAGATCACCTCCTTCTCACTACCCCCCCTCCTCCTCCTCCCCCCCAACAGCAGCCGCAGCAACAACAGCACAATGGTCACCACCATCAAATGTCGCAGCCTCCATCGCAGCCTTCCCATACATACTCGTCACCTCCTATTCACCACCAGCAAGGCCCTCCTCTTCCTCCTCAGGGCCCGCAAATTCAGTCTTCCTATGACCACCGCTCAGGTGGATACCCACAACAGCAACAGCAGCCGCAGCAATCCTCACGCTACTACTCTAACCAGTCCATGGGACAGCAGCACCATCCTTCTCACCAAGGACGTGGCGGTAGTGCTGGTGGAAGCCGCGGTGGATATTATATGGGAAACGACAATGGAATTAATGTTGGACCTTCAAACGGTGGTTACCAAGATATGAATGGCCCCATTGGCAACGGCCGTGGCCGGTACCAGCAACAGCAGGGCATGCACCGTGGTGGGCCTCCTCCCCCACCCCCTCCTCCTCCGTCTATGCAAGAGGAACATCACTGGGGTGGTAACAAGATGGGAGGCATCAATGGGCCGGCTACTGACAGATATGGGCGTCAGCTTGACCCACTTCCTCCACCACCACCACCACCCTCTGGGCCATCTAATAACGGTTATGATTATGATCAGCGTGGGTCTCGTGGACGGTATGGTTATTAATTTGGAGAGAAGTATATAACTTTGGAAAGAAATTGGTAGGATGTGAAGAAGGAATTTAAAATCCATTAAATGAACACAGTGCGCTTTTGTAAAAAAAAAAAAAAAAAAAAAAATTTTTTTCTTAAAAGAAAATGATTTAACATGTAAAAAAAATAAACTCGAACAAATATATCCAGTTAAAATAAACATGAAAAAAAAAAACAAAAACCATTATGGAAAAAGTTAAGTTTAACACTTAAAAGGATAAGTTTGAAATCATTAATGAGATAAGTCGTTAAGAGAAATTAGGGTTTAGAGAATGAGTTAGTAGACGATAATGGATTTAAACAAATAAGCATAAATTTTAAACGGTTTTTTTTTTTTTTTTTTTTTAGAATACCTGTAATAAGCATTAAAAAGATTTATTTTTAAAAAAAAAATAATCAAAGGTCATCAAAAGCTTAGAAATAAATTCTACACAACTAAACAATCGTAATACTATATAATTGATGGAAATAAAAATTATTTCATAAGAAATTTCTTTTAATATTGTTAATTATTTCAAAAAAAAAAAAAAAAATCATTTTAAATCTGCTTAAATCTGCTTAAATCTGCTTAAATCTGCTTAAATCTGCTTAATTCATATCAAATCAAATCAAATAAAAAGAAAAATCAAATACCTACATGCAAACATTATCTTTCAATACTTCTGATCTGATCAGTACAAAAGAAATTCATAATGAAGTATCAGTTTTAGGGATCCCTTTAAATGATGTTAAACAACTTTGCAAGAGTATTGTATCAGATTCAGTAAAACTAATTTCTTATTCCAACTTTTATAGTTCATTTAAAGAATGTTCAACACTTTATGCACAATCACAACTCAAAGTTAAATTTTTAATGGAAAAACTTTCTAAAAATATAAAAGAAAGAGAAAAATTATTTTATTACCTTGGATTATTTCTTAAAATTGAATTTATTGCTGATGTTACAAAATATATTAATAATAATGGTGAATCATTATCAGAGGAAGATAAATATTTTGAAATTTTAATAAGTTTACTAACTTCACCTGAAAGCAGGGAAGTATTAGTAAATTCTATGATAAAAGATATTATCAAAATTATTTCACATCATTATAATTCATTAAATGAACTTGGTGTTTTTCATTCATCATCATCATCACCACCACCCCAAAATGAACAATCCAATAATATTTCTAATTCTCAAAATTCAAAATGTTTAGAAATTGTAACCCCCCCGGGAAAAAAAAAAATTAGGAAAATAATCCCATATAATGAATGTATATTTTGTGGTGATAAAAATCACAAAAGACCTGATTGTTTATTACTTGAAAAATACCTTAAATCTGGACATTTAATTAAAAATGGTGCAAAATTAATAACAGCAAGAGGATATGTTCCAAAATATAAAGGTCCTGGAAATGGAGGAGGTGGTGGTAGTAGTAGTATTTTAGAAAATTTATGTGAACAAGAACCTGCATTTTTTAAAAATTCAAATGTATTATTATTGTTAGATACATGTTGCACAAATTATGAACAAGATTCTATTGAAGAAATAAAAAGATTATATTTTAATTTGAAAATTAAAATTCAAGAAGATATTTCCAAATACAAAAAAAAAAAAAAAAGAAAAAAAATTATTAAGAAATGAAGTAAATGATTGTTAAATTTTTTAGGAAATGGGTAATTTTTAGTACAAGTTCTATAGTTGACATAAAAAAAAATGTCCAATTCAAAATGGGTTATAATAGAGCTCTAATTCATATATTGAAATCTTGGAATCTTGGAACCTTGGAACCTTGAAAACTGGGGGGAGAAAAAGTTAATCAATAATATATATATATATATATATATATATATATATATAATGATTATTATCATGATAAAGCAATCAACTGAAAACCGCCTTCCATGGCATTTTAAAACAACAAAAAAATTTGATTTATTTAACTTGAAGTTCCAGTTATTATAATAACCCTAGCCCTTTAGGAATCTATACTAAAATTAAAAAATAAACAATTTTTTTTTAAACCCCCTTACCAACCAACCATTCGACAAAAATTCGACTTAATTCAAAATAATCACAACTCAAAAGACTTTAAACAAATAAAAAAAAACGCTTCAAATTTTAAAATTAAAAATTAATTGAATATTTACAAATTTTAGTCTATATTTAGTCGACCTCCTCGACAGTGGGGCCGCTACCCTCACCAGCGCTAGGACCAGCGCTAGGACCAGCACCGGGGAAGCCACCGGGAACACCGCCGGGAGCACCACCCTCACCCTGGTAGAAGGTAGTCATGATGGGGTTAGCAACACCCTCAAGCTCCTTCTGCTTGTCAGTGAACTCCTCAGTAGTGGCAGTGTGGTTGCTGTCAAGCCACTCAATAGTCTCAGTGATCTGCTTCTCAAGCTTCTCACGGTCGCTCTCAGAAACCTTCTCCTTGAACTTCTCCTCAGAGACTGTGTTCTTAAGAGAGTAAGCATAAGACTCAAGACCGTTCTTGGCAGCAATACGACCAGCCTCCTTCTCGTCTTCATCCTTGTACTTCTCAGCCTCGGAAACCATGCGCTCAATGTCTTCCTTAGAAAGACGGCCCTTGTCGTTGGTGATGGTAATCTTGCTGCTCTTACCAGTACCCTTCTCGACGGCAGAGACGTTCAGGATACCATTGGCATCAATGTCGAAGGTAACCTCAATCTGAGGAACACCACGAGGAGCAGGAGGAATGCCAGAAAGCTCGAACTTACCGAGAAGGTTGTTGTCCTTGGTCTGAGCACGCTCACCCTCGTACACCTGGATAAGAACACCAGGCTGGTTGTCAGCGTAGGTAGAGAAGGTCTCAGACTTCTTGGTAGGAATGGTAGAGTTACGGGGAATGAGCTTGGTCATGACACCGCCAGCAGTCTCAATACCAAGGGAAAGAGGAGCAACATCGAGAAGCAACAGATCCTGGGTCTTGGAAGAAGAAGTATCACCAGAAAGGATGGCAGCCTGGACAGCAGCACCGTAGGCAACAGCCTCATCAGGGTTGATAGCCTTGGAAGGCTCCTTGCCGTTGAAGAAGTCAGAAACAAGCTTCTGGACCTTGGGAATACGGGTAGAACCACCAACAAGGACAATGTCATGGACCTGAGACTTGTCAATCTTGGCATCACGGAGAACCTTCTCGACGGGCTCAAGGGTAGATCTGAAAAGATCACCACAAAGCTCCTCGAATCTGGCACGGGTGATGGAAGTGTAGAAATCGATACCCTCGTAGAGAGAGTCAATCTCGATAGAGGTCTGAGCAGAAGAAGAAAGAGTGCGCTTAGCACGCTCACAGGCAGTTCTCAGACGTCTAAGAGCACGCTGGTTAGAAGAAAGATCCTTCTTGTTCTTGCGCTTGAACTCAGCAATGAAGTGGTTGACCAATCTGTTGTCGAAATCCTCACCACCCAAGTGAGTGTCACCAGCAGTAGCATTGACTTCGAAAATGCCATCCTCAATGGTCAAGAGGGAGACATCGAAAGTACCACCACCAAGATCGAAAATAAGAACCTTGCGCTCCTCCTTGGCGCCCTTGTCGAGACCATAGGCAATGGCAGCGGCGGTAGGCTCGTTAATGATACGGAGAACGTTAAGACCAGCAATCAAACCAGCATCCTTGGTGGCTTGTCTTTGAGAGTCGTTGAAGTAAGCGGGGACAGTAATGACGGCATCAGAAACCTTTGTGCCAAGGAAACTCTCAGCAGTCTCCTTCATCTTGGTGAGGACCATAGAAGAGATTTCCTCAGGCTGGAAAACCTTAGTCTCACCCTTGAATTGAACCTCAATGGCGGGCTTGCCATTCTTGTCGATAACCTTAAAGGGGAAGTGCTTGATATCAGTCTGAACCTCATTGTCAGTGAACTTGCGACCAATTAATCGCTTAGCGTCAAAGACTGTGTTTTCAGGGTTCATAGCAGCCTGGTTCTTGGCGGCATCACCAATCAGGCGCTCAGTGTCGGTGAAAGCGACAAACGATGGGGTAGTACGGTTACCTTGGTCGTTGGCGATAATTTCGACACGGTCGTTAGCGAAGTGGGCCACACAGGAGTATGTGGTACCAAGATCAATACCAATAGCTTTGCTCATTGTTTATGTGTATGTGATTGAATATGTGTTTTGGGTAGGATTTTTGTTTAAAGGAAAAAAAATCTTAATGAAAAAAAAAAAAAAAAAAGAAGAAAGAAAGAAAGAAAGAAAGAAAAAAAAAAAAGGAATTGAATCAGGAATTTTTGGTCTTTTTATATGCTGGTGGCGGACAGTTTTTGGTTTTAAAGGAATTTTGTCGAGAACATTCGACACTTACTGAAAAATTGCTAGATCTTTCCAGGAATCAACAAAGTCATGTGATTTATAACCATTTTTTTAAGTTCTCGAAGATTCTACTGCGTTGCTTTTTTTTTTTTTTTTTTTTTTTTTTTTTCACATTCCATCTAAAAACGAGGTTTTAAACATCAAGTTAAAAAAATAAAAAAAATAAAAAAAATATAAATGATGCCATAATTTCCTTTAAAGAATCTTTTAGAATTTCAATATTTAATAATAATAATAATAAAAAACCTTCTTAATAGAAATGCAATTTTTTTTTTTTTTTTGCTTAAAATTGTTGGCATTTGTTGTTTTTTTTTTTTTTTTTTTTTTTTTTTAAAAGATTTGATGGAATTTAACCGTAAAAGCTACAACTGAAAAAAACTTATATAATGATTAGATAACTATTACTTAAATTTTGTTTAAGGAACGTGAATTCAGTAACTATCCCTAATTAGGGATAATAGGTTATAGGTTATAACCTATTTTACCATCTTTTTATATAATTAAATCCTTTGATGAATTTCTATCATTTTATGTATTTATTAATGATAGTCCTTAACATATATATATGGTTTTCATTTTCAAAATAGTACACATTGAAATTTATCCTTTGTAAAGCAATTTTATTTTAAAAGTCAAAAATTTTATAAGGGTAAGGGTTAGATTTTTTTTTCTGTTAGTGAATCAATTTCAAAATTTATTTGAAACGAGTAATGAAAAACATCATTCAAAATTCATCAATATGTAAGGGTTAGGTCTTTCTTTCTTTTTTAACTACTTGCAGTTTATACATCTGAATGAAGGTAAAACAATCTTTTTTTTATTTTATTCTTTGCATTCTGGATATCACTTATGACTGAAAACTACATTTGGTTTATTTACTCTTTTTTTTTCTTTTTATTCACTGCACCCAGAGCTTCCACCTCGTGTTGATCCTCCATCGTAACGGCGAGGATTGTATTTTCTACTAATCTTAGCAGGGTATTTTACTGGTGTTGTAATTGTTGTTCTGCTAGATGAACCATTCCATGTTCCATATTTTTTCTTGCATGAGCTCCCACTACTTTCAGGACGTCGACACATTCCTGCACTTCCGCATCGTGATTTGCTTTCTTTATTTTTTTGTGATTTCTTTTTGTGGGGGGTTCTTCTCTTTTTTTCTTCTTCAAAATTGCTGCTGCTTGAACTATTCCACACATCATCATCATCATCTCCTTCGTCATCTTCGTCATCTTCGTCTGAAGATGTTGATGAGAAAAACTCTTCATTTTCATCTTCATCATAATCTTCGTCATCCATTTCATCATCACAGAAATCCTCATCATCATCTTCAGTATCTGTGAATTTCACAGATGGATTAAAGTATGAACGCACACCCTCCTTACTCCCTGATTTCTTCTTTTTCTTATTGTTTTGGCCTTTTTTAATTTTTCCAGAATTTTTCCCTTCTACTCTTCTCGCCGACTTTGAAGAGTTACTTCTATTAGGCGATCGAGTCCGTTGACGACTGTTTCTTGAAACTGATCGCATAGGTGCTACATATTTGGCCCTTCTTTTATCGCTACCACTACCTCTGCTTCCCCTACTGCTGCAGCTGCTGCTACCACTTGAAGATCCATATCTATGACCATTGCCAATATGATTGTGAATTGTCTGTGGTGCCATTTGTTTCAGCACAATGCTATTGGAAATCTCATTTGCCAAATGCCGCACAAAGTTTGGACCAAGCTTTGGTGGGGCAGAATAAGATTCTGGAATAATTTCTGGTTCATCTCTAATTCTAACACTTGGAGTTGGCCGAGCTTCTTTAATGGGCGCAGTGGAAGCTGATGCTGGTGCAACTATAGATGCTCGTGGTAATGTAGATCCTGAAGCAGATGCTGGTGTAGAAACGGAAACTGCAATTGATCCTTGTTGAGGCATGACTGCTTGCACTTGCGTCTGTACCTGCGTTTGTGGTTGCAGTTGAGATGGCATTATTCCTGTAGTTTGTGTAGGAACTGAATAATAGGATTGAGGCTCAGAAATTTCTGGATCCATTGAAGCTGGTGTTGTAGTAGGAAAGGTTTCTTGCAAACCTGTAGGTTGAAAAAGGCTATGGTTGTACGGCTGAACATGATAATGATCTGTATACTGTGAATTATCATGAATATGCTGTTGAGTAAAATTCTGTTGCATTTTATTTTGAATATTATTTTGATAATGAGATGGTTGAACAGAAGCCTGTCCTACCAGCTTCTCATTATGTGTATTATTTTGGTCAGTGAGTTGATTAGATGATTGAATTGGTATTTGAACATTGTGGCTAGACCCAACCCCTGAAAATTGAACTTGGGTTTGGATCTGAGTTTGTCCTTGCAAAGGGTATTGCACTTGAGTTTGTGTTTGTGTTTGTGTTTGATATTGAGTTGGCACAAGAACTTGAGGAAGGGATTGTGACGGTGGTGGTTGTGGTGCTTGGAACGGCGGTTGGGTAAGTTGTGTTTGTGCAGGAGCTGCAACAGGCATGACCTGTGTATTAGGTATAGGCTCTGTAACCGGAGCTTGTGGTATCATAGCCTGAAAATAAGGTGTGGCTGTTGCTGCTGCTTGTACAAACCGTGGTATATGAAAAGAAGAAGCATGATCGTGTTCAATCGGAACAGCAGCCATTTGGTCATTATTAGAGGGCGTAATAGGTTCTTGGGCAGCCTTGTCTGCACGCATTTTTTGAGCAGCTTCTGCTAAAGTGGTAGTGTGCGTGAGAGCAGGTGGTGGTATCGGTGCCTGTGGTAATTCAGCTTGAGAATACCCATAATTGTATTCAGATGGAGGCGGCTGCATTGGATAAAATAACTGAGACTGTGGGTATGATGAATGCATATGGTCATGGTCATGGTCATGGTCATAATGATGATGATGATGATGGAGTGTATCGGTTATTCTTAAATCAGATGCAGACATTACTTCGGCAGATGTTTCTGGTATAGATTCAGCCTCTGATGTAACCATTGAAGTTGCTGATGTTGCGACAGAGGTATCTTTTGATGACGCTGAAGTTACAGCAGAACAATCACTTAAATCTGGAGTATCGCTAGATTTTTTAATAATTTTCTTAACAACATCAGCCTCATAAGATGTATTAATTACTGGAACTGGTAAATCAGAGTGGATAGGTTTGCATTGAGGGCAATCTATTCCCGAACAAACCTCAATGTTAATTGTAATTGTAGGCCTCTGCTGTTTTCCCAATGGTCTTTCTTCAAATGTGACGTTGTGGCTTCCCTGATCAACTTGGTAATTGTAAAACCCAGCTCCCCCTAGGTATCTTTGAAGTTGACTTCTATCACCAATAATTTGTTCAAGTGGATTTTGGAAAAGGTTTCCATTCAAAATACTTCCATTTTTGCTCTGTGATTTTTTGCATTTGCTGCCAAATTTCCCCTTAAAACTCCCAGTAAGCTTGTGAAAAAAACAACAAGATTTGTTGGATCCTTTATGTAAAGGACACTTTCCTCCACTCATAAATCCACCTTTCAATCCTTGAGAAATACAACATTTTTTGTTTTGAGAGCCTTTGTGTAAAGGACACTTTTTCTTTATGCTTCCCTTCATGCTAACATTCACACCACCCTTCATACTTCCCTTCATTTTATGGAGCATACAGCACGACTTGTCAGACTTTTTGTGTAATGGACATCTTTTTCCAGGTTTTTTAGGTAATAAAATGCAACACTTTTTTTTGGTTGATTGCCCCTTGTGCAAAGGACACTTTTTTTTTAAACCTCCCTTTAACTTGTGTGTCAAACAACATGACTTGCTTTGCTTTTTATGCATCGGGCATTTTCCTTTGATTCCACCTTTCACTTTGTGTACAAAGCAACATTTTTTCTTGTTACTCCCACTTTTGTGTAATGGACATTTGTTTTTTTTCATTCCACCTTTAAACTTCTTCACTAAACAAGACTTCAACTGGCCCGATTGCTGACCTGATTGTTGCCCTGATTGTCTTGAGCAAGAGCTGGTAGCACTGGACATGCTTGCAGCACTAGTCATGCTGGGTGTACTTACTGCACTTGTAACACTAGACGCACTTCCTGTAGTAATTGCGCTCATTATACTTCCAGCACTTGTTGCTCTGCTGCTACTTTGACTGTTAATTTGACTGTTTGGGCAACTTCCTCCTTGACTATCCAGACCATCAAGTGGGATTGGTATCATTTTCATAGCCTTTTGTTTCCCCCAGCTTAATAAAATGGTGACAAAAGCACTAGCCAATGCTTGAGGTAATTCAACTTTTTTCAAATCTAAATCTAGCTCAAAATTCATTGGCTGTGTACTGATTGGCTTGCACTTGCCAATAATCTCTCTTCTGGGGCATTTTCGTTTTTTGGGTTGGGTCGGTGCCACAACAACATTTGGAGAAGGGTATATTGAACAAGCTGCATTTAAAATCCGTTCTAAGTGGTATTTTTTGGTTGACCATCGGTAAATTTGCTTTGCAGTGGCAGCCACATTGGGGTCCATTCCTTGATTTTCTTGGCTTCCACAGCAAAATGGTAACTTGAATTGTTTGTATTTTCCTTTAGCTTTAATTTGAACTTTGTTTACCACTTTTCTTATAATATCTTCCACTTCTATGCATGTTTTGAAGGGTGTCATGTTGACTGCAGCCACTTGATTCAGGGAGTTGGTATCCACGAGTACCCATTTTGTTACAAAATTGTTTGGTATTCCTCCATTGAGAATCTTTTCAAAGCGATACACAACTTCTCCACAAGAATTGGTAACATCAACAGTCTTATCAGGATTACTAGAGCTGCAGTTTGAAATGTTAAATTTTTGGGTTTTCTTGCAAAGAGGTATGAAACAGTCAGGGTTTTTGGATGAGCCATATTTTTGAGATTGGTTACAGAATGGTAGTGCAAATCCCATGTTTTTAATAAGATTTGTTTTCTTTTTATATATATATTTATTTATCAGCAGAGAAAAAAAAATTTTTTTTAAAATAATTAGCAATATTATTTGGTTAAACAAAACTTCTTTAAATTGGAGTTTATTGGTGTTAATGAAGAGAATATATAAAAAGAATTCACCACAAGATGGTAGAGTTGAAATTTGATATTCAAAAGTTTTGGCAATGATAAACTGAAAAATAATTGGATTATGTAATATATTACATGTTTTAGTGCGGCTTGAAAATTTTTTGTTCTTCTTTTGGGTCAGAAAAAAAAAGTTTTTCACGTCCTCCTTGGCCCTCTTTTTTTTTTTTTTTTTTTCTCTCTCCCTTTTCTTTTCAACTTCCAGATATAGTACAAAGTACTATTTTGACGAATACAAATTTCCATTTATTTTCTTGTTTTTTTTTTCTTTCAATAGAAAACCGAAGGGAAAAATAAGAAATATATACCATTACAATGTCTTCATTAGTTGTTGATTCTAATGCCCCCGAGCTTATTAGTGCCGTTTTGGACTATCTGGGCCGAAACGGCTACGACAACGCAGCCAAAGAGTTTGGTGGGAAAGCCAAACTTGTTTATAAGAAAAATTCGCACAAAGGTGCTTCCTTAGAAACTATCTTTTTTTCTTGGAAAAAGGATGAACCTAAGGATGATAGCTCTGTAACAGCTGGTGAGAGTTCTGTTGAGGGCAAAGAAAGCTCTGACTCTAGCTCTGATTCCTCTTCTTCTGATTCTTCTTCTGATTCCTCCTCAGAATCTAGCTCTGATGAAGATGGCGATGTTGAGATGAAGGACGCTGAGGAAGAGAAGAAGGAAGAGTCGAGTTCTGACAGTGACAGCTCTGATAGCTCCGATAGCTCCGATTCTGATAGCTCCGATTCTGATTCTGACAGCGATGATGAAGAAATGAAGGATGATGAAAAGGAAAAGGAAAAGGAAAAGGAAACTAAGAAGGAGGAATCCAGCTCTGACAGCGACAGCGACAGCGACAGCGACAGCGACAGCGACAGCGACAGCGACAGCGACAGCGACAGCGACAGCGACAGCGACAGCGACAGCGACAGTGATGATGAGGAAGAAAAGAAGGCTGAATCTAGTTCTGACAGCTCTAGTTCGGACAGTGATGATGATGAGAAGAAGGAAGAGAAGAAGAGCGAGTCTAGTTCTGACAACTCTAGCTCCGATAGCTCCAGCTCCGATTCTGATTCTGATTCTGACTCTGATTCCGATTCCGATAGTGACGATGAAAAAGAAGACAAAAAAGAATCTAGCTCTAGCGGCTCTAGCTCTAGTTCCAGCTCTAGTTCCAGCTCTGATAGCTCCAGCTCTGATAGCTCCAGCTCCGATAGCTCCAGCTCTAGCTCCAGCTCTAGCTCTGATTCTGACTCTGATTCTGACTCTTCCTCTTCATCTGATTCTGATTCTGATTCTGATTCTGATTCTGATTCTGATTCTGATTCTGATTCTGATTCTGATTCTGATAACGAAAGTGAAAAGAAAGAAAAGGAAAATAAAAAAGAAGATTCTGGCTCTGAAAGCTCTAGCTCTGAAGACGATAAAAAGCCAAAAGAGAATGAAGAGAAGAAGTCTGAATCGGGCTCCGATAGCGACAGCTCTGACAGCGACAGCTCTGACAGCGATAGCTCTGACAGCGATAGCTCTGACAGCGATAGCTCTGACAGTGATGATGAGGAGGAAAAGAAGGAAGAAAAGAAGGCTGAATCTAGCTCTGACAGCGACAGCTCTGATAGCGACAGCTCTGACAGCGACAGTGATGAGGAGGAGGAAAAGAAGGAAGAAAAGAAGGCTGAATCTAGTTCTGATAGCGACAGCTCTGATAGCGACAGCTCTGATAGCGACAGCTCTGATAGCGACAGCTCTGATAGCGACAGCTCTGATAGCGACAGCTCTGATAGCGACAGCTCTGATAGCGACAGCTCTGACAGCGATAGTGACAGTGATGATGAGGATGAAAAGAAGGAAGAAAAGAAGGCTGAATCTAGTTCTGATAGCGACAGCTCTGATAGCGACAGCTCAGACAGCGAAAGTGATGATGAGGATGAAAATGAAAAGAAGGTTGAATCTAGCTCTGAAAGCTCTAGTTCCGACAACGATAATAAAGAAAACAAGAAAGAAGAATCAAGCTCTAGTTCCGATAGCTCTGATAGTTCTGACAGTTCCGATAGCTCCGATAGCTCCGATAGCTCTGATAGCTCTGACGATTCTGACTCAGACTCGGGCTCTGATTCTGATTCTGACAGTTCGGATGACGAGAGCGAGGGCAAGAGCACAAGTAGTGAAGAATCATCTAAGGAGTCTGTCGAGGAACCTGTTTCCAAGAAGCGATCCAACGAGGAGGATTCTAGCTCTGCTGAGCCTGAGACCAAGAAGGCCAAGACCGAAGAGCACAACAACAATGAGCGCCGCTACTTTTCGCGCATTGACCGGAGCAAGGTTGCATTTGATAATGACATTTTGAAAGACAATACCTACAAGGGAGCCGCTGGTACATGGGGCGAGAAGGCCAACGACAAGCTTAGCAAGGTTCGTGGCAAGGATTTTACCAAAAACAAGAATAAGATGAAGAAGGGTAGCTACCGTGGTGGAACCATCACGATGGCATCAGGAAGCTTCAAGTTTACTGATTAAATTTAGTGGGGGAATGCTAATGATAAAATGTAGAAGTAGTAAGAAAGGTGTTTATTGATTTAATTCTAAAGAGCTCATTAATTTAAAGTAAAAAAAAAAAAAAGTCAAAAGGCGGGGATTTCATTTTTTTTTTTTTTTTTGTTAATTATATCTGGGTTTAAGTTCTTTGTTAAAATAATTTCTTGCGTTAGAATGGCATGGCTATGTAGTTTTTTTTTCCCCCTGGTGGTAAATTACTCATATAGACCAAAAAAAAAAAAAAAAATATCTTCCATAAACTTTGCACGGGATCTCTTTCTTGAATTTTTTTTTTTTTTTTTTTCTTTCTCTATCTTTTCTTTCTTGAATTTTTTTTTCTTTTTTAAACCAAGATATTCTATTTTATTTATTCATTTTTTTTAATTTATTTATTTAAATAAAAAAACTATTATATTCAAATAAAATGCCAGTTTATGGTAAGTTTTTTTTTGCCACAAGTTTAAGATAAAAAAAAAATTCTAATCAGCTAACCTTTTTTTTTTTCAGTCCCCATACTTGCTGGTCTTGCAGCAACTTCTTTTGTGGGAATTGCAGTATTTCTCTATAAAAACCCGGAGCTTGTAGATGAGGTGCTTGTAGAAGTCAAGAATTTCTTGCTCAATAAGAAGGCCCAGATTCAAGTCAAAATGCAGTCTGCTAACGAGTTTGTGATACGCGAGGTTGATGATACTGGGCGCATTTTGCGTGAAAAGATCTTTACATCTTCAAAGCACAAAGAACCTCCAATGACTGCCGTCTCTAACAAATCTTCTTCTTCTTCTTCTTCTTTTTCTTCGTCCTCTTCTGCTGAAGATGAAAAACGAGCATTTTTGAACCCAGAGGGTTATTACACGGGCCGCATGCCTACACCATCTTCATCGGGATGCACTACGCCTACGTCCTTAAAGGGCAGTGACGCGGGCCGCGATTTTGAGTCACTGCGTCGCAGACTAGGTCCGGAGAGCGGATCCTTTCACGCTGGTCGTTCTACTCACCAACAAGCCTCGTCATCTGGCTTTGCACGCCCCGCTGGCGAGGGCGTGCCTGGAAACTTTGATGCTCCCGATTATTTTACTGAGGATGGTGATGAAGACATATATGCGCCACCAACTCACACAAAGATTTTGGAAAACATTCCATTGGAGTATCTCGAGCGCGAGATTAGAAGACGCAAAAGCGGCTCCACATCTGTTGAAACTTCGTATCATACAGTGGTGCCATCTCTTATGACATCGTCATCTTCTTCAAATAATCCATTTGCAGATGCCTTTAAGACACCTGAAGATGAAGATGATGATGACGAGCCTCCGTCGCTTCCTCCCAAAATCCCTATTGGTAACGATAAGACTTACACACCACAGTTTTCCCGGCGCAATAGCTTGACCAGCGAGGTCAGCGTATCGAGCTCGATTTTATCCGGGTCCGTGGCATCCCTATCCTCCTCATGGCAAAACGTGCGTGTCCCACCTACTTCAAATAACGGATTGACGGATTTCCAAGAGTATGAAAGACAGCTGCGTGACAATATGGGTGGGCTTAACTATCAGCCAATGGCTGGGGCTTCCATCTTGGCGGGGACTACTGCTGACACTTCTGCGGCGCAGAATATCCAAAACATGGATGCAGCTCTTTCTTCCGAACCCTCGTTGGTCTACAGCTGTCCAAGCAGTGTAACCTTGGAATCTTCAAGCCATGGCTTACATGAGAACCCCAATGGAGACTCAGAATCAGAGGCGTTGACGCCTATTGTATCACGTTCCAGTACTCTTGATTGCGAAAGTGTGATTTATCAAGACACATCGTCAGAGTCTGGTTATTCTAACCAGTCTAGCAGACCCAGAAGACACGTACATTAATGATTTTGTTTGATTTTTTTTTTCTTTATAAATTTACAAATAAACGCCGGACGCTAAGACAATAAGTAATCATAAAAAAGTAATAAAAATGCAAGAATAAGTGAAGCAGTAATGATAAGTTTGGATGCACGTCGATTACGAGCCTTTGCATTGTCAAGCTGTTTATTAGCTTGAAGAATATCTTCATGGACCTGTGCGGATTCATTGAGCAGGTTTTGAATATGATCATGCTGGGTTGACAGATGAGCAGCCAGCGAAGATTGGAGCTGGGAGATTTCCATCAGAGACTTTTCAGCAGCTTTGGCCTTGTTGAGTGACAGTTCCAGTTCGTCCATAAGCGCGCTGTTTTCACTTTCCAAAGCTGTGATTTGTTGCGGTGTCAGTTCGCGCAACGCCTCAGGCATTTCGTCTGTAGTGGTATCAAAGTTAATACTGGATGTTGCTAGCGAAGTGGAACTTCCATCAAACGGTAACGTCGATCCTGAACCAGCAATGTTTGGAGTACCAGTCCGCGAAACTGGGGTAGGATAGTCATTATCAGAAACTGTATGCAAAGCGTTTTTAGTTTTTTCAAGCTGCCGGCTCAGCCGTATTTCTTGTTGTGACGCATGTTTTGCTGAAACTTCCTTGAGTGCCTCGTTAAGGTACCACAGCATGCCTGCACGATGAAGAGCAAGTGTTTTGCCAGCCTGATCTTCTTCATTAATTACTGCATTACCTCCACCAAGTGCCAGAAGCTTTCGTGTGATTGAAGCGGCACCACGAGCTGTTTCGCGTGCAATCCGCTGTTGCTCGAGATCTTCGAGATGTCGTATCCGCGCCATTGTTTTTTGAATCACCATACGTGCTTCGTAGTCAAAATCGTCGCGTTCTTTTTCTGTCAAGGACACCGGAGGTGGACCTCCAGAGCCCAAAGCACCGAGACCTGCTCGGTACTTCCCGAGAATGCTAGTGTTGCTGCCGCCTCGCATGGCTCGACTGGACGAGGCCAGGTACGCGGGGCGAATGGTTTCGATTGAATGTTTCAGTTGCTTAATTGTTTCGTTCTTAAATAAAAAAAAATTAATAAATAAATTTATTTATTTATTTAATGAAACAGTTTATTATTGTATAAACTTACCACGCTGAGGCATTCCTGTGTAAAGATGTCAGTTTTTTGCTGAAGTTGTTTGTTGTGAATTTTGGAAGTCTGGCTGAGCAAGACTTTTTCACGATCAGCTGGTGGCAAAGCTTCTTGCTTTTGCTTAACAATTTCAACGTATACCGAAGTAAGATCTGGCATCTTTTTGGATATCGTATATCTTGTCAACTTGCAAAGGTATAGAGCAGGATTGAGGTGTAAAGTTCTTTGGACTTAAACTTGTTTGCTTGGTGCCAGCGAAATCTTTCAAAGGGCTGATTTTGGAGGGGAGAAAAATGACAGCATATATGAGGGTGGGTGGAAGTTACAAAGATCTGTGACAACTTTGTTACAATATGTTGTATTTAATGGTTATTTGATCTATTCAACTGTGTAACGTTCTTAAAACAGGTTTTCAAAAAAAGACATTTCTTAAAGCTTTCTTTCATTTAAATTCTTTTATCTTGTTTTGCTCTTTCAATTTGTATCCGGAGCCATTAAATGTAAAAAAGTTTATATTTTTAATATTTATTTGTTTTTTTTTTTGTAGGAAAATGGTTTCGCCATCTAATGTCTTTGAATATAACAATTGTTGAATATTCATAATTTTAAACGCATTCAAATGTTAATTCAATTCTCTGCGACATAAAACTAGTTGAAAGTCAAGGAAAATTAATAGAATTTTTTTTTATTTTGGTATTTTTGGTATTCAAAAAAAAAAAAGTTCTTATCTACAGATACGTAGATATTTGGCTCCGGTACCTACGAAAGCATTTGTTTCAGAGACAAACAAGATGATGAACGTTGATAATTCTTTCCATTATTTTTACTTTTCTTTTGTAAAAAAAAAATCAGCGATCTCTTTTACAACATAAAATTTCAAGACTTTTATGTTTTAAAATTAATGTTAAAATGGCCTTTTATTTTTATTTTCATTTTTTGAATTGAAATTGATATAATAATGCCATTATGCTATTGTTTTTTTTGCATTTCATCACGATAATGCCCATTTTCTTCTACCATTCAAATGCCTCGCTCGGTGGTTGTGCCGCATGATGTTAGGGTTTTTGCCTAATGTGGAGCCTCCAAAAAAAAAAATTTAAAAAAAAAATTCCTTGGAAAGTTTTTTTATTTTTATTTTTATTTTTGGTTTGTCTTTGAGCATTTCAATCTTAAAGTTTTTGGATGGTTTTGCGATTTTAAAACAAAAAAGTTTGAATAAAAATCTTCAGAAACATTTTTGTTTTTTTTATTCTTTTTTAAATCGGATATTTCTTTTAAAGATATATAAATTACGTGAATGAAAGTGGTCTAGGAATTCTTTTTATATATTCCTTGTGTCCCTACCAAAAAAAAAAAAAAAAAGATAGGTTGGTTTTTATTCTTATATTTACAAAAATTCTTTATTCTCGTTAAAAAAAAACTTTCAGCTAAATAATCAACCTTTTTACCGTTTTTTTCCTAAATATTAAAAACCTTTTTTTTTGTTTTTTTAATAATATCTATATCTAAAAATGGGTCGTTGGGATTCAAAAGAATCATCTAAAAAAAGTAACAGAGATAGGTCCAGGTCACCGGAACGCGACCACCACGAAAGTTCGCGACACCGCAGCAACAGAGATAGTAAAGACCGACGACATGACCGTGAACGCGACCGCGACCGTGACCATGAAAGAGAGCGTGAACGAGAACGTGATCGTGACCGTGATCGTGACCGTGACCGCGACCGTGACCGTGAACGCAGCCGAGACTACGACAGAAGCAGTCGGGATAAACACAACAGTAGGTCTGAACGCCACAAAAGATGGGATAGTCAAGAAAACAGTACTAACACCACTACTAAAACCATTACAAAACCTGATCCTCGAGCGATTGCCGCAGCAGCAGCAGCCAAAATCAATGCGCAGATTGCCGCCAAGGTTGAAGAAGTAAAACGTCTTGGGTCACAGTCTCCAGCCAGAATGTCCACCCCACCAGCCGTTAGTATCAATAAGCAAGAGGCACCAGCAGCAGTCAAGAAGGAAGCTGAGGTAGTTTTAACAGCGTCTGGGAAAAAAAAGTTTTCTGAGCAGGTGGACATTAACGACATTCGAAACAAGTTTTTGTTAACAAAGGGTGAAACACAAAGTATGATTCTCAATGAAACAGGAGCGGTTGTAACAACAAGAGGTCGTTACTACCCTGAACGGTCGATGGCTTCAGATCTCATTCCTCCGTTACATCTAGTGATTGAAGCTTATGACGAAGAGACGCTACGATTGGGAATGAATAAAGTGCAAGAGCTAATTAACCAAGATATGGGCAGTCTTGTAGATGAACGCCGGTTGCGACGGAAAGACCAGCAAGTTGCGGAAGAACCGGCTGTAGGACAAGGTGAGGCAGCTGGGGATTCAGGCGATAACAGCAATAGCACTCCATTCAAGACACCGACACAGCCTGCATCATTTAATAGTGGTAGCGGTAATGGGTTTGGGCGGCGGCGGCCTGAAGAATTGCGGGTGCCGATTGACTTGGATGGATACGATCTCTTTCATGTGCGTGGATACATTGTGGGTCCCGGTGGCCAGAATGTTAAACATATTCAAAATGAGACAGAATGTCGGGTACAAATCAAGGGCAAGGGCTCAGGGTTTGTTGAGCGCGAGACTGGCCGCGAGGAAGAAACTCAAATGTATCTTCATGTGATGGGCTATGATGCTGTAAAGCTTCAGCAAGCGCGCGAGCTCTGTGAAAATCTGATTGATTCTGTTTCAGAGCAGATTGAAGAGCGGTACCGTTTGCAACGTCAAAATGGGAATCTTCGGCCACGCAGTAACAACAATATCAATAACAACAATAACAACAAACGGTTCAATACTAACAGTAACAATGCCAATACTAAGTTTCGGTCTCCTCCACGCGACAATTATCAACAGCAGCAATACAACAGTCCTGAAAAGTATGCTTATCCTTCGCCACATTTGGACCAAAACTCGCCTTCTCCAGATCCTTATTTTGCAGGATCGTCGATGCAAACCAGTATGGGATATCATCATTCGAATAACGCAGTAGCTTCGTTTGCAACACCTCCACCACCACCTCCTCCTCCTCCTCCACCAGGCATCAACAACTCTATGCGCCGACCACCGCCACCTCCTCCTCCCGGGCTCAAGCAGCCACCCCAACCGCCCTCTGTGGCCTAGCAAGTTTTTCCTTTTTTTCATTTCCTTTTGATTTGTTTTTTGTGCTATTACTAGTTTTTTTCTCTGTGTGTAATTGTGTGTGACTTGATTTATTATTATTTACGTAAATGTAGGTTTCCTCCCTCCCTCAAAAAAAAAAAAAAATTATATATATATATATGAATATATTACTGAGTTGTTGACGTTGCGTTACTGGCGACAGTACTAGAACTATTTGTTCGACGCTTGCGCGTTTGTGGCGAAAAGGTGGGCGTTGATGGCGAAGACAAGATTGCGCCAGTCGGGGCCTTAATTTGAGCAAGCGAGCTATGAGCTTTTGGAATTGACTGCTGAAGCGAAGCAGCTAAAGATTCAGTTCTATGGGATTGTGAGTATGATGTGATTTTTTTTTTTTGTAGTTTTAGTATATATGATGAATAGTACATACTTTTTACGCAGTTTTGCTGAATCTTGAAAGAGATTTTCAAGGTTCTTTGGGAAATCAAACGGTTAGTGGCAAAGATATATATTATACCTTCTAAACCCATACCTTTTGGAGGTTTTTGGAGTGCTGTTCCTGGTTGGCAAACTGATCCTGCGCATAACTGAGATCCTAGAAAAAATTAGACAAATACTCTTTGATAAGAAAAGGAAAAAAAAAAAGGCATATATACCTTGATTGTCTGGGACTTTGGCTGGAGATTAAAATCTTTGGCCCAGTTGGAGGACATTTTGGTGTGAAGAAGAGTTCCGAAACATAAAGTCCGCATACAAAATAAAAAAATAAAATAAAACACTTCAAGGCTCAAAGTACATTCAACAAAACCCTTTGAATTTTAAAACTACAAATGAAAGACAAACGTTATTTTCCTTTTTTTTTTTATTTATTTCTTTTTTTCTTTTTTTCTTTCTTTTTTTTCCTATCTATTTAGCATACTTCTTAGCTTGATCCCGGACCTTGTCTTCATAGAGAGCTCTATTTTTCTTGTATGTGTGGAACGCGTCTGCCTGCGCCGGCGAATCAAGATTGGGGGTATCAAGCAGTTCCTGGATACCAAGAAGAATCTGCTTCATGGTAAGAGCTGGTCGCCAGTCCTCGTCTTCGTTCAATATACTCAAGCACACAGTGCCCGAGGGGTACACGTTAGGGTGCCAAAAGTTGGCGTCAAAGCGACACTTGGGAGGCTTGGTCGGGTACTCGTTTGTAAAGACTATTGTCAGAGGGTAAGTCGCACCTTCCCATATCGTTCCAGCCTTGCCTGGAATGCCAACATTCCATGTCATAAGATCAAGTTTGCCATCGCTGGTTTTACTTGGTTTGGCGAAGAAGCCAAACGGGTGGTCTTTTCGCCATTGTTTTCTAGTACGCGTTAATAGAAATAAAAATGAAAAATGATAATAATAATGCTTTTATAACCTTACCTTTCTTCTTGAAGTCTATTTAAGCAGAGGGACGACATTTTTTTTTTTTTAGATTACTTTAGATTATTTGAAAGATATTTCAAAAGTTCCAAATGGGTTTTTGTTTGTTCTGTTTGATTGATTGATTGATTGATTGATTGATTGATTGATTGACTGATTGATTGATTGATTGAAATTGGGAGGTTTTGCATTTGTTTACAAAAGAAACTAATTACATAGATTGGGTTAGGGTTGTGTTATCGGTAGGGTAATTGTTCACGTGACTTAATTGAGAATCAAACCTCGGCTGATTAAAATCTCGTCGTTTTTTTTTTATTTTTTTATTTTTTTATTTCTTCTTAACCAAACCAACCAGAAGATTCCCATCAATATAAATAAATAAATAACCCATAAAAAAATGTCCAAAGATTATGACGACGAATTGGAAGATCTCGATGGTAAGTCCATAGTCTGCTCTTTATATACCGTTCTAACCTTTGTTTTTTTTTTTTTTTTAGATTTCCTTGATGAATTCGAGGACTCTGCTCCAGTAAAACCAGTGGTGGCACCTGTAACACCTACCCCACCCGCCCCCGCGGCTGAGAAGGAGGCCCCGGTTAAAGAACAAAAGCCTTCATCAACAACACCGGCTGCTGCCGCTACTGCTACTACCGCTGATTCTGCTGCTTCTGCTTCTGCTTCAGTAGACGATCTAGAGGCTGAGTTTGCTTCGAAAATCAATCTGGGTATGGATTCGCTGATAAAGGAACTTGAAGAATCGCCAGAAGCCCAAGAACAGTTTCAGAAAATGATGGAAGAACTGGCTGGAGCCATGGCCACCGAGGCGGCAGCTGCACCTGCTGCACCTGCTGCTTCTGCTGCTTCCAAACCAGAGACTGCACCTAAGGCTACAACAGCTGCTAAGCCCGCCAGTTTTCAAGACACAATTAATCAAACAATGAATCGACTAAACGAGTCGAAGCAAGAAATTGACGAATCGGTGAAAAATAGCGAGACTGATGACTTTATGGCGAAAATGTTGAAGGAACTCGAGTCTGCCATGGGCAATACTACTGCTGGATCTGCACCAGCTGGTGAGGGCGATATTTTAAAGATGTTTGAGGAGATTCTCGACAGTATGGCGTCCAAGGATATTTTGTACGAGCCCATCAAAGAGCTCAATGAAAAGTACCCCGCATGGATTAAAGACAATTCCAGCAAAGTATCTAAGGAAGATTTGGACCGGTACACTCTGCAGTACACGGCCGTCCGTGAGATGGTGGTTAAGTTTGAGACTTCGGATTATAGCGATAACAATCCTGCACACAAATCATACATTACAGAACGGATGCAAATTATGCAAAACTCAGGCAACCCGCCACCAGACCTGATGACAGATTTACACTCGAGTATTCTTCCTAACCTTGACTTGGGTCTGGAAAACCTGGGCGATGAAGATAATTGCAATACACAATAGAAATGGATGATTGATGATGATGATGATGAAATAAAAAAATATATATTTATGATGTCTTATGAGTTTTGTTGTAACTTAATAGTTTATAGAGTTTATCAGTAGTTGAGCAACACCCGATTGTGCAGCCATGGCCGCATTTAATAGGCGCCTTTTTAAATCCCTTTTTTTTTTGTTTTTTTTTTTTTTTTTTTTTTTTCTAACACCACAACCAACATCACGGAAATTCCTCCAGCATACAATGGGTGAGTGCTTTTGGAGTCTACTTGAAAATCCACAATTAACGTCAATGGGAAGACAAGGACATACTAAAAGGGCTTGGTGATAAGCTCTATGACAAGCGGAAGTCCTCCGCAGTCGAACTCGAACAAGTCATTCGAAACTGCCTGGAAGACGGAGATAAAGTGAAAATAGACACCATCATAACTCAGCTCAGTAGAGACTTTGCATATTCCATCCACAACCCAAACGCGCGTAATGGTGGTCTCATTGGTCTTGCAGCTGCAGCCATTGCACTGGGACAACACGAGGTCAGTAACTATCTTGACGACATTGTACACCCGGTGCTTGCCTGTTTTGGCGACCAGGACGCCCGAGTGCGCTATTATGCTTGCGAAAGTATGTACAATATCGCCAAAGTGGCCAAGGGCGAAATTCTTCCATATTTCAATGAGCTGTTTGACGCTCTCTGCAAGTTGGCTGCTGATACAGACGAGTCGGTTCAAAAGGGTGCCGACCTACTTAACCGACTCATTAAAGATATTGTTGCCGAAAAGGCAGCGACTTACGTCTCAGTTGTAACCGAGGGCCCTCCAGAAATCATTCCAGCTCAAGTCGAAAGCAGCGACCCAAATCAGTACGTGATTGCAAACGAGCCCCCACAAGCCGATAAACATGCCGGTTTCGATTCCCGCCATACCGCATTTTCACTCCCCAAGTTTATACCATTACTGATGGAGCGTATCTATGTCATTAACCCTGCCGCGCGAACCTTTTTGGTCTCGTGGATCGTGCTGCTGGACTCGATTCCAGACCTTGAACTAGTCTCATACTTGCCTGCATTTCTGGGCGGCCTGATAAACTTTTTAAACGACCCCACAAGCGGCGTGCGAGTGGCTACCCACGCCGTGCTGGACAACTTTTTACAGGAAATCCGGCGCATCACTGACATTAAAAGAACCGTGCAAGAAAACAATGAAAGAATCTTAATGAGAAAACAGATTCGGAGGCGAAATGCAGAGGCCGCAGTGGCTGCCGCTGCTGCTGCAGAAGCGGCGTTAAAGGCAAAAGCTGCCGCAGACGAAGCTGCTGCGGCTGCGGCTGCGGCTGCTGCTGATGCTGATGCTGCTTCTATTTCTGCTACTACTATTGCTTCTAGTGAAACAGCAGTAGCAGTGGCAGCCGCAGCAGCATCATCACCAGAAACTTTAGAAGCACCTAAACCTGAAGAAGCAAAGGAGACTCCTGCTGATGAGTCTGCTAAAGAACCCACGGCAGAAGAATCAGAAGCACCTGCTATGGACAAAAGTGCCACAGTTGATGGTAGCCCTTTAACTATTGACCTTAAAACGACACATGCCCGCAACCGTAGTGTGAGCGAGCACGTTGCTTCGATCGATGCACGTGTTGCACCCAAAAAGGACGAATCTGAACCAGAGCCTAAGGAAGAGCCCGAACCAGAGGTGCCAGCTTATAATCCCGCATCTGAAGCGCCTTCTTCTGTTGATTCTGACGAGGTTGCAGTTGAAGACGAAGACGAAGAAGAGTACGATGAAGATGAAGAAAATGAGGGGTTTTATATCCCGGGTCAGGATGTGGCAATTGAGTTTGAAAAAATTATTGAAATTTTAATTTCTCACTTGGACTCATCTGTCGAGGAAATCCAAATTGTGGTTTTGCGCTGGGTCGAAACCTTTTTAGATATTTCGCCAGAAAGTATTTTGCCATATGGCCCCAGATTTCTTTCTGTTTTACTGCCAACCATGGCCTATGATGGTACCGACTTGCGCAAGGCTGCTGAAAAAGTTAACCAGAAACTTCTTGCTTTGATCATGTCGTTACCAGATACTCTTGATTTGGAGAATGGGACAAGTGTGGATCATGAAGATAGTGAAAAACATTTACGTTTCTCCAAGTTGGATTACCCCGCCATGGTGAATGCCTTGACGCTTCACTTTTTGGATGAAAAGGAAGAAACCAGAGTTGCCGCATTAGACTGGCTCATTATGCTGCACCGCAAAGTACCAAAACGTATTCTGGCCATCAATGACGGAACTTTCCCAGCACTACTCAAAACGCTTTCTGATCCATCGGACGAGGTCATTAAACGAGACTTGCGTCTAATTGCACAGATTTCATACAACTCCGATGATGAGTATTTTTCCGTCTTTATGGTGAACTTGCTAAATCTTTTTTCGACTGACCGCCGGTTGTTAGAAACAAGAGGTAACTTGATTATCCGCCAATTATGCCAGAGTCTCAAGCCAGAACGTATATACTGGACTCTTGCAGAAATTTTGGAAAAAGAAGAAGAAGACTTGGAGTTTGCAAGTTTGATGGTTCAATATCTTAACAATATTCTTTTGACCGCTCCGGAGCTTTCGCAGTTGCGCATGCGTTTGCGTAACTTGCAAAACAAGGAAGGTGTATCTTTTTTCACAGCATTGTTTAGATCCTGGTGTCATAATCCCTCAGCCGCTCTAACTCTATGCCTTTTAGCTCAAGCATACGAGTATGCATTCATGTTGTTGCAAACCATTGTTGAGTTTGAAATTACAATTCCTCTGCTGGTACAAATTGACAAGCTGGTTCAGCTATTAGAATCGCCAGTGTTTACACATCTGCGATTACAACTTCTGGAGCCAGAAAAACATCCATTTTTGTACAAGTGTCTTTACGGAATTCTGATGCTACTTCCACAGTCCTCTGCATTTGCAACCCTGCGTAATCGTCTCAATAGTGTTTCGTCGATCGGTTATTTGCATGTGCCGTCAACTCTTACACGGTCTTCTGGAAGTACTGGTAGCACTGGTGCTGGGGGGGCAAGCAAACCGTTGAGTAGGTTGACTTCCGGAGCAAATCCTATTTACGATGTCAAGTGGCCAGACTTGGTGAAGAAGTTTCAACAAGTGCAGCAGAAACACCAAGATGCACGGAATCGTACTGCGGCAGTTGCTGGGCTTGCATACGGTGGAAGTGCTTTGAATGGGCCTGGCAGTGCGGCAGCGACAGCAGCAGCGGATTTTGGCCTGAGCTTGAGCAAACTTGGTGGAGGTGGACTGGGTGCCGGTTTAAGTCCAGGAGGATCAAGTGTGGGGACATCATCAACAGCCACAGCCACTTCGAACCTGGGGTCTCCGCTACATATGCCGATTGGGATGAGTGAAGGTTACGGTGAAAACAACAAGAATAAGAATACAGATGAAGGGCCTGCAAAACGCCGTGGAAGCAAGCCCCGATTAAATTCAGGAGGGTTACCGAGTGTGACGAGTCGGTACCTAAAGGCTGGAGGAGTTGTAGGCGCACAATCGGCATCACCAGCACCATCAATGTCCAGTGGAGGGAGTCGGGGTACGTTAGGGCCTGGAAGTGGTCGGCGACCAGTACTTCGGGCCCGTGAACCGGCTAGTGGTGGGCAGTCATCAGCGGGAGGGTCTGCAACGAATGGGGACACTCCTGCGACGTTTCTTGGGACGGTTCTTGGGGGTGGGAATGCTGGTGGGGCTAATTCAGGAGGCAATGGGCCTGGAGCGAAACCTGGAGGATCTGGGTTTGGTACAGGGTCTCGTAGTTTCCGTAGATAGAGAGAGAATAGTTGAATTAAGTTGAATAATAAGTAAAGTTGAGGATAAGTTTGAGGCAAGCTGATGGTGGTGTTAAATAAATGAAGTAAAGTTGAGGCTCGTGATATTTGAATAACGGCTGTGCGTATTTTTTTTTTTTTGTTGGGAGGAAACACACACTGATTTTTTTTTTTTTTTTTTTTAAGTCAACCACTACCACCACGTTTTTTATTTATTTATTTTTTTTTTTTTAATTTTTTTTTTTTCAACCTCTCAATCGTCACAACCTGGCAATAACAAGCATCAAGCATCAAGCATCAAGCATCAAGCTACAAATGCCCGGCGACGATAACTCGATCTTAACAACGACGACGACGCACCTCCAGGCCATATTCACTCCGCTTCTCGCTCGATTGTTCCCCTCGTTGACGACATCATTTCCCATTGTTCGCCGGACCAACTCTAATACTCTTGTTTACACCGTTGCCGCTGCCACCGCGTGCTTAATCTACATCTTTGGACCCGCAGCTCTCCGACTCATTACCTCCGTGACGTCTTTTATTTTTTCTCCCTTTATTACCTCCTCAAGCACAATGCGCTGGCCGCGCGCCAAAAAACGTGAAGGTAAACATACCGTGGGCCTGGTCAACCGGGCCAACGACTGCTTTGCAAATTCAAACTTACAGGCCCTCGGCGCGCTTCCAAGCTTATATACATACTTGGTTGAGCTGCTGGATGTTCCGCGCCCCCCACCGGAAGCTTACCGGTTACTTGTATCACGGACACTAACAGACGCCACAGAAACGGCATCAAGACGAAGTGCAGGTGCCAACATGACGGAGCCAGTTGAAATCACAGGCGCTTTACGGCGAATGGTGGCTGCATTAAACGAACCAGTTCTCGAACATAAGGAACTGGATCCATGGGATTTCTTACATTCTGTTGAGCGGTTTTATAACTCACTTATTTCGCGCGCTCAACATGATGCCCATGAGCTATTACTGCTGGTGCTCGAGACGCTCGAGACGGAACAGCTACGGCTGACGCGGTACTATTCAGCACTGCGGGCTCAGACAAAAGATAAAGAGGAACAGGAGAAGCTGGATAAGGTGATTGCAAGTATCCCCAAGTTCCCATTTAAAGGCTCGACTCGCGATCAAATCACGTGCTCGCGGTGCGGGTACGTCCCGACCACAGCACCGTCGCCATTTGCCGTTCTATCGCTAATGGTGCCACAGCGCGCACGTGCAACTCTCCCTGATCTGTTAGTGGACTTTGCAGCTCCAGAATATATCCAAGACTATGGGTGTGCACGGTGTCGTGTGGGAGCACTGATTCAGCGGTCCCAAGTATCAGGAGATGAAGCCTTGGTAGCTGCGCTAAAGCCATATTCTGAAGACCCATCGCATTTGCCTGAAGAGCTAGAGGCACGGTTACCACGCGATGTCACGAGCGCAATTGCAAAGTCCACACAGTTTCATCGACTACCTCAAGTACTTGCCATTCACCTATCGCGGTCCATTTACGGTGGGTTTGGCGCGTCGCGCAATTCGTGTAAAGTCAGTGTGCCAGAACGATTAGAGTTGTATGAGGACTATACTGCGGAAGAAGATAAGCTGCGAGCCATGATGGGAGCTCAGCGGCGGGTGGAATATGAACTTGCGGCCATGATTCGACACAAGGGCACGCATTACGCTGGACATTATGAGTGTTTCCGGAGGAAGAACCTGACATGGTGGAGGTCGCATTTGGAGAGCCAACAAGACAGAGGGCAAGATGCAGCAACAAGAAGGGAAAATGGCAGCATGGAAGATTTAAAGAATAAAAATAAAACCGATGACTCGGGCGATATCAATGAGTTGGACAGATTGCCATACCCACAACAGAGATCGGCGCAGGTGTCTCCGGCAGTAGTTACAGCTAAGACACATACACATGATGCTACGCCCTCTGCACCATCTTCGTCACAGCCGGCGACTCCCTTATCTGCGGAAGCTTCAGATTCTGGGCGCTCGCCTGTATCTTCATCATCATCGTCATCTTCATGGCTGTTTAGTTTTCTTGGAGGTCCTTCTCCTGCTTCTGGTCAATCACCATCACCATCGCCGCCTCTTTCGAGCTCAGCATCATTACCTAGTGATGGGGCAGTGACTATTACTGGAGAAGATGGAGAGTATGAGGTGCTTCCTGCGTCTCCACAACATGGGTGGTGGCAAGTGTCTGATGACAAGGTTTGGGAGCGAAGTGTAAGGGAAGTATTAAGAGAAGAAAGTGGAGCTTATTTGTTATTTTATGAACGGGTTGAAAGTAACAACAACAGCAGCAGTAGTAGTAATGGTAATTGCAGTAGCAATGGAGTTGGGAAGCGTCGGAAAAGGTGATTGAAGAAGGTGCTTTTTTTTTTTTTTTTTTTGGTTTGTATATTGCATATATTTGAGAATTTTTTTTTTCTCCCATTCATTTTTTTTTTTTTTGCATAGTTTTGTTTTGTTTTTTTCTCTCTCTCTCTGTATTTTACTTCCCTCATTCAAAGTTTTCTATAGTAGTTAATTAAATATATATATATATATATATATATATTATTGCAGATATGATTTTTGAATAAAAAAAAAAATAAATAAAAGAATTAGATTTTTTTTTGTATATATAAGTATAAGTATGAGTGATAATGATGAGGTTTAAGTGTGTATTCAAAATGATTTGACCATTTATTTAACATTACTATATATATAAGCCTATTAAAAATATAATGAATGATGATTTGTATAATAAATACAAGTCAATTTTTAAAAATATTTAATCAATGTATAGTTGTAATTTTAGTTTTAAGTAAATGAGTTTTTGATTGTCATTCTCATTATCGTTATCATTATTATCATGTTTGTAAGAACTTGATAAGAATTTTTTTTTTCGTTTTTTTGTTTGATTTTAAAAAAAAAAAAAAATCTAATCTTCAATATATATATATATATATATTTTTACAAAATAGGAAATATAACTTTATCAAACTACCAAAAAAAAAAAAAAAAAAAATTTGGATTTGTAAGTTTATATTTATATATATATTCAATTGTTCTTGCTCTATATATAATCGAAAGCCATATTTTTTCTTTATTTATATACTCTTGATTATTTCTAAAAATGAATAATATAAAAAGTATGATTATTTCGATGATAGAAACTTAATAAATATAAAAATGAATACAGCAAAGAAAAGAGGTTTTTTATTGTTTTTTTTTTTTTTTTTACAACTAAAATTCAGTATTTTTTTTTTCACTTTTATGTTTTTTTTATTTTTTGGTTCCGGGCTCCGAAGAGTTTATATAACGTTCATTATAATTATTATTATTATGATGATGATGATGATGATGGGGGGGAGAAGAAAATGTTGTAGTTGTTTTTAACGGAAATTCCGTGAAATTTCGGAACCCCTCCCCCCGTTAAGTTAAGTTCAATTTTTAATTGAAATCATCAAATTTAAATAAAATTTAAATAAAATTTATATAAAATTTATATATTTATTATTATTTATAATACAAATGGTTATAATTATCTAATCATGTAACAAAAGTGTTGTAATAACAAAAGAAAATGTCTTACAAATGTTTTTTTTTTTTTTCACGGAAAAAACTAAATAAAACAAGCAAGCAAACAAACAAACAAATAAACAAACAAACAAACAAACAAACAAAACTTTTTTTTAATTTTGTTTGCTTTTTTTTTTATTTTTTATTATTATTTTATTTATTTTGTTTGTTTGTGGGGGAGGAATATTAATGATGATTGCTATGAATTTTTTTTTTTTTTTTTTTAAAAAAAAATATTGAAATTATGATTTTATTGTTATTGATTTGTTTAATTGATGAGAAAGAAAGGGAAGGTAAAAAAAAAATTGTTATAACAATAGTTTCCAAAGTAATAATAAAATTAAATATATATATATTATTTAATTTTTATATATAATAAACAAAACTGCATGATTTATATTTTGTTTTTCTCCTCTTAAAATTCCATTAAAATCATTACCAAGTTTTTTTTTTTTTTTTTTTTTTTTTTGAGAGAGAGAAAGATTAATAGTAATGTATATATATTCATCATGATTTTTTTTTTTTTTAAAAAATAATAATATTATTATTATTTTAATAATAAATTTAATAATAAAAGGTTAAAGCATATATATATATTTAGTAGTAGTAATACAAATTAAAGAACGTAAGAAAAGCTTTTTTTTTTTTTTCTTAAGATATATATCTCAAAGAGTAGTAGTAGTATTAAAAACAAAAAAAAAAAGTACTCTCAAAGACAAAAATTGAAATTGAAATTGAAATTGAAATTGAAATTGAAATTGAAATTGAAATTGAAATTGAAATTGAAATTGAAAAAATAAAATAAAATAAAAAAAAGGGAAAATCAATAAAAAAAAAAAGTATTCTTCCTTTAATTTATTCTTCAGTAACAGCAGCAGCTTCTTCTTCATCTTCATCTTCTTCATCCTCCTCCTCTTCAGCTGCAGCCTTTCCTTCTTCTTCATCTTCATCTTCACCTTCACCTTCACCTTCTTCCTCTTCACCTTCTTCTTCCTCTTCTTCTTCTTCATCCTTTTCAACCTTTGCTTCATCCTTTTCCACCTTTTCTTCTTCTTCATTCTTTTCATCTACTGCATCATCATCTTCTTCTTCTTCTTCCTTCTTATCATCAACCTTCAACTTTTTATTCTTCTTTTCTTCAATCTCACCAACTTCGTTAGTCACCTCAACATCATCATTTTCTTCTTCCTTCTCTTCCACTTCTTCCTTCTCATTGTCATTGCCGTCTACAGACTTTGCAACAACTTCTTCAATAGGTCTTTTAGTGCCACTAGATTGATAAATATAGTTAGTATTATATATAAATAAATAAATCTTGTAAAATACAACAAAAATAAATAAAAAATAAAAAAAGTAAAAAAATAAAAACGTTTCCATTCAACCGTTCTTCTTCACCCCAGAAACAAAAGAAAAAAAAAAAAAAAAGTGTGATATTGTGGTGGGTTAAAGTGTGGGGAAATGAAATCAGTTTAGTGATAACCCTGTGCCCATGAATAATAATAATAATAATAATAATAATAATAATAATAATAATAATAATAATAATAATAATAATAATAATAATAATAATAATAATAATGATAATAATGGTAGTGGTAATAACAATAATAATGATAATAAATCTGTAGTGTCGTGAAAAATAAAAAATAAAATAACACGACACAAACGCGTAATAATAAGGCTAACTGATGAATTTTCAAATCAATTGATGGTGAAAAAAAAAATTAAAAATAAAAATAAAAAAATAAATATTCGTTTTTTTTTTTTTTTTTTTTTTTTTTTTGGAAATTTCAAATGTCAATTGTCAAATGTCAAATGTCAAATGTCAAATGTCAAATGTCAAATGTCAAATTTCAAATTTCAAATTTCAAATTTCAAATTTCAAATTTCAAATTGTCAAAAAAAAAAAAAACTTCAATTTCTTCAATTTCTTCAATTGAGTGAAAAAAAAAAAAATAATATATATAATTGAAAGCTTACCTGACAGTGGCATCAGTGCCAGCAGTTGTTGTTTCAGTAGCAGCAACGACTTGGACGGGTTGTTCTTCGACAGTCATTTTTTTATATTGTTAATTATTATGATGAAAAAATGAATTGATAGTTAATTGATTAATTGATCAATTGATTAGTTGATTAACTGATGAACTTATTAACTTATTAACTGATGAACTAATTGATTGATTAATTGATGAAATGATGAACTGATGAACTGATTAATTAATTAATTGAATAAGATTTTAAGGGATTGAGGTAATAATATGTGAGAATATATTTATGTATAGCTCGTAATACTAGTAGTAGAATGTCGTGATGTATAGATATTGAATAAGGAAAAAAAATAAAAAAAAAAAAGAGAAAGAAAATTTCTAAAAAAAAACAAAATTTAAAAAAATTAAAAAAATTAAAAAAATTCTAAAAGAGAGAGAAAGGGAGGGAGAGAGGGGGGGAAGGTGGGAATAGCCTAGTATTTATAATTTTTTTTTTTGTTCTATATAAATAAATAGATAGATAAATATATATAGATTGATAGAAATTATGAGGATATTAAAAAACACATACACATATATCCATACAGTTGCTACTACTATTACTACTAAATAAAACTACTAGTATTATAATACTACTACTAATACTACTAATACTGCTGCCTCTACTTCTAATCCATTTGACTTTATTGAAAGAAAAAAAAAAAAAAAAAAAAGATGTTTATGTGTGTGTGTGAATTTTAAAGTAAAGGCTGGGCAACTAATTAATATTGTGTTATGCTAATAATAATAATAATGATGGTAATGATGATGATGGTGATGAAAGGCTGGATACAATATATATATAATAAAAAGACTGAAATATACGTCATATTAAGACTGAAAATTACGCAGTGACTTTTTTTTTTTTTTTTTTTTTTTTTTTTTTTTTCAATTGATTGATTAATTGATTGATGAGAAAATTAATGATGGGGTGGGGTTCTATATGGAGAGTTTTAGGAGAGAGAGAGAGAGAGAGAGAGAGAGAGAAAGTTTTATGTAGAGAAAGTTTTTGGGGAGGGGAAGGGCGGAAGAGAGCAAAGTGAGAGAGGAGGAGGAGGAGGAGGAGGAGGGGAGAAAGAAGGCTGGGGGGGTTATTTTTTTTTGTTACAATTATTGTTACTTAATTTGTTACATTGTATGTTATATAAATTTTGGTCACGTGCATATATATATATATATATATATATGAAACAAAGCAAGGATCCGAAAAACACAGAAGACAATTGTAGCAACTTTGAATATAATAATTTTTTTTTAAAAAAAATTTGCAACAACAGTTGTAGCACAAAAAGTAAGTAAGTAAGTAAGTAAGTAAGTAAGTAAGTAAGTAAGTAAGTCAATCAATGTTTCTGATTTATCACAGTGAAAATATTTATATTTATATATATTTATATATTTATATAGGAAAGAGTTACCCTGAATTATAATAAAAAAAAATAAAACAAAGCTTAACAAAATGGCAAGTATACAAGTATTTCCTTATATAATAAAAGTATATTCTATATTTGTATATACTGTGTGGGTATGTGTATGTGTGTAGTAGTAGTAGTAGTAGTAATAATAATAATAATAATAATAATAATAATAATAATAATAATAATAATAATAATAATAATAATAATAATAATAATAATAATAATAATAATAATAATAATAATAGTAGAAACAAAGTGGCACAATACACACACACACACACACACACACAAAAAAAAATTCTCCCTCTCTCACATATACAGGCTGCCCGCCACCTCTTAATATCCCACTTTTTTTTTTTTTTTTTTTTTTTTTTTTTTTTTTTTTTTTCTATGTGTGTTTGTTGGCTTTATAATAACACACATCACTACAAAACCCAGAACAAGTGGGTTAGATTATAATCTCTCTTTAGAAAAATTTCACCAAATATAAATAGATACGCGTAGATCACACAACACACTACACTAGATTATATATATATATCTTCAATTAATCATACAATTACAATACAATACAATTGAATTCAAATTTAAACAGTTCTTTAATTATTATACTCATGTGTTATTATTAATATTATTATAAAAAAAAAGCTAGAATTATATAAAAAAATTATAAAAAAAAATATAGCCGACCCAAGCAATTTCTTTAGTCGGCCTGGGTATGATCCATCAGGGTATATATATATATATTCATCAGTAATAATAAAAGTAGTAGTAGAGCAATTGGAGAACAAAAGGGGGGAGAGTGGTCGTTACAATTTTGTTGTTTTCATCATAAAGTTTTCATCACAAATCATCATCAATCGTATTTCCTTGATGGAGGGGAGCAGGGCAGTTTGAGGGGTGTGGAAGAAGAAGAAGAAGAAGAAAAGAAAAGAAGAGGGTTCAAGTGGATGGTGGTGGTTGAGGTTGAGGTTGTTAGTTAGTTGTTGTTGTTGTTGTTAATAATTTATTCAGGCTCAGCATAAACCTCCTGCTTGTTATTCTTGTAGAGGTTCATTTCAGCTTCATAACGCTTCTTGTCAGTTTCAGCCTTTTCAACAAAGGGTATCTTTTCTTCTTCAGAAAGAGCCTTCCACTTTTCTCCAAGAACCTTGCCAATTTGACCAAAGCTAATTCCTGGGTTTTCATTACGAACTTCATCACGCTTCTCATTAGCAAAAAACATATAAGCACTAAGAGAACGCTTAGGAGCATTGGGGTCTTTCTTCTTTCCCTTCTTGGTGGGTGCAGGGGCAACACCATCAACATCATCCTTACGACGACGGCCAGATCCTTCCTTAGGCATTTTTGTAGTAGTAGTAGTGGTAGTAGTGGTTTTTTTAGTAGGTGTGTATGAAAGCGAGCTTGTGGTAGAAAAGCGAGCTACGTTTGCTGAAGCAAAAATTAAAGAACGGTTAGCAAAGATTCTAGAGAGCATGATTAATGTTGTTATTGATGTTGTTGTTGTTGTTGTTGTAGATATATTTATATAATTATAAATCTGAATAGATTGTTGAGTGATGTGGTTGATGGTAGAGGGAGGAAAGTGAAAAATAAAAAATAATAAACTTACTGTGGAGGGGCTGAAAAAAAAAAAGGTGGGTAAGAATTTATATATATATAAATAAATAGTTGTAGTTGTAGTTGTGGTAGTTATACAGTTATATATATATGTGACGGTAGTTGTGGATACAACAAGGGATGTGTGTATATATATATATATATAAGTGTGAATAGGTAGATAGATGGATAGATGAGGGTGTTTTTTTTTTGTATATAAAAAAAAAAGTGAGAGAGAGAGAGAGGAAAAAAAATAGGCGGTGAGGAGGGAGCGCGCGCTGCTTTATAGGCGTGGGAAAAAAAAAAAAAAAAAAAAAAATTTATACCAAGGCGGAGAAAGAGAAAAAAAAAAAATAAAAATAAAAAATAAAAAAAGGGGGGGTTGTTGTTGTTGTTGTTGTTTTTGTGTAGGTGGTGGTGGTGGTGGTAGTAGTGGTGGCACATAACACACTACACAACATAACACAGTATTGTAGAGAGAGAGAGATATATAGATATAGATATAGATATAGATATAGATAGGCAAGAAAAATATAATATAAATAAAACACACACACACACATAAAATATATATATATATATACATAATAATCTAATAATAATTTAATAAACGCGTATAATTTTATTTAAATCTATTTTTTATTAAAAAATTTACAATATTAAAATTATTTAAAATATTAAAAAACGCGTAATTACACGAAATAAAAGGGTTTTTTTTTAAAAAAAAAAAAAAATTATTTATTTATATTTATATAATACAAATAATAATAATAAAATCCTTGTAAAAATGTGTGTGTGTGTTTATTTTCAAAACAAATAAAATGACTGACTGATTTTATCACACACACACACACACAGTACAAAAAAAATTTAGGATTCTGCCACACATACAAAGAAGAAGCCACGCTTTTTTTTTTTTATTAATTTATTTATATTAATTTATATTAATTATATACTAACAAACTACAACAACAATTAACATCATTCATTCAAAACAACTTTCATTCTTGTAGTAGATTTTGAAATTCAAAAATCCAATTTTAATTATTTTTTTTATTTTTTTTTATTTTTTTTTTAATTGTATATTTTATTTTATTTTGGGTTCCTACACAATTGAGCCATATATTCATATCACTTTGGTCTTATTGGGTCTTCTTTTTTTTTTTTTTTATTCTTTCTTTCTTTCTTTCTTATTCCTCTTTCTTCCTTTTTAGCGTATTAGTGATATATATTAGCATTTTAACGTATTAGCGTATAGCGTATAGCGTATAGCGTATAGCATATGGGCTGGGTGTGCCTTTTTTTTTTTTTTTTGTGTGTGTATATGTGTGTGTATATGTGTGTGTGTGTGTTGATTTGTACTTTATTAATTCATTTGTAGTGTGAAGTTCTCAGAATTACGATAGATACTGATCCGAGCGTGCCCAAAAGTTCCTAAAATGGATACTTTTTCTGCGTATATCTTAGACTTCTATGTGGATATATTGGCATGTATTAATAAAAAATATATAAATTTTACAATTAGTGTGATATTTGTAAATGTGTGTGTGTGTGTGTGTGTGTGTGTGTAGATATGCACTACGTGATACGCCTATCCAGTAAAACTTAAAAATAAAAAAATAAAAAAATAAAAAAACTTAAAAATAAAAAAAGAAAGACATGGGGTGGAAATTCCCGGAGGAGGAGATAAATTAAAAAATTATTATTATTACTACTATCTATATATCAATCTTCTAAACTTTCATCTACTAAGAAAGTAACCGCGGGTTATTCTCTACTCAATACTCAATATATACTCAATATACTATATCATTTGTTTATTTTTTACTTTTATATTTTTGAAATCACGTAAGACACTTTTTGAAAACCTTTCTCATGCAAATTATAATTATATAAGTAATCAATATCGGAAATAGCCTACCCCACATATCCGCGGTTACTTTAATATATAGATTACCTTATGAGACTTATTTAAATATTTTATATATATATATATATATATATATTTTTGTATTATCATCACACATTGAAAAATCATGTCAATTTGACTTTTAATTGACTTTTTATAATTATGCAATTATTATGTAATATTACACACACATACATACATACATACATTTTTCAGCTGCTTTTCTCTTCTAAAGTGACAATAGCAACCATAACAAAACCAATTATTCTAAATAAAAAAAAATAAAAAAAAATAAATAAATAAACCCTTTTTTTAATTTTTTTAATTCTTAACTCCCAAGTCTTAAGTCATTTCTCTAAACCCTAAAGACTAATTTATACTATACACACACTAAATTGCA